CCACAGACAATCAGATCTGAAGCATTGCAACACGATATTAGTGTCTTGCATATGACGATGTCAAATGGAAATCTCCGATTGGTTGTGCAGATCGGAGCGGATACTGTCGTTCAACGTCTTATCTGGTCTTATGAGCACAATTAAACAATGTCCAGGCGGGCCTTTCAATCTAAGAGGAGGTTGAACGGTTTGTCCTGAAATATCTCTATGGCCAGCCGGGCTCTTGCTAGGAGCCGCGAGCGGATCACCATCCAATCAAATAGAAAAGGCTTCCTTATGAGGAGATCCGATTTTCAGCCTCAACTCGCCAAAGCACTTACAACAACTTTAGATAAGGAATCGGGCAATATTCAGACGCGCTATGTTAATACACATAGCAAGTACCTCATTTCCGTAGCTCGGTCCCTTTTTAAGTTAGGATTTCAGCTACCTATCAAACGGCATTGCCAATTATACATGCATGTCGTGGCGCATAAAGCAAGCCAAAAGCGGTCGACTGGCTCGGTCTTTGGACTCGTGCCGATCATGGAGACATTGCTTAGTCTTTTTAATCTCGAAAGCCGTCGATGGGACCATGACAGCTAGATGCTAAGGCTACTAGGTAGGAGACCTCCGTGCGCCGCGATTTGACATGACAGATCCGGATCGATCGGAATCTGCTGTGCGCTACCAAATCAGATTCTGTCATATTGGTCCCAAGAGATCCGAGCTTTCAACTCTAATCTAACTTGTAAATAGAGACGATGCCGGAAGCGATAAGCCCCATACGGTCCCCTAATATTATCTATCCCCTAGCATTGTCCAAGCACGCCCAAGCATTGTCCAAGCATTATCCTTCAAGGTAGGTGTGATAGTCAATTGACACGGCGGGAATGCGTCGCATACTGCAGCCTGCATTGCCGAGACCTGACTGGCTGGTAGTCGCTGGCTGGATGGAATGACAGGCCAGACCTAGCCATCATCCATGTTCACATTGCAGCATGGCTTTCGTGCAGCCAAATTCCCCTAAACGTGTAAATGATGGCTTTTTATAAGCTGCAGCAACAGGGGCGCGCTCGTTAAGGACCCCTCACTATAAGGCCGGCGGCAGTTGAAACGAGATCCCACACCGCTGGAATATATTACTAGGTAACGTATATCGCTTGTGCAGAGCCTGTGCAGAACCACGTCAGCATTGACAGCAGGGGCGGCACGGTACGCGACGGGTAAATCAGCCATCCATCGTGGTCGCCATGCTTAAGTTGCTGGAAAGCCTGCAAAGCCTGCAAAGGTCTTGGAGATCCTGCAACGACAATGGCGGCAGTAGCAGGGATTATCTACTAACCCTGCTGCGTCTACACGTCTTGGAGAGATAAACGCCGACCGAACTGTCAACATATTACACCAACTATGGCTTCACAGAGCTTCCTAAAAGTCATAGCAATTCGTCTTTTACTTTATCATGCATGATACGATCCGACCCGACTCAAATTATAAACCACTTAAACATGGCATGACGTCTCTTTTCCCGAGATGGATTCCTGGGCATGGATATTTATCCCAAATGACAGTTGGTGGGTTAATGCTACAGGAATCTTGATGGCGTAACCTCGTAGATAGCTTCTAGGATACCACGTGCGTATCAGAACAAGCGATGAAGCACAGTACAACATGTCACTGGGCATGGCAGACGAATAATATGCCAACGTCTCCGCCAACAGAGGAAAACGGGCGGCGCTATATGCAAAAGAGACATAATCTCACCGCAAGACGAGACAGCTGTTACTTGAGTCAACAAACACCTGTAGACTTGTCAGCACCTGACTAGCCGTCTGCCGGGATTCTAGATCAGGAGGTCCCGGCCGAGTCTAGCTGATGAGCATTACCCCAAGTTAAGGCTAAGGCACAACAACAGCCTAACGGTGGAAGGATAATATTACCGCGTTGGTAGTATTACTCGTAGATGTCAGAGTAGCACCACCATACACAGCTTCTCTAAGAGGCATTTTTCTTTTAGAGGGGGAAGACGGACGTGAGGTCGAGTTGCATATCATCGGTAGTGTGTAAGAGCCTTTCGCAATGCGTTCTGTGCGAGTACGTGTAAGTTTCGAATCTATATGAGACCACACACACCACGGCCGGCCAACGATATGAAGGAATTCGAACATCTCGACTCTCCACGGTCTCCGCAATCGTTGCGCGCCAGGGGCAGCCGAAAGCTAGGAAGCTGAATCATTGGAAGATGGGAGAACAACAGCTATGCTCGCAGGGAAGACTTAGGAATAGTGGATTTGGGGGTTATATCGCAGCCGTGTTATATGTGACAATGACAGCGCACACACCACACACCACACACACCATAAACCACAGGCACACAGACGCACACAAGACAATTAACACAACTGCTGCTCAGGGCCAATCCGCTGTGTCGGTGGCGAACCTCGGAACCAACCCCCTAACACCCACCACAAGAGCCGGCGTGATTAGCGTGCAGCTCTTTCGAAGGGTACTGTAGATCGAAGTTCCCAGATCAAGAGAACGTGGTACCTAGCGTTCCTTTCTTGCACGTTTTCTCTTCCTTGTTGCTTGTTGTTAGCTGCTGTTGGCTGCTACTGTTTGTTACTGTATCTCCGGTTCGAAGGTACTGTATATGGTATGTCTACCGGTCTACCGTACTTGTACTATGCGTGTGAGGGCAAGTCGAGACTTTTGCACGTATGAGTACGCGTATATATGTGTAATACGTATATGGTATGTATGTATGTATGTATGTAAGTATGTATATATGTGAATATGTACATATATACATACATACATACAATACCAGACCGCAAGGCGGTGAATCCGGTTTCCGGAATCAGGCCATGACCATCTAAGGAGTCATGCCCTTCGAGTTTCGAAAGTCGAGGCTACTTGTATGTAAGTATGTACATATGTACGTATATATGTGTGTAGGTAAGTATTTTTGCGTTATCTGGCAGGCTGGCGGAAGAAGCAGGCAAAGCCATGGCATGGCATGGCATGCGCCGCCTCGTCTTCCCGCTCCGCTTTGCTCTGGCTTTACTTCACTTTTTCATGCACAGTATCAACTTGTCGCCGGGGTACCTACGGAGAAACCGTGTGGCCCTAGAGCACAACATAGCTTGTGTGAATTGTGAGCCTATTACAATGCGTATAACGCGTATAATATCATGGATGTAGATGTTAGGTATCTATTAGCTGGAAGGGGTTACTTTTGCGGAGTTAGGAGAAGAGAGAGACTGAAAGAGGAAGAGAAAAAGAGAGAGAGAGAGAAAGAGAGAGAGCCACAACACGCTTCACGTTTCACGCCCGAAAACGTTCCAGGGGGGGTCTCCAGAGAGAGGGGGGGGCAAAAAAAAAACCCCGTGCACACAAATAAGTGGCTGGTATTATAGACAACAATGACAACAATTCATCGCCTGGAACTCCCTCGTTCCTTATCCGGACGGGATTCGATGAGCAAGCTCCGCAGTAAGCTCGTCGCGATGTAACACGAGTCGGTACGAAATCTACTACGTGCTACTTCGTGGCCTTGTCGAGATTAATACTAACAATCCTAACAATACTAGCAATACACTAAAACATAGTACCTGATATAGTACCTTGATATGCGGGCCGTTTCAACACCACCACCATCACCTTTACCTCCACTACCACCACCGCCGCCGCCACTGCATGTCATTGTTAGAACGTTTCAAACATAGCAAACGTGACCTTCGCAGTGGGAATATCGCGAAGACTTTGCGGCCAATTGGCAATTATTATTAAGGTACTAAGTACTGTATATCAGAAGGTAGTTTAGTCATGAAATATCGTGTACGGATTTGTCTTTCCTCGGGGGCGTGTGTCATTGGTTTTCACCCACGATTCCCTAGCTCTTTTCACCAGTGTCCAAAACTTTTTTTTTTCCTTTCTTCCTTCTCTTGCAGTCAGTCCCACGCCTAGATGTCATCGACTTTCTGTAAGTCTGGGATCTGATTCGTTCAGCGCTTTCTCCTGTTCATGCTCCTACGCACTCGAATGGGGCCAGAAAAGTCTTTTTGGCCGAAACGTTTTACCTAGCATGGCTAGGCGTGCTTCTCGAAAAGTACGGTGAGGCACATCTCTCTCCCTCTCGTGCCCTGTTGTACTTTTGGTATGGTTTTTTTTTTATCCCGTGGGTATCTTCTGCCAACTCCTCAATCCGTTGTTCTTCTCTCGGATCCCCGTTTCCCAATCTGCCCGAGCCTGCCGCCAAGTTGCGGTCAACGTAAAAAAAATAATCTGTAGTATCCTCCTTCCGTTAGGTATGATCTCGTGCCCCCTGCTTCGGTAGGGTACTATCGTCGTAGTCATATGGCGATGGTGATCGAGAAAAAAAAAAGACAAAGTAGATAGTAGAAGCGTTCGTCGTCTCGAAGCGCATGCGTAGTAAAATGTATTGACTTGAGTTATTTTGTAAAATCAAACGAGCTTCAAAGCAACCTCCCCAACCCCCTTCCCCTTTCCCCATGATTTCTATGTCTTAGTCGTTAATGTGTCAATATTACGAGTAGAAGGCATGCCCGTCGTGGTTTGGTATCTCTAGTATTAAGCAATTACCCGCCCCGGAGACCAGGTGAAGGTAAAACCCTGGCCTATTACTATTTGTTGTACAGTATTCCATTGGTGATAACAGTAAATATGTGTTTTGCAAACATGCTAGATGCGTCGCGCGTTTAGATCGGTAATTCCGTAAGGCTAATTAGTCGTAGAGGCACGGTATAATTCCCCTCTCTTCGTAACTTTTGCCGAGTCGACAACATTTCATGGCTAATTCCTAACTCACGGCTTCCGATGTGAAGTAACGTATTATAGTATTTGACGATGGTGCTAAGTCGTCTTCGTCTTGTTGTCACTCTGATCCCAGAGTGTCGGTGATGGTGGCGTTCGCTTCTGGTTACACCTCAACCCTGAAGCTGCCGCGGATAGATGGTGTCCCCTGCCCCAGGAGCTGAAACTCCTGGCGGGGACGCTGATTGCTATAAGTTTTCCTCCCCAACATCCGCCACCTCTCCAGAAAGCTGCGCCGCCCGCTCTCGGCAAGCCTGAGGAGTAAACCCGGGGCCAACTTTGTTGGAAACGAAGCGCCACTTCTCGTTTTCGTAGTCTTGAAGCGCCGTCCGAAGCTTTTGGTCCTGTAAATTTGTAATTAACATCCGCATGCCGGCAAACTCACGTAAATTGTGTACGTTAGTCGAGGTAAACTTACTGTTTCGTCCGTCCATTGAGTCGTTTTTGCTTTGAGCTTCGTACAATACCGGACCTGGAGCGTACCCGAGGAACGGCCCGGGAAGAAGTCGGCAATCTGTTTCCACGTCAAGCTTTTGTTTTCCTTTAGATCGATAAGTAGTGCGTCATCTTCCGGCGTAAACTTTAGCTTCGGCCCTCTTGGCCTCGGTGCCGGCGGTGGCATTCCGGCTTGTCCTACTACGCTCGGAGCGCCACCCCCAGCGGCCCCCATGCTTCCGTCACCTTCGCGTCTCATCATCTTCGAAGGCGGCCCTTGATCTGGTAAGCGGTGATGATGGTGAGTTGGAGCTGCTCCAGGAGGCTGCGCATATGCGGCTCCCATAGACTGCTGCATGTTATCTAGATCGCCTGATTCAAGTTCAGACATCCCGCCGGATAAGTCAAGATCGTCTGGACGACTGCGTTTCGTCCCAGCACTGTGCGGCTGAGTAGGCGTCATAGCCGGGTATAGCGGTGGACCAACTACGGAGTGAGGCGACTGTGTTGGGCCATAGTGTGAAGGCTGGTGAGCCATATGGCGAGCGGCCGGATGGCCGCCGAGATGCGCCGGATCCATTAGGATCTGGTGGTGATGGGCGGGGTGATGCTGCGACATGGTGTGGTGAGAGTGCGACTGCGCTGATTCATGTAAACTCCCGTGTCCTGAGTGCTGCATTGGATTTCCTCTGTGGTGATGCGTGTCGTATGCGTGTTGAGACTGGCTCTGCTCGCCCGGATGCGATTCTTGTGGAGAGTAATCGACATTGTAGTCCGGTCCTACTCGATAGTTGCCCGCCAGTGTGCCGTCGATGCATGGGTTCCGCCAGAGCGAACCGCTCTGGACGGTCGCCGGAGTCTGTATAGAAAGAATTTGATGGACTGGAGCCCCTCGGGGCTGCTGATGTGCGGGCGGTTGTAAGTTGGTAGGGCGAGTCTCGCGCGTGGGATCGATGATGATGCCCGTCCTGTCGGATTGGGGTTGAATAATTAGTAGGCTGAGCACTTACTTGCCCAGCAGCCGTGTACATATGCTGTTGCAGTAGTAGTCGTCGGTGAGTTGGTCAGGTGCGGGACGTTGTAGGATTGTGTGGTGTTAAGGTAAGATCGTCTTGCAGGGCGGCGAATATCCGTAAGCCAAAGAAATAAAAATCAAGTTCGGGGCAGCCCGCGCAGACTCTTTAACAGCTCACTGGCACCTAAGCTTGGCCGAGAGTATGGGGATCCGTCCTTTTTCTTGGATTCCTTAGCTGGGTCTATTATATGGTAACAAAACGTCAAAGTGGAAAATGAACAGCAGCGGGCAAGGGATGCATTATATCGTCTGATCTTCTTTTCTCGTTTCTGTCCAGGCAGGGACGAGCTAGGGAACGACCCGCAAGTACTATGACAACCTGGAACTACCTCTCTTTTTTCATCCACAGGTTAAAGCACTTGACCTGATTTGCCATGTGCGAGACAAGTATCGTTCCTGAACGGGTGTGGAGATTCGGTTACCTCGCCCGGCGATGACGGTAGCATAATTTGGTGATCTTATGCCATGGTCAGCTTTCCGGATATAGAAGATACCCCAGCCGGAGGTTATGATGCAACTGGGGCAGCGATAAACCCACAACGGGTGAGGTACTCGGACACTGACAGGGTGAGAAAGTACCAGTTGTCTTCTTGTGACCCTGGTCGAGCTTTTCCCCAAATAAGATTACCAAAGGTCTAAGTGAATCCAAAGAGAGGAACGTCTGGAAAACGCATAGAAGCTTACAAAACAAGACGACCGAATAGAGAAATGAACAGCTGAAACGGGACCTACCGCGCAGTTGGGCAGTGTCTGTAGAGCATGACAAGCGAATTATCGAGGTGGGCCGCACCCAGGCTCACGACAGAAAGGGCCCCTGTTCAACCTTTTTTTTTTCTTCACACAGGGCAGCCAAGGCAGTGGGCAATCCCCGGAGGGTTAGAATGCCGGTTGACTGGATGTACTGTATGTGTATGTACGTGTATTAGGTGGCGCGCCCAAGCTCGGCTGCTAGGGCAGTTAGAAAGGAATGGGTCACTCTCTCCCTCGTCCGCTTGGAGGGGATATATTGGAACTGGGGTGGGCTATAATAAGAATTAAGAGAGCTCTGATCCCTGACACGCCATAGGGCGAGTGAAATTGGTAAGGTAGCAAGTAACCACAGAACGCGCTTGACAGATTGCCGAGCAAAAAACAAGGGAAAATATGACACTAGAGCCACTAACGGTCTGCTTTTCCAGGGTAATCTGGCAGCTCAGCAGGAGACCTGGCGACCTCGAAGTCGCAACACCCATGTATACTATACTGGGACCTGGTTTCTATGTGGTTTCTATGTCAGCAGATTTGTCGAGCTATGCTGGGACGTGTAGGGATATGTAAGAGGTAGGGGTAAAGGGGGGGGGGGTCGTAGATGGAGATGGGAACAGGAATAACAGCGTCCAGCAGAGATTAGCAGACTTACGTTTCGGGATATACTATGATGATGATGCTTGGATCACCAAGCGGGAACGATGGGGCTTGAGATACTTGGCGGGATAGCTAAGCAGGGTCATGTTGGACACGATTCTCTCTTTTTCCTAACCCTCTCTCGTCTAAGGTACATGTCAAGTGACTAAAAGTCGTCATCGTATCGTTAATCTAGAAATGATACCTCGCCGAATGCTAGCGGACGGTCCAGAGATTGGGGGTAACTGGTTCCAATTCTCTGGATCCCGGTTCTAGGGCATCGTAATATTGCGCGATTCAATGCGATTGACGTGGGAGGTCCAATAGGCGGTGGGACATCGAGGTTGGTTAGACTGGTCCATTATCCATTTGAACAACGGTGTAGAGCTGAGGAACCTAGAAGGACAGGAGCTTCGGGGATGGAGCTCTCGCATGAACGAAACACGTTTCAATACTTCCAAGCAATTAAAAGATCAATTATGCAATTTGACCATTAAGTCGGCTTCTAGAAGAATGGAAATTGCTTCTAGGGCGTGACCAGGGGTGTTTCAGACGTCTGAGCCGCCCCGTCTGGTATTAGTCCGTGTGGAGTTTGCGACGTTGAATGAGAAAGCGCATAGATGGAAGTTTGACAATTGGCGATTAACAATTAACAATTGAGGAATAGAAGTAAAAGTGGAATCACAACTAAGAGAAATGATGTCAAGGAAGTCGTAGAGAAAGAACTGCAAGATCGGAAATTGCGAACGATCTGCGTATAGGCAGGTACGGAAAGTAAAGTTTAGCTAGACATGTACATAATAGGTACCGTAAAGTTCGGGCCTAATCCGAGGGTAAGGTACAGAACTATGCTCAACCGGGCTATTATTAGAAATCCCCTAGTGTATAGCTACCTAGCTCTCAGCTCGATAGCTACCCATACCTTGTTTTTGTGCACGGAAGGAAAGAATTAAGATCCTAGTATTATCAAACATTTTGAATCTTTTTTTTTTGTCTACCCGTTCTTTTGGAGAATAGGGTAGGAAAGGGCATATGGAGATGGAGGCACCTGTAGTTTCTGAACGAATAACTAACTAGAATAAAATCTAGTTTCTCCTTACCCCTGAGACCCAACTCTATCCTTTCTTACAACACTGATGCATTACGTAGAAACGAAGACAAATAGAGCATTATCTCCATTTTCGGATAAAGCGCAAAGCATTGGCGTGTTAATTATAGGACGCATTGTCAATTACGGTCTCCTCGGCCTTTCTTCTAGAAGAATTCTATTTCAAGAGCCCTGTCAATTATGTCTTATCCCCTCTCGGGCCCCTGCATCCGACCGCTTGGGTGGACCGCTGCGGCCCATAGCATGTCCTGCTTTGCATGCACGCAAGGGACAATGCAGCCAATTTAAAGCTCTTTTGTCAAATGTTGTGTAGCGTCGCGTGGCTGGAGATAGCTTCAAGTTGAAGTATATTTACGTAGGTCGTTGATAGGTATTTACGAGTAACTTAGGGCATTTTATCTTGGTTTATGCATTACATGCCTCCTTATCATAGCGTAAATGCTGTAGCGCGATGCGATGCGATGCGATACGATACGATACGATACGATGCTGCATTCGTTTCTTTAAGCGCTTAGCTCCGACAGGAGTTCATCTACCTAAGATATTGTCGGTGAGGAGTTAGCATTGTTCATCAATGCTCTATCTTCTAACGCTCGCAAGTTGTTACCACCAACATCCGTGTCTCCTGATCTACACAACCGGGTAGCTGGTCATGCTGGTCATCAGACGATAATCCTTTTACGGAATGCCTGTAATCAAGATTCAATTATTATTATTATTTTTTTTTTTTTACGGAGATTCTGAGGTTGTAGTTTTATGTTTTTGAGACGCGTAATGGATACAATGTTCTCCGTCTCCGTGTCCTTCATGTTTTGGACCGTTTCAAGCTCCACTTTCACATTGAAGCTCCGTGTTATACCAAGAGACCCACTTCTCTATACCGCTGGTTTATCGGCACTTACAGCTTAAGCTCAATTATGGTTAGGAGAGATTGTATCGGACTGGCCGCTATTACACGGAGCATCGCTGGATATCTCAACAAATTTTAGTATGCAGATAAGTTGCATGACTCTGATATTACGTCCAAAATAAATCGATGTTAGGTTTTAACCAAAGTAAACTGACAACTCTTTACTTTATCGGTGTTATACAAAACCAAAACCGGGAAGATCCGTTTGTTACTTGAATCATTCATTAATGGTTAGTTATATAGCGTCATATATTCAAGTATTCAGGTATTCAGGTATTCAGCATCAGGTCAGCCTCACTCCAGATGGTTGCGTGCCGAATAACCATGTCGATAATGCACATCTCAACTGGGGAAACACTCCTTGACAGGTTAAGTACATTGTGGGGATAACAGACCTTAACTGTTGCGCATGGACAGCGGGTATGAAGTACAGAAGTACATATGTATCTAGCCCTGGCCAGAAAATCTCCGCAATGTTCAACGACCCCCTCGCTCGCCCAGAGATCCGGTTAGATATTGTATTCCGTACTGGTACATAACGATGAATTATAGGACTACGCAACCTTTCCCCAGCCCGGTCAGTACATACGACGTTACGAAGTGGACTCTTTTTAGAAAGACTAGCCAAAGCTAGCAATAGATCAAATGTCTAATAAGATCCGTAAGAGGATCTAACCTGATCTACACGAGAGTCTAGGTATAAGCGCATGAACGCATAAAGAAGAGCAATTTACTTTCTTATACCCTCTTCGCTCGATTTAGTATACCCATTTCGGCGGCGCCATAACTTCGGCACTACGTCTTGTCCTAAGCTTCTTGCTTAAACCGGTAGCTCTCATCTCACCTCTTCATCTCCATTGCGGCGAGAAGAGAGTGAATCTTTCCCAATCAGTTATTGATCTCCAATTATGCATTTAGTCCCAAAGCCTTTCCCCCCCTGTAAACTCACCCAACCTGCCAACTTACCTATCATCCCCCCCACCCACTCGTCTTTCCCTCCCGCCGATTATCAAGCTACTAACTACCTAACTAACTAACTAACCCGTCCTATAGTATAAGTACATGCGCATGCTCATCCCGCGCTAGGACGACGAGCTAGTTGCCAGGCTCGGAGAACTTTGCGTGTCTTGCCTGCCCAGCGCGGAGGATTTATCGGTTTTACGATTAGGGATTACGGGCGGCCGGGGGTTATCAAGTTCTATCTACGCCGCTTAAGTGAGCAAGCTCGTAGGATTTTAGGTACACATCGCTACGGGATTGGGCAGCGATCGAGACCTCCAGTTTTGCTTTTTTTTTTTTTTTTTTTTTTTCCCTCTCGTTCGCCGCCGAACCTCCGCTGCGTTCATCAGAGCGAAAGTTGGGGGTAGGATAGGTAGCTTAGCTTTCATGCGAAGTGCCTGCATATGGTAGTAGATTATATGCGACCAACCGGTCCAGGGACGGCCTCTATGTAACCAACTTCCTGCGGCCGCTTTCTTAACCACTTTGCGCCGCATCTACATTCCCCATCTGGGTTTGGCCCTGAGCTAATAACGTCGTCCATCAAGAAAAATCCACGAAATCCATGATATACCTAACTAACTTAGTCTCTATACTCCGCTACTCCACCCCTAGAGTCGGGTGCGTAATCCAGATCGATGCTCGAGCGGGCAACCTGTCAAAATCGTGCAGGCTATCAGCCTTGATCTCCACATCCGCCTCATTTGATAATTGACGGGCGGGCACGAGCTCGGCGTGGTACATGCCTTATAAGTACCTGGGCCGAACCTGGGTAGCATTTAGCCCTCGAGGATTCTGGGGAGGGGAAAGAGGGCCCAAGCTTCCTTTAGAACAAGATTATATCGCAATGCGGAATAATGGTGATCGCAAAGTCACGCACACGCATTTTCGGTTCCGAGTCCATGGTTGTGGGGGTATTATCACATTCTCGTATACATAAGGTACTACATATAATAAGATGTAGCTGATGTTACAATGAGGTACGTACCGACCCGGCATAATACTTTTGAAGTAAGCAGATAGAAATAGCAATATGGGAAATAAAAAATACATCAATGCTCTCTTAGGTCAGGGCTGAGCCTTTATCCCTGGACTTCGTAATTCAATCCATTTTTCTTCAACGCCATAGAAAAAATATCAGCAAGCACACCACCATCACATCGCCGGTTTTGGAAATGCTATTGAAATGCATTATTTCATCTCATCTCTATCCCTATTATCATCTCCCATTCATAGACGGCGATTTGTTCTTCCCTCCATAGCCACTCCCCCCTAAAATAGCCAAGGTAATTAAGCGAAATTGTCGTTTCTGTCAACACCAGGGTCTTCCATCTCCGTGAAGTCGTGGAAGTGCTCGGGGCGGTGTTGATCGCTATAGAATGGCAGTGGCGTGTCAAGCTTGACGTGTACTGGCTTCTTCTCTAGGCCGATGAAGTTACTGCCCATAAAATTATAGTTCCATTTTCCGTCTTCCGGTACGAGGAAGAATCCTCTGTACCGTGGGCTGAGCAGAAGCTTGCGCTTGACTCCCATAGAAGTTGTAAACCCTGCCGGCGAGTCGCTGCCGAGATCCTTATTTTCAACGCCCCATCGGTATCCCGCTGGGGTCAAGGCCCAAGCAGATAGGGAGACGGAGCCAGGTGTGAAGGATACGTCAATCGTCACGGTCTTTTCCTTGTCCCATTTTTGATGTCGGTCGAGATTCTGAGCGTGCATCGTGACGTCAACCGCAGACATGTACGGAAGTTCGTTCCCGGCCATAGTGTGTATCACACCGAGAGGTTCCATATTCGCGAGATATTCGTGCTGCGGTAGTTGGTGAGGTGCTTGGCTATAGCGTAGGTTACCTATTTGAGGAACCATGACAATACAACGGATCTCCTTGACTTGGTCGTTATCTGGCGCAGAAACACCGTATAAGTACCCTGCAATTTGTACACGAAGATCGGCAATAGTAATAAACTTCTTTAGGATATTGTTGGGCATGACGTAAGTCATGTCGTCTAAATCATTGTCAACGGACGAGACGTATATATTGTTGGCTCGGGTTCGCAGGTTCGAGGTAGCAATGGCTCTGGTACGCCATTCCGTCTTGGACGAAAACTTCTCCTGTTCGAATCTTGACGTGGTGGTGACAATAAGCTCTTCGCCATGGACGTTTTGAGTCTTCGTAGTAACAGCAGTAATTTGTTGCTGTTCCTGCTGCTGCTTCTCAATTTCCGCAGCCTGCTGTCGTTGCATCGACGGCGCAGAAATCTCCATACCTAAGATGATGTCTCGGACTTCGCTGCTCGTCAAGCTAGAGACGTTGACATTGTTCTTCTTTCCATAGTCGTGCAGAATCAAATCTCGTAGCTGTGTTTCGACCTTGATCCAGTCTTCATCTGACAATGTGGGCCAAATATGGTGCACTTGAGTTATAACAGTCTTATCGGGCCGTAGAATGAGTTTTGTCTTGTCCGGGTTAACGTGAAGTGCACGTAGGATGAGAACAAGACGGGAGAATGCCGTGTATGACGAGATGCTCTTAAGCCATTCATCGTAGAGGTTGAACAGGACCATTTGAGGTTCAGTAGCACGGAGAATCATATCACCTAATTTCTCGACCTTCATTGCCGCCTGGAAGGGCAACTGCAGTTCTGACGCTCGAATAGAGATGTTCGGGAAATCTAACAAATGAACCTCGAGAGGATCTAGCAGGCCTTTACGAGTAACAATAAGCTCCTTCGGCTGTTCTTCGACTGGTAACGATCGGATGAGAGCTGCAACTTCTTCAGCCGTTTTCCACTTGGCTAGTTGACCGAGACGCTTTTGTCCAGCCCAGACGCTAGTGTGAATGATCTTCAGGAACAATTGACCAGTTCGGGGATTGAAGATGAAAATTGCTCCGTTGATTGGCTTCGTGGTCAAGTTACCTTCGAAGGTCTTGTGGATAGTAACTCGATAAACGTTGGTATCGTCGATAAAGAGCTTTGTCTGATTGCTGAACAATTCGGAATAGTTCTGAGAGTTGAGGAATTCTTGGTTGCTCTCCGAAGCATAGAGTTGGAGACCCTTCCTGATACGTTCACGGAGAACGTATAGTGCCGGATTGGCTTTCATGATTTTGGCCATAGCCTGTTGTACCAGGACCTTTAGACCTGGGAAATATTGTCCGTAGGCGGAGTAAAGGTTGTAAGCAAGATCGATACCAATCATTAGACCAGTTGCTGAAGGGTAGATACTCATGCTGTCCTGAGTGTAATCCAAGTACTTCGCACGAGTATATCGCTCAATGTCGTGAGAATCATAGTCACCATACCGAAGCTGGATATCAAGCCAGAACTTGTTGGTTGTGGTAGGCTCGATTATGTCCTTAGTGTCATGTAGAAGAGACGGCCGAGTGACATTCCATTTATTGCTAGCGAAAAGTAGGATGTCTGCGCAGGAGCTGTTCATCTTGTACGACTTTCGAGGATGAATAGTTTCTTTCTGGACTGTCTCGATTCCAAGAGACTCTAGCTCCTGGTCGAACACCTGGCAGAAATCCATTACGACGGACTCGTGAATCTTCTGCCACAAATGGGCACGGAAAATCTGAATGAGAGAAATTTTCAAGGTAGGAATCTTACCGTGTAAGAAGATACCTGTAAGATCGAGTTGGACCTGGAAACCGACATAAACGTTTGCTCGGTTGATGGTAGGCGACCACCAAAGCGTAAATCGACGGTTGGGAATCTGGTTTAGACCGGATCTCTGAGCATTGGTTAACTTCTTGAATTTCATCGATTCTTCAAAACCACTGTTGTGGAGCACAAGATAGTCATGCCGCAAATAGAGCTGATCTTTATCGACTCGGAAACCTGCCCATTCGGTAGCTTCCGTTTCAAGAGTGATATCCTTTACAGCAAAACTATGAGTTTGAGGGATGAACTGTGTAGCCCCTATCTTCCGTAGGAGGAGGCATGGAATTTCACTCAGGTCTCCGGATATCTCAGCAAACAATTGAGATTGTTGCTGCTTGGTCAAAACACTAAAACCTAGCGACCGTGCAAGGGAAACAGTATCCCAAAATTGAGCCGACTGCCCGAGACCGTTTTGACAGAAACCAAGCACGTTCTCGGGAGAAACATACCAGCCGTTAGTGTCGAGTAGGCCAGCAAGAACAGCAAGACGGACGGATCGTGAGTTCCTGACAAATAGAGAAGGGATACATCTTTGGTCGACGCTAAATTTGCCAAGGGCTTGGACGAGTGCATCGATGCTTGATGCATTCGTAGTATCGTTAACAATCCGACTAGCTAACTGCTCTGCTTCTTCTTGTTGCAGACTTCCATACGCTCGCTGGCCAGCCTGCAAACGAATGACATGTTGGCGGTTATGATCATCAGAGTCGTCTTCTTCTCCGGAACTAATCTCCTCATCTTCACTAATTATATCTAGGAGGTCTAAGTCCGCGTCGGAATTTCCATGAAGATCAAGCTCAACCGCGAAATTAACCAAGAATTTTCGAATCTCTGCTTCATAGTTGGCCTGTTTTGTGGTACTAGCACGGGCTTTATCTCCAAGCCAGAGGCCTAGGAAATAGGGGTCAACTGGCACAGCCTTTTCGGGCAATTCGAAGCCAGAAGATCTAAAAAGTTTATATTGGCTCCTTTCTTTTGGCTCCAGGGCTGCAAACTCTGCGGCGGTCATCTCGACGGTTTCAAAGCGTTTGGCTGCTGAACTAGTAGACTTTGGTAATGGCGATGCATGGTAACGACCGAATTTCTTATGCTCATGAGAATTGTACACTCGTCTTTGTCCTTGAGTATTAGATTCCCTACCCTCATCAGTAAGACCCTTCTTATAGAAGACTAGAATATGATTTGGCGTGACAACGAGGTCCTCCTGACGGCCTCCGACCTTAATGCGATAGAGACGATCCTTGCCGTTGACTATATTGAAAGCGCGTCGTGGTGTTCCATCGGGACCTAGAAGCAGGTCTCCCTCTTTGACGTCCTCAACAGCGATCTGAGTGTGGTCGTATCGTAGCAGCTTCGTCCCTTTAGCAAGACAGGCCTTCTCCCAGAACAGACCCTCCCAAGAGGGGAAGCCCGTGGCTTTAAACAAGGTGTGCTCAAGGATCGTTTCGACACCGCCAAGGGCCTGGATAACATCTGAACGGTATGCGTTTAGATTCCAAAGCTTTCCGTCGTGACGCTGGCTCGTCCACCAGAAGGGATTGCTCTTCATGAGCTGGTAAATCTTGAATTCGCTTCTGGTTCGGAAGCCTTTATCGAAACTGAGTGTACTTCTGTCCTTTTGGAATAGAGTGTTAATACGAGGCAACCCACGGTCCCAGCTGTCCTCCAAGTCTTCCAAGGTCAAACGTCTGTTTTGCTGGTTTGCCTCTAATCGCTTCTGGGAGTACTCAGTCCAAACTCTCTGCGAATCGATAAACTCAGCTTCCCACGGGATGATATATCTAAAAATGTTGGGAATGAGTGTCTCCTCGTCGTGCGTCATGCCAGCTCTGAAGTGACTGACTCCAACATCCGTCTGTTGCGAATAGCGTTTGTCACTAGCTGGGATAAGAATGTGCGAACCAGAAATCATTCCGAGACCACCCAACTCCTTTGGCGTATAGAAAACGGCAGGAGGGAAACGCGACGGCATCTTTGAGTTCAATCCGATCTTTACTCGGGTTTGGATTTTGGTCTCACACTTTACAATGGTATCCAACAAATTGACCGTTGATACAGCAGCCTCACGGTAGTAGGTGAAGAGCGCAATGAGAGCCGTGTTCCATTTATTGGCGATCTTAGTAAAGGTTGTTGATCCCGAAGACATAAGAATCTGGCGAATCCTGTTGTTGAATTTCTGAATATCTTCCTCCGTAACTTGTAAAAAGGCGTGCGCCGTCCTCTCCTTTGTGGTATTGTCCACGAGAGACCAAACGCTATCCTTGATAGGGAACTCGTCATTCTGATTCCTGATCTTCGGTAGAATGCGAACCTCGAATCCACACATGGAGAAGAGCAAGTTTGGATTATCACGGCTATAGACGCTGGCGAAGGTATCGTCCCACTCAATCGTAGTAACAGATCGAGGGAGACGGTTCTTCAAATCCCAGAAGACGGCTCGGCCAAGATTGACGTCGTGCCTCATCAGCCGCATGCGGGAGTCCCTCGGCCAGCATTTCTTGCTCTTGTAACCAATGACATTCTCAAAATTCGGATCGGGCTGCTCTGTCAGGAACCGTTGGATGAGATCTCGCGACTCCTCCGCCGAGAAACGCAAGAAAACCCATATCTTGTCGATATATCTTGTGTATAAGCGGATAGGATGCTTGGTCTCCGTCTCACGGTCACGAAACTGAAGGAAATCATTGGGGGCTGATGGTGGGCCGGCAATTTCGCTAGCTCGGTTCAAGCCGAGGAGCAAGAGGTCAAGAACAAGCCCGTAGTACTGGAAGACAAAACCAGAGAACTGAAGACCGCGTATCATACCGTAACTGTTAACATGGTTCATGTCCTTGTAAGTTAGCTGTACGTTGTTCTTTGAACTGATGTAATCTGCCAGGTTGTGATCCATGATCAATCTTAGGAGTCTGTTAAGGAGGGTGAGGTCTATCTTCTCATAGACCTTCGAGAGCTCGGTTTCAATCATCACGTTGCACTCGCCATCCGCACTCTCCCAAACTTTTTCCAAGTTGTTGATGCCCTGGGCCCACTTATACACCAGTAAGGGTGGCACCTCAGAATCCGAAGGCTTGATCCAGGCAGGGAAGAGATGTCGTTGATCGGCCTGGTACCACAGATACTGGTCAAGGTAGGCATCGCTGATTTTTTCTATCGGCTCTATGTCGTAAACAGGATTAATAGTGCTATAATTATCGTTCATGTCAATTTGCACTTCCTTGAAGGCTCGCTGCGTGAGCAGGAACCGCTTAATCCTCTCTAGAGTAGTACCCGGGCTGTCATAAGCTTGCTCAATCAAAGCTAACTCTTCTCGCTGGCTTTGGTTGAGGCGACCTTTCACAGAGTATGCCTCTCGCAATCTTTCGAGAGCAAGAATTAATATTTTCGTATCGTGCTTGTACGATACACTTGGAAAGGGAATCGGGGTAAACTTTCGTGATTCAAGCCAGTGCACCGTGGTTGTGTAGATCGCCACGGCTTCCTCAGAAGACACATAAGGTCCATCCTTCATGTAATTATGTTGCCTCTCCTGTTCGGCCTTAAGCCAGAGACGTGTCAAACGACCTACGTTCTTCTTCGCAACCGTCTTATCAACAGTAGCGCCTCGCCGAATACGCTCGCGGTTGTAATGAGCAACAGAGATCCACCAATCTGCCTTCGACTTGACGTAGCGGAGAATGATGTTTTCAATGGGTGCAGGCAGGCCGGGGACTTTCCATGGAATGTTACTCTTCCAACACCTCCAGGCTTCGGATAAGTGCTGAAGAACAGTATTAACCTTATTCTGTTTGATACCCTCGGGCATCATATCCATTAGATCGGCCATTACGGAGGCTCGGAGTTCAAGGTCAAAGTGCGATTCAACACGTTGCTTGGTCACGGTCTTGGCCACACCCTTACTGTGGCGTCCTTCGAATTGACGCGATAGCAAGTTTCCAAGCCACCGCTCAAGAAGAGGAATAATTCCTCGCATGAAGAAGAGCCAGACACGCCAGGCAGGCGCCCAGAAACCACATCCGGGGCCCTTACCAACGGGCCCGCTGTTGAACCGATAGTAGATGAGATGCTTCAGATCTTTGCACGATCGAATTTGATGCATGAGCTTATACTTGTAACGGTACATACCAGTCAGCTGGCCAACGTGGTTGAAGGCGTAGAGAATACCATCCGCCAATTGGAAAGCATCAATGTTACCCAAACGATATTGTACCTGCGCGTCGACGATGAGCTTCGTCAGGCGTAATATTTCACGCATTAAATGGAAAGCATTTCCGAATCGCGACTTCTTTCGCTCCTTCGTCGTTAGTGTTTTCACAGGCTTAAGATTAAAGTTATAATCTAGATGGAGGTATGTAAGATTCTTTCGGTGAATTAAGAGGTTCAGCATGTTAAATCCCTGCCGACAAACTTGAAGACCAGCTTCAACCCAGTCAATCGTTGTCTGCTGGAAGAACTTGGTCTGCTTTAAGCTCTTCAGGAGACTTTGGCGATTGAGCGCCTTCGGCTTCTTCTTGTGAAGCTCGTTGAGAACGTACGTCTTGAGGAGCTTCTGATACGATACTCGGACTTTGACGGGCTGCTTCGGAGGACAGTGCTCAAGGTACCACTGCTTCACAAGCGGCACATCTTGCGCGCGCACCATACGACCGGACCGACGATCGAATGGAAAGGGGGCCCACCAGAGGGCAATAGCAGGTGATGTATCTTCAGTGTAGAGATCCTCATCGGCTAGGAAAGGTTCAACGCCGGCTGGCAGCTCGAAAGTGTCCTCTTCGGGCTCTTCGAGATTCCCGGCGCCGAATATCTCGTCCTCGTGGCTAACGGTAATGTTCTTCGGCGCCACCGAGCGGGAAGAGATGGGATTAATCATAGGGTCGAAATGAAATGCGGGTAGATTAGGGTCTTCAGACTTAGTATACACGATTTGGGGGTGAGAGTACCAGGTAAACTGGACGCTTCGGGGAAGGGAGTTATAGAGGTAAGGATAGGCGACCCGGTACTCGGTTCGGATGGGAAAGCGGAAAATGATTCTGTCAATGGCGTTGAACTCCCCGAAGTCCTCATCGTTCGGATCGATATCTTTGTACAACGGTTCGAACCGAGGACCGCCGGGCAGTGCAACATTTAACGCCTTGGCAGTAAGGAAACTCTTCAAATCAAAGAGGTAGAAATAGTTCTGGTCGACTATCTCACTTAGTAACGGGCGACTCAGTCGGTGAAGTGCTGCCATCTGCGGCAATGTGAGATTCCACTGCTTGTAACTTGGCCCATTGACGTGCTCGGTATCAACTAAGGGCCGATGGTCATAAAACCATTCGTAAACAGCACCGTCTTCTTCCTCATCGAGCTCCATCTGAATCGGTTCCAACGGTTCCACATCCTCAATATTCTCCGACCAAGACAGCGGAGGTTCTTCGTCATCAAATGGCGGGAACCTCATCCTCTTGAACAGTCTTCTATCACTCTTCTCCTTTCTCATAGTCAACCACATCGTGGCCCATTGCGCGTGGAATACGGGCGGGATAACTCGAGGAATCTCGTTTACGAGTGTGAGGCATCCGTTAACGTGGTATAACACCTTAACTTCCCTTGCCGATTCCCATGGCATAGGCATGTTCTCCAGCAACTTCATGACCGCGTGTGGCATGAATTTTAGCGCACCAAGGTAGCTTCGCTTGTCACTGGTGTATTTTTTCTGAGAAACGTCACCAATATCCTTCACGATTTTACGTAGATGTTCAGGAGGCATATCAGCCTTTTGGGTCTCTACGAAGCCACCCTTTCGCTTCTCGCCAAAGCGATTTCGCTGATTCCGAAGCCATTCCTTCTTCTTCTGCGCAAACTTCGCGGTCTGCAGGTCGGTTGGAGGCCGGTATCCAGGGGGAGGAGGAGCTGGAGCTCCAGGCGGTGGAGGAAGAAAATCTGATGGGGGACCCGGTGGGGGAGGAGGCGGCGGAGGAGGTCCCCATCCGGGAGGAGGTGGAGGAGGTTGGAAAGACGACATCTCCAAGTTGATGAATATCAAAATTACGCGACTTTTTTAGATGCTGTCGCTATCGCGGCGCGATCTGTCGCGCGAGGATGCTAGGGACGCCAAATACAGCCGAACACAGGCGTTAGCTCCTAGCAATCCTGAAATGGAAAATTAGAGTTAAGGTCGTAATCGGGCGCGTCGTCTCCCTGATTGACCGACGCGAAAAGAAGATTAAAGTTGGTAAAGTGATGGAATCCCTCAAAGGTTAAACTATGTAGGGGCAATTTTTCCTATGACCTTTTAGTCCCCACTCAGACTTTGGCAAACCGGGGGTTAGACTGAAATGATTACATAAGGAGCTTTGTCGGCATGTGGTCACGTGAACAAGATTAGGTGGCTTTCAAGTAAGAGTGGACCTCAGGCTAGTGCCTTGTGGCTAAATCAGAAACCCCACACCAAAATTCCCATTGGTTCAATCAATAAGCGGGCTAAAGATCCATCCCACACATCTCTTCCGTAAAAACACCAAAATTCATCCCTCACAAAAAAAAGTTGTAAAGGAAGAAGTCAAACCATTCCACCAGCAACATCAGTCAAAATGGGCAACAACCGAGTCACCTATCGCCGTCGTAACCCGTACGTCTCCCAATTCAATTGAAATATTCATCAAATTCGAATAATTACTACTCCTAGGAACGCGCAAAGCTAACGTGTCGCTTAAAGGTACAACACCACCTCCAACAAGACCCGTGTCGTCAAGACTCCCGGTGGTCAGTTGCGAGCTCTTCACATCAAGAAGCGAGGAACCGCCCCGAAATGTGGTGACTGTGGTGTCAAGCTCCCCGGCGTAAGTAAATTTAGTTATTTTTGGTTATTTTGGAGGGAAACCGAGAAAGGAGCCTAGGAAAATTCGAATCAACATCGACTCCTGCGACAACAGCTATCATGTTTCTCCTTGGCCGAAACAATTCGGTATTATCAGCACAGGATCGAACTTGCGCAATTCTTTTCCACTTGAGACATAGATTTTACATCCGACAAACCACCTATAAAGACCACTATTTAAACAAACACGAGCCTATTAAACCAATACTAACTATCTACACTAGATTCCTGCCCTCCGACCCCGTGAATACTCTCAGATCTCCCACCCTAAGAAGACCGTCCAGCGAGCGTACGGTGGTTCAAGATGCGGTAACTGCGTGCGAGACAGGATCGTGCGCGCTTTCCTGATCGAGGAGCAAAAGATTGTCAAGAAGGTGCTGAAGGAGCAGAGCGAGGGTTCCAAGAAGAAATAAACTACCGAATAACTCTGGGATGGAATGGTTCGGCCTTCATTGATTTGGTGTTCAGAGGGACAGGGCTGCATGTCATGCGAACGGCTACCGAATAGCCCGTATCTGTTTCTAGGGCTTCTAGGGCTTCTTCTCATGGTCTAGATGATCGGAATGGTATAAACGACATCAGGACTACCATTGTTCATATCGTTCCTCACATCTGCTATACTGTGACACGAATACCACGACTTAATGGACATAGGCTATTTTCTAGTCTAACTTGGACAGTATCACTGCAACTTTCGTGGCATGTCCGTATTGGTTTCCTTGTGCCCCCCCCTTATATTTGAATAGGGAAAACACGGGCATCCTTCTCGAATCGTAGTGTTCCCAACGCACAAGAGCTTTATCACTCTAAATTACAGTAGTTCCTATTGCGAGATCGTGTGTACCACTCAACTTAATCTGTAAGGTAAGTACCTAATAATGTTTTCTAGGTATTTCGGAATAACCAGGGTATGAATAAGTGTAATCTTTGAAATGAATATGAAAGGATACCATCGTCATCCATCCGATAAGTCTAATATTTCTTCAAGTCCTACTCTTAGATATATCACAGGATATGGTATCGAATTTGAGAGTTATTCCTTTATGCTTTTACTATAATTCATATCCCAAACGATATAGAAAATTCTAATATAAAGTTGCTCAAAACTACCACAATAGAAAGTGAAGCGTAAACTAAAATAAATGTCTTATCTACCAGTTATAATGCCATGATTTGTGCTTATGTGGATACGATACAGTGAAGATTAGATAAGTATATATACTGTACAAGCTTCTCCAAAATGATGACGTTCAACCCACCATCTTTTTGCGCAAGCTCCAGCTCCTTCGAATGAAAGAGACAAAACTCCAAGTCATTCAAGGAATGAAGAGCGATGGGATTTCCTACTAGAAGCTAACAAAATCACTTACGGCCATGGTTTCTGCAACAAGAGCTTGTCGGCCTTTGAATCGACTTACCACGGGTTTGCGACAGCCGGGCCTTCAAAGCCGCTGGCCACTACCCACAGCAAACACCCTCCGTACTGCAGCGAGCCACAGAATTTCCCCATACGCAACGTCGCAGTTCCACACTACCGCATCGCGCCGAGCAGACGAAGAGCCGTCCCGTGCCGACCTTTCATCCTTAGATGTGCTGGGCAATACACCGGTGCCCGCCACTTCCGTAGACGTCTGCACGTCGAGCGGCTTCCACCTCAACAGCGGCGCAAGAGTCACCGACGGCTCCGGCGTCCTCTTAATCAACGGCGAAGCCTTCACATGGCGCCCATGGGCACCTCGCGGCGAGAAGAGGTTGCTAAATAAGAAGGGGCAATGGGATGTGCCGAATGAAACCTTCGGGTTGTTTGGATTGCTATGGCCTCGACCAGGTAAGAGGCGAGGGGAATATAGGTGGTTATATATTGGTGAGCTTATTGCTGATCAGTAACGTGTAGATTTATTAATTATCGGCCTCGGTCCGGATATCCGCCCCATGAGTCCGGAGCTGAGGAAGCATATTAGCAGCTTAGGTATGAGGGTAGAGATTTTGGACACGCGGAATGCGGCTGCGCAGTACAACTTGCTGGCTACGGAGAGGGGTGTTGAGGACGTCGCGGCTGCGTTGATACCCATTGGCTGGAGAGAAGGCGTGGGCGCTGCTTGAGCGATACATATGGTCGTTCATTATATTTGTCACACCTATACGGCTCACTTGGACATGGAGGTAAGAGCATAATTAATTATGCGGTTCACGGTATCATCGCTTTATACAATGGTCTTATTCTGTTGCTAGTTATGGGTTGGGCCGTTGCTTCAGTCTCATCCTAGACTATAGCATTGCCTGTGTCTAAGTCTATGGATACGTAAATATGAAAGCCTAACTACCTAGGCAGGAGGTTGAGGCAAAATGTACTATATTGTACTATGGGGCACGTATACCTGATATTATACGAAAACTCAAATACGACAACTTGAGTCTGGAGGGACGTTTAAGTAAATCGTCAACGCTATTATTTCATCGATACACCTATAAATCTCAATACCGTATAATCCACTAGATTCTATCTAGATATGAATATTAAAAAAACCCTCATAAAGAATCTTATTAACTGTACCACTATTTTGTGTGAAGATGATTCAAACGGATAGCCCGTCACCGTCTTGGCGAAAAAGTCAGGGAGCACTAAAAATTTTAAGCTTGAGTCATTTAATATTCTAGAAAAGCACAGCGTTTAAATCTAATCCACAAATATCTCTTTTCGTCTTTTGAGGTTGCCTCAAGCACCTTAATGTCTCGTCTAAACCAAACCCGGACTTACTAGTATGTAGATATTTAATTAACCCTAGCTCAGCCTTGCATATTGTGGCTGATCTAGCAATTTACCAAGGTTTTAATTGGTCAATGGCGACAGTCCAATGACAGCCTTCTTGAGGAACACGTTGAGGCGCTATGACGATTCAGTGGCTGAAGGGGATAATCGAGTTGTGACATATTTTTTCTCTCTCGTCCGATATAATTGGTCTTGGCTTTTCGGGTGCTAAAAGTTTAGCTTAGCTTCAAATGTATTCCGTACCGTATCAGTCAAATCATTTCAATGTTCCATTGAATCGCTCACTTCACATGTAATGCTGTACAACTATAACCAAACGGGTGATATCTTATTATTAGATCTCGAATTATCTGACAATTAATTGTTTTTCTTTTATTTGTCTCGCATCGTACCACCATATATATATTTCTCCAGGGGGGTCGGCGTCGTTATCTTATTTTCATTATCTCTTTGTTGGTTGCAGCCCAACGAGTGAATCATCTTGAGACGATATTGCGATCTATCGTGGGAACATTAAATTTTGCATGAGTCGCATGCGATCTCCTCTCCTCATAGTCTCCTAGAGGGAAGACCTAATAAACTCGGATCGTCACTTACAACGATATTAACGGGCGTTACTTACAATACACATTAAAATTGTGGTTTCTTATTACCTCCTACGTGCTCATTACTTTGACCGCAAGAACTTTCAAGTGGTAAGTCATATCTCACATTCGCATAATTCAATCTATTTCCTTACATCTCTCCTTGGAATGGTACGCGACTCGGTCAAGATCCACTGCTATTGCCACTTCAAGCGCATCGCGTCTCCCATTAATAATTGCTTCATCTCGTACATTTTCTTTTATCGCAGGATTGAGTTGTTCCTAATGACTTACTCCTACGCAGCCCACGCTTTCGTCGGAAACGGGCGAAGCGCCCCCGGCCTCATTATCATCTTAGTGGGGAGTGCATGGTTTTTGTATCTACGAAATCGAATGGCCAAGACCCGGGCCAACGGGGCCGAGTCGAAAGATGCGAACGCCACAGACCCCCCGCTACTCCGGAATCACTCTAAGATAATCTCATATACTGCACACCGGAGTGGTATAACTTACCCCGGCATTCGTGTCTTCTATCGACGACATCCCAAAGCGGATGAGCTCCCCCAGCATCCAGCTTCATTACCTCTCTTAGTATTTATTCACGGCCTTGGAGGTTCTATCGCTCAATTTCACCCCCTTCTCACTAGTCTCGTCAACTCCGCATCTTGCCTGGCTATTGATCTACCCGGATGCGGTCTATCCCAGTTTGCCCCGACGTCATGGAATGCGTATACAACAGATGCACTAACCGACTTACTCGAAACCGTCATCGATGGCTATCGGGAGAAGGACCAAGGGCTTGTCCTAATCGCCCATAGCATGGGGACTGCGATTGCGGCAAGAATCGCTAACAAGCAGTCGGCGTTCTACTTACGGCCTCCTTCACACGTGATGGGACTAATCGCAGTATGTCCCGTGTCCGGGCCACCACCGCCGCGGGCTGTACGTAATATTCGCATGCTACTCTCGCTTCCGGATTTCATCTTCAACTTATGGCGGGCTTGGGATCGATGGGGCGGCCCCGAGAGCGCCAGTGTTAAGCGTTTCGTCGGCCCCGGCGCAGATCTCGAGGCCCGGCAGCTCCAGGATAAGTTTAATAGTGGGAGTCGGACTCCGGTATTTCGTCGAATGGCGTGGGGCGCATTGCCGAAATATTCTAAAGATGGTAAATTTGTCGGCGGTATGTTTGGTGAACCCACTTGGGCCGGCCTCAATATTCCGGTCTACCTTATTGGTGGCGAGCATGATACCGTCACGCCGCCTACAGAAATAGAAAAGATTCGCAGCCTTCTCGAATCAGCAACCTCCGAAGGTAGTTCCCCTGATGATCTGTCTAACACTAGCGAGGTGGGTGCAATTGTGGACGCCGCAGCCCCAGTGGACACTACATCAGCACCACGGACACATATACCGGAGTCGATCGAGGCAATTACCGACGATGATTTTACACGGAAACAGCAGCAGACGTCAAACGTAGAAGAGCATTATGAAGATCCTACTACGCCTAGGGATCTGGACTCCATTGGCGGTATTCCTCCACAGCCCCAGCACCCGGCCAAGACCGTCAAAGTCACAATATTACCAGCTGGGCACGCTATGCTTTACATGCCAACCACGGTTCGCACTTTAGCAGGGCTAATAGGCGACTTTATGAATGATCACATTACCGGTCGATTTTCGCTGTAGGTTTATTCTCTACATCAGTCTGATGCTTTTACCTGCTTAACTTATCACGAATAGGGGGTGGCAGCTACAACATCTCTCGCGCGACGGCAAGTGGGATGTTAAAAATCTTGCCAAGTGGAAAAGCGTCCAACCCGTTTCTAAGCCCATTGGAGGAGTCTTTCGCGCGATGAAGACACTCCGCGAGGTCGACGAAGAGCATTCACCTAAAGTCTTCACGGCTAAATGGTATGTATCAGCAAGCTATAATGATGAATTCTTATTAACCCTCTTCAGGGGCCATATAATTAAAGATATTATTGATATCAGCCATGCAGATCCGGTGTATGACCCCAAAAGTTTTGGAGAGGGGATCAAGTACCACAAGTTTCCGACGGTGTCTAAAATCCCACCAACAGACGCGGAAGTGGCCAGTTTTATCAAATTGGTGGACCAGATCCGGGCAGAGCAAGCGGAACGTGCGGCAGATGAGCACTCTTTTGTCGGCGTCCATTGTCACTACGGATTTAATCGTACCGGTTACTTCGTGGTGTGCTATCTTGTCGAACGTTGCGGATACGGAGTCCAGCAGGCCATCGAAGAGTTCGCGGCTAAACGACCAAATGGTATCAGACATTCTCACTTCCTCGATCGCTTGTACGTTCGCTACACTCCCGCCATACGGAAATAATGGCATGGATTTCTCTCATCGCATCTCTGGGTCTAGCAGGCACTCTTCTTCATTGGAGTTGGTTTATTTGGTATTGGAGGATATTTTAAAGCTCGGGATTAGAACTAGGAACTATGGATATCAGTGGTAGGGTAAGGGTTTATTACTATACCTTTTTCTCTTTTCTCCTTCCTTTTTTAGAGTCCACTCTGTACGACTACCGGAGCGTTTGTATCTCGACGTATAGGCGTTTACCTAATAGAGGTCTAACTATTTGGTTTATTCTGTGCTATGGATATGCTCGAGTGTTTTTATTGGGGATTTGTTTGTTAGGCTATTCGTATGAGACTATGAATTGGAAGGTAAAGGGACGGACGTGTTCATAGCGAATATTGTGGATTCCAGTTGCGATCAGTGTGAAGACCAGCAACATAGGGTAATCAAGTCTCCTTTGCCATGGCTTTTACGATGGAGACTAAATTAATTTCAGTCGCACCTAGAGATTGTCACAGCCTAGTATCTTTGGTTTACAGATGCGATATAAAAAATACCAGTCACATCACTTTACATATTTAGACTTTCTCATGGTTCATACACTAAAGAAAGCGCCGCTTGTTATTTTACCTTAAACTAAAGCAGACGGGTATCATAAAGTAAATAAATATACGCGATGCAATAGTATTCCGGAAGAAACCATTGTGTTCTCTCCGAGGAGTCTGACCTGAGAGTAATGCGGAAGGCTTACTCGAGGGTGAATATTTCCCACCCCCTCCCCCCTTTATCTTCCTCCTAGCGCATCATCGCGATACTCTACGCATTGATGAAGCCTTAGCCCGATATCTCGTCAGTACCGAGACGCTCCAGAATATCCTGGATTTAAGATTGCGTAATTCCTTCTCAGTGAAGACTTTCGTTTTCGTGGGCGAAACTGGCGTACTTCCGGACTCTCAGTTGGTCTGGATGTTCAGGCGCCTTGTCCGGCCAGGTAGCGGTGATTCCGGGGATGCGCAGGAGGGTGGTAGGAAGAAGCGGCGTGTCCTCGGATTGGGTTTGGATAGAGCGCGTTTGGGAATAGGGGGTGCGACTGGCGCCTGCTGGGATAGACGAAGGGGCTATTTTTCCTGATGTGGATATCTCCTGGCTGCCCGTCACAGTCGTAGCAATTTTTGGTACTGAGCTGGTCTCCCCAGCAGTGGGTGTGCCCTGAGATTTGCTGGTTGCTTGCTGGCTCTCGCTGCGGGGGGGCGCATAAGGTGGTGTGTAGAGAGCTGGGTTGGGCTGCTCCCATGCGACCCATGATGTAGATCTTCGTTGATACGCCTAGGGAGGTTCGGGAATAGTTAGTAGCTGCGCTAATAGAATAAATTGGATGTTGATGTGGACTTACTAGAATGATGGTAAGGAGTCGCCAACCGCGTTGGCGGTGAGTTTGAGTCGCGAAGTTCATTGTGTCGGGTTAGTAGATATAAGTTATTGAATGGGAATATGAGAGAGTAACCGATAATTAAAATACGGATTGATATATTATGAACATACGGTTCTTCTTTGAAATCCCGAGATACGAGTAGAAGATACTAGGTTAGACCTGTTTGCTTTGATGGAGGAGACAGAATCAACAATCAACTCGGCGGAAACTTTAAATATTTACTGGTGAATGAGAATTGGCTATCAGAGGTACGTAACTTATCGACATGCACCATTGGGGCACTACATGTAATATTAGATGAACAAATGCGTGACAACCTAGAAGTCTTATAGCGTGTGGGTTCACGTCTCCCGAGAGACCATTGTGTTATCACATTTATGGTGTTATTATTGTAAAACCTGAACGCTATAATACTTATTAAATGTAACAGAATTATTTAAACAAACATATAGATGTCCCTCGGGCATAAAAGTATTGTGTAGTTGTTAGACAACTTTTCTTTGTTCCTAAACTGAACAAGCAATACGAATACCATGACTGCTATGAACTCTTCTAAGAGTCTTGCCGTGGGGAAGGAAATCTTGTGGTCGCTATTAGTTGTACAAAAAATAAAAACTTTAAGACTGATGAATATAATATTGTCTTGTAATCGTATAAGTGAAGGTACAAGATTTCAATAGGCTCTCTTTCCAAAGTCTAGTTTCATGTAAGGTTCGATAGTACTTGTAAAGGGTCGAAGGTTCTTTACACTACTATATTAAAGCATGAAGAACTATAAAATTAGAGAAGACTACCCATGGCAGTTGTATAGCTGCCTAGGGTCTCGGAGTTCAAGCAGTTCTTTCACTCACTAGACAATAGCTTACTTTATAATGAGACTTAGATTTCTCGGCTCTCCAGCTTCAACGCACCCCTTATCCCCTTACCCTCTAGGAAGTATATATTAATACAGTTATCTATAAGTGGGTGATACGTGATAAGAAGCGTACCTCTTAGGTTGGATGAAGAGGATGGCACGGCATACCACGGTCGAATATCGAGCATAAGTCGTGACCTCGTTACTTAACTATTTTCTTGATTTATATGGGAAATGCGGTGGTGACCCCTGCTAGGGTGGCCCCAGTAATGGGGTCGCGACTCAATAATTCTCTATAAATCGTATCAGAGAGGTCATATATAGGTAGGTACCTATCCAAGATCACTACATTCTGAATATCTTAGACAATCATGTCGTCTATTATGGTGCAGATCGAGTTGACTTTCATATTCTCGTCTAATTTCAATTGGCTTCGAAGCAATAAGACCGACCTCTCCCTCCTCAATGAGCGCTTGGCAAAACAGTGGTAGGAATCGGCCACTAAGCGTATAATACGTGGTATATGTCGCGCGATACTCACATGATTACCCGTCTTTTCTACCAGGACTTTTCATACAATGCAGTTATATTTCTTTTAGCAAGCTTGGACCGGTATTCACACTAGGATGTAATTATACCCCTGGCTTTATCGCTTTATCGCTTTACCATACCCCACGAACTTCTAATATTGTGTCTAAGAACATTCCTGGCAACAAACAAAACATTTAAATACAAATATTAACATTGATATTAACGACGCTCATACAATATATGATTCTATAACCACGGAAACTATAGAAACCATGGATAGTATGGATACCTCGTCGCTATCAGCTGCCCCTCCATCTCCCCTCCCCAGCTTCCTCAAGACCATCCGTTACATGACAAAAGCACAGCTGTACCACGTCCTAGGTCTAAGCTACCCGAGCTATCTGATCGTCCCGACGTTATACCGAACGTTTCTGACTCCGAAGAAGACGATGGCATTGAGGACGACCCTGCACGACCCTATGACACGAGTATAGAAAAGGTCGCGGCTGATACATACGCCCTTTGGCGGAGAAAGCGGAGACGTAGTTATAGCTTCAAACGCTTCATGAAAGGATGGCTTTTAGCAAAGACATCCGATAATAAGTTCTCAGCGCCAAGGTTACACGGAATGGTCCGGATACTTACCTAAAGATCCCAAGGTCCGAGAGCGCTTAGAGAAAGCTGGTGTCCTAATACAGCTCGAAGGTGAAGAGGTCAAAAAAGAGGAGAAAACAGGAGATAAAGACATTGTTCCCGGCCTCCGCGACGAGTTTCCTGCTTTGATACTCCAACCCTCCTTTAGTAAATTTGAGCCCAAGTCATTCGATAAGCCAGGTGCTCCGCCCTGTGACGTTAGAGATATCTGCACTGAAGACTGGATTAACAGCGCCATCCAGTCTTCTCGGACGGAAATACAAGTAACGACACATAAGCTTGACCGGTTTTTAACGGCTATGCTCGCCCATGAACGAGCTGGCCAGAAGTCGTATGATGAGGTCGAAATCGACACCGATTTCTTGAACGAGGTTAGGGCATATATGATCGCTACGATGTTCTTGGGCGCCTATGCACCTATGCAATCTAATTTCTTACCTTTATCTATGGGCATATATCTTCATAGCAATAAGGTACCAAGCCGAGTGATAGAAACGTTGGCTCGGTTCGGTGTTTGCTCTGGGTATAAGAGTGTTATGAGGCAGTTAAAGCAGAAGCCAGAGACATCCGGTGATGTTAAAAATGTGTCTGCCGCTGGTTCTGGCATTGGGGAGCCTCAACCCGCCGAGCTCTAGTGGTGGCCGTACCTCCTTCATAAGGTTCCGGCTGTCGGGAGATCTAGAAGAAGGGGTGCTCGTAGTATATATAACAACTGGCCCGTCATTGTATTTACTATGGTAGACATTTCCATAAAGGAAATTTTCGGTAGACGGGTCTACGGTAGGTTCTCGTCAAAAGATGGTAAGCTATGGTTTGTAGATTGGGATGTGGAGCTTGCGTTTATTAACCCTAAGCATATAAATTAAAGACTACGTGCTATTTAGGAGAGCTACAGTATCAATAGTAGTAGCTGTGGTCATCGTGATCTTATTAGTCTTGCATTTCTAGATAGGACAGCAACCTCGGATTAGTCTAAGGAGTAAAAGGCGGAAACGGATGATAGGAAAATAGCTTTGTTGTTATACGAGGAACTATCAACCTATATTAAATATTCCGTTTAAAAAGGTAGTCGTTGGCGCCGTGTTCCTAGTAGTGGCTGAATATTGCGTATATGACTACGATGAGTTTTTCATAGGGTATCGCATACATTTTACGGGAGCCATCGATATACTACCTAGAGAAACATCTGTCTCCAGCGTTGTATCGATTCCTGGTGATATCATCATCGTGATCTGACGGCGTATAGGCGCTCGTGATGCTATATTAAGCATTTAGAATAAAAGCTATTGCTGTAATGATGCTCCGAACAATACTAATTTTCCCACCTATAGATTATGTCAACCCACAAGATGTTGCTAGTTATCTCCATAAATAGCGAGCTGACAGGTGGGAACTGCATAGTTGGGGTAGATGCTACCAAATAGTTCGACACATAATTATGTCGATAAATAGTTGCCTTGGTATTTCTCCATAGCATCGGACATGGTCATTTAGAAAATAAGAAAGTCCGGAAGAATGTCACTTTTTATATACTGATATACCACTACATCTCTAGTAAAGATATGTTAAGATGAGGTCTTTATTCCTTACGTTTGTCACCGGGGCTACGGCCTCGGCATCGTATCTGGCGTGGACGGCGGACTCCTTTATCCAACACGGGGTTAAAAAGACCCAAGGCTATAGCGAAGCAACTCTATATTCAGGATACGAAGCCGCATACGCGCTTACTCAGAACGAGACGTACGCAGAGTGGTACCGGGGGCAGATCGATGGTGCAGTAGTCCTAGAAAACGGCACAATCAAGGACTGGAAAAGCGAATTCTACTCTTTAGATAATTATCGGATCGGCAATAATATCCTATGGTGGTATGAGCGTACAAGGCTCGCAAAATATAAGAGCGCCGCGAATGTCATCCGCGCGCAGTTAGATAGACACCCGCGGACTGCTACTGGCGGCTTCTGGCATCGACAGCCTAATTACCCCAACCAGATGTGGCTCGATGGCATCTTCATGGCGGATAGCTTCTACGCGAAGTGGACGCGTTTGTTTGACGCGGGGAACGAGACTGCATGGGACGATATCGCGCGCCAATTCGATAATATCGATGCACACACGCGGAATCGGACGTCGAATCTCCTGGTTCACGGGTACGACGAGAGCAAGAAAGCAGTATGGGCAAATCCCGTGACGGGTGCCGCTCCGTTGGTATGGAATAGAGCTGTCGGTTGGTATTTTATGAGTTTGCTTGAAGTTATTCCTTTATTTCCACTGCACCATCCTGGCCGTCAACGGCTCATCCGCTACTTCACGACTCTCGCGGCGGGTCTGAAGAAAGCGCAGGACGAGGATTCTGGTAACTGGTGGCTCATCATGAGCGAGCCGTACCCAGGAGCACCAGGGAACTACATCGAGAGTAGCGCTTCGGCCATGTTCACCTTTGGTTGGCTGAAGGGTATCCGGCTGGGTTTACTTGATGAGAGCGAGTATCTCGAGCCGGCGCTTAAGGCGTACCATGGACTTATAGAAAAGTTCGTGAAAGCAGATGATGATGGCACTCTGAATTGGGAGGGGACCGTAGAAGTTGGTTCCCTGGGCAGTAATGGAACTTACGAGGTGAGTTCTGATATTATTTACTCGCTTAAGTATCTAGCTAATCGTGACTGGTGAAGTATTACATCTCGATACCCCTAGTTGAAAACGACCATAGGGGAGCTGGACCTTTCATGCTTGCGGCTTATGAGATAGAAAGACGTTAGATGTTAATAACTATTCAATAAGTTGACTACATCATAACTGAGGGCATATATATCACTCGGGGGTATGTAATAAGACTTGCTCTGAAACTCAATGGATAGAGAAGATCTTGTCGCGCAACAACGTCGTTATTCCTATATGGGTTAGCAGATATATCCAGGCTAGCCCTTTGATCTTCGAGCCGTCGCTGTGGTGTGCTTTCGGTAATCTGCTTTTTTTTAAACGTCATAATAGCGTCTTTCCTGCTAAGTTACGCATAAGGCAAGCATATCGTAGCTATATGTACCTGAAGCTTCGAAACTTCGGCACGTCGGAAAATGACAGGGGTAAATATAGACATCCACGTCTTTTTACGTGTACCAAGCCTGAAGGATCGATCGCTCGATGCTGGCTCGATGCTACGCTGCCGGTGCTAGAGTTGAAAAATCAAGTTATTCGCGCACAGGGGTTGTAAAGGAAAATAGAAGGCTTCTATATGTATGGTTGTGCTAGCGGTCAGTAGGTACTATGTAAATTAATATCGTAAGATATCGTAGAGCTAAAGATTTAAATTTTTGAGCTGGGAGATTTGTTGTTTATGAAAAAGAAGAAGAAAATAAAACCGGGGACGCGACCGGAGATATCCGATCATATCCGATCATAAAGACCCACCAATGATTGTGGGGAAAGAGATACAGTACCTAGATTAAGTACCTAAGTACCTAAAATACTCGGGTAGCGTTTGTAAATCTTAACAATTTCAATAATAGAAAAAAAAAACTTCGGTTAATCTTCAGCCGCAATAATGTATTAAATTAAATGGTCATTATACATATACAATATTCAAGAATCCTTCTCCTCGTCGGCATCGTCATCACTAACCGTACTGGTGCCTCCTCCTTGTGCCTCAGCAACAACTTGTGTTTTCACTACCTTTCCCTCAGGCGTCACATAAATATTTGCGACGGCATCCAGACCCGGGTAGGGTTTGTATTCATAAGATAGCTCGTATTCCGTCTTTCCATCAATGGTGATCGTTCGATTATGACCGGTAAATGTCATATCTTTGCTGTAATATCCCACTATCTGGCGGCTGTGCTCGTCACCATTGTTGTCGAGTAAGGAATCATAGATGCTACCGTTCTGTGCCAGAATACGGTTAGTGTGTGTCTGACCGGAATAGTCGTTGACAGAGTAGAGAATATTGTAGGCTAGGTTATAATCGAGTATGTCTCGCTTGGAGTTGGTTGCGGCAGCCGTACTTGATGATGAGGTTGAGCTCTCCCCAAGCGTGTCGGTAAGATTTCCGACGATGCTTCCTACGTTCTTCCCGAGCGTCGCGACGATAGGATTCAAATCAACCGTGTTCAGAACGTCCCCAATCATTTGAACAACATTGCCGAGTCGAGCTTCTAGCTCTACCTTTGCGCTCACGTTCTCGATCCTTAGAGCCACTCTGTCGATCGAAGCGGATACGCCAGCTGTAAAATGTAGCAGATTTAACACTTTGGCGTCGAGGTTTATCTTGGCGGTTATGTTATCAACCTCTATATAGATCTCTCCTACAGAGACTGAAGCATTGAGGTATACATCTGGTTCCTGGGGGAGGTCGACGCCGGGCGTATCTGCTGTTTCGTAATTGACTGACTCTGGGTCGCCTCGCTTTCTGAGATCATAACCGATGTAGCCGTCGTCTTGTGCTACACAGAAAGATAGCAGCGAGGAGCTACAAAGCAGCGGGAATAATAAGTGGTTACGCATCTTTCTTGTTGAGTGAGTGTATGGCGAAGCGACAGCATCCTACAAGCTCTCTAAACACCGAGGGCTACTGGCACACGGATCTCATATAAAGTCGAGCAGTGGATGTGGGCTATTCAAGCATCAATACCGCTAGTATTATACCCCTGTTTAGTCTAGATGCTTTATTCCAAGTTTTAAGAGATTGCAACATAATGCGATGACAACTCAACTCCCGAGCTTCGATTCGACGAAACATGCCGGAGCGGAATCTAGCCACTAGAAACCCACCTAACCCCTGACTAACACGGAGAATATCCCAGAACGGCTTCTATGACGATATATTGTCCCCAAGTTTTTGTTTTGCTCCATTATTTGTGCTGGATATCATCTAAACTATCGACAGGGATTGTTCAAGTTAGCTGAACGAAGGCCGGCCCTAGCTATGATGTGTATGCAGTCTTATGCCATAATGTACTTATGAGATTTTTACCATTTCAAAATGGCAGCCCTCCCTCGTCGTAGGTTCCATCTGGTTGAGATGTACGGTCGTTTGAATTAAGCTTCTTAAAAACTATTTCCTTCGCTAGAGAGAGGACTGCCGCCTCCAGGTCTCTTCTCAATTTACTGCCGTCTGGCCAGCTCTTCAAAATGAAGTCATTCATTTCTAAGGCCATTGCCTTTATGCTATTAGCACTCTTCTCGGTCACTCTAGCGCAGACTGCTTCCTCAACATCAGATGCAGGCCCGACAGAAACAGTATCCGAAGGAACTACGTCCCAACCGCAAGTAACACCTACGGATACCATCACGGGAGGAGCTGATTCCAGCACGACATCGTCGTCAGCAACGGCAACAGGCGGAAGCAGTGGTAGCGATACCACGACAGGCGTCCCTTCATATGGAAACACGCCACCGGATGTTTATTTAAATGTCCCAGAGCTTCATGTCGGCAGGATTGAGCTGGACGTGGATAATTTGAATGCAGAAATCAACCTAGCTGCGCAAGTAGCAAACTTAGTGGAAATCAACGCAGGAATCCAAGTCGGAGTAACCAAAGTGAATATCACGATCGCCGACGTCGACGCCAACTTGGAATTGATAATCAGGCTAGGCAATCTGGCCGATATCGTGAACAGGACGTTGGAATCGCTAAATCTAAATCCGCTACTTATCAACGTGCTCAACGAAGTTACGGACCTCGTCGACGTTGTGATCGGTGCAGTCGATGGCCTGCTTGGCTCGATCGTCAACGGGGACTCGAAGATAAACTTCCTCGTGGACAATCTCGGAAACATCGTGCAAGAGGTGGAGGGCACAGCAGGCAAATTGTTAAGTACGATCGTGGGCAACTTCGAGCAGAACATGACCTATACCGGCGCGCAGAAAATATTAGACGGCGGCCTCATCCAGAAGACATACAAATACGACCCGTTATCTGCGCTCGTTGATATCGTGTTCAATGCTGCTGGGCAGGTAGTCCAGGCTGTTGTTTTGAAGGGCAACGGGGGTAGTGGGGGTAGTAGTACATCGACCACTACGGCTGCACCGACAGGCGGAGCCAGGAGATAATCTAAATGAGACATTAATTAATATATCATAGTAATGGGAAATATTGTAGTTAACTATACTATAACTCTTTCAAGTCTTTGCCGTGCTAGCTAAGTGATTGTGTAGTTGCCTGTTATAATATATTGGGTCACTAACCCCTATGCGAAGTACGATATTACCCCTTATCAATATGCAAGTACGTTTTCATCTACGAGGGTTAGGACTGAAAGTCTTAAATATATAGCACCGTACTCAAACGATTTCTACTTCATCAGCGCTATATCAACTACCTACTAAGCCATAGGTCAGATAATGGTCTATACACTTAACCTTGGTAGCTCGTCACTAGATATGCGAGACATTTGGTCCTAGCCTTCATTATAGATAGAATCTGGTAAAGCTGATTTACCCAAGGTCCAATATTATTCCTACACTACGTCTATGGCTCGTTTTCAACAACTTCAATAACATTGTGGTCCACCCATGCAGCGATTGTCCGCTCGGCAAAGGCGTCTACAGTAGTTTTCGGTTGTAAAATATACCCGCAGACGGGCCATATCAAATTCGTCAAGTACGACTTTTTATACTCAAGCATGAGCTCCTCGTCGTTCCTGTCAAGCTTTGGTCCACCCAGACTGTGCAGAGTTGACAGATAGTAATCCAGTATTTCCATCTCGTGGGCCCGCCGATCCTCGACAGTCATCATAGTCGACACAAAGTACACGAGATCGTGAAAGCACGAGGCAAAATGAAACGCCGACCAGTCTAAGAAGCGTATGTGCCCGTCAGATGTGAAATAGGTATTTCCCATGTGCGTATCCCCGTGGAGTAGCGTGCGGAACTTGGGATTCCGTCGAGAATAGTACTTCTTCTGTGCTTTTCTAACGCGTGCGCCGTCCATTAGATTCTCCGGTAGCTTGGGCCGCCCAGGCTCTCGCACGACGCTGTCCCAGGTCTCCGTAATGGATAGCATAGCCGGATCGTAATTATTATCAATCCCTTGATATTCATCAGTTATTTCACGCGTCAATCCGAGCCCTCGAGCCCGGTCGGCGTTACACTTACAAGGATAGTCCTCCTGACTCTTGCCCCAGAACTGGGCATGTAATCCAGCTATCTGGTAAACACCTTCAAGCACCGTTTCGAGAGGGTAGGACGCAGCCTCGGATGGAAACGTGCATCCTTCGTGCACTAGATCTGACATGATGGCGATGCCTTGCTCTTCGCTTCTTCCTCCCCACCAGCCCCTTGGATACCCCATATGCTTGATAGCCGGCGCGATCTTGGCGAAGAAATCAGCTTCGCGCTGCGCCAGACTTAGAGTCCACGGCTGTGATTCAAACATGACACGATCAAATATCCCCTTAACACAGATGTGCGATGGCCGTGAGCTTAGGTCGGCCACTTCATTTTCGTACTCGACGAAGTAGAATAATTTGGTGCCCGTGCCGAATATAGTCCGTGTCAACGAGACTGACTTGATCTTGTGTCCCAACTTAGACCCCAGCCACAGAGCTGTAACCTCGTCAGGGACTAAAGGGAGCTTTTCGGTAGACATCTCACTCTCGTGTGCCATATTTACAGTCCTCGACGAGAGAGGGAAAAATCTGAAGGGGACTAATTACACGATGTATCCGATATAAACATGAGTTACATGCTCGAATAAAATAGACTCCGGCTGGGGTCGGCGATTATTGACTACTCGGCCCATAATGGCTTGAATCAGCGGTGTAAGCAGTTAGGTCAGGATATGCCCTAATTCATATTCATATAAGTGCATCAGAAACTGCCTCTGACATACTTGGGGATGTGGTAGGGGAGCGCGATCAATACTTGTCAGACACAAATAATGTAGTAGGACAAATACTACTACGAAATACCTTTTTAGTGGTGTAGTGGTATGTTCGACAATACTAGTCCTGCATGTAAGCTACCGACCTTATGACTACTGCTTACTTGGTCTCAACTAAGCCTATCGTCGTTTAAATACAGGACATGGTTCTAGAGGGGCGATAATATAGTCATTTCATTAGGTAATAATATTTATTAATGTTCTCAGATAAGTAAGTTACTTCCCGCCCTGATGAGGATGTATCTCTTAGGTCAAAATTTATACTGTCATTTCGGGGGAGGGATATGGTGTGTTACATAGCATTTGGTCTATTAGGAAGTTCATTCCTTATTTCACAGCTACACACCTTTTCCGCCTCATTAAGGGACTACCAGAGACCTATTTAGGGGACTATCTAAGGTTATACTATCCAAAAGGTTACTTGGGATTTACCTGGAAATTTGGAAAGGGGGTGGAAGTAAAGCAGTTATAGACATCGTGTTGTTGCGTAGACAGAAATCCACAACTTTAACGTTTAATAGATACCTAGCCTAGCTGAGAATGGACTTAGGGGTAGCGAGACTTACGATGCCAAGAACTACACCTACGAGAGACTGGGCTGCAAACCAGTCGTCAAGGATGGGGTAAAGAGCCATAATCCGTAATGGGCTTGAGAACGTCTCGAGATAACTGCTAGGTTGAATACTTAATGGTTTGGTTATTAGCTGGACTTAAGAGTTGGTTAAAACTCTATAGTATATGAAATGCGCATTTACTCTTATTGGTCTACCCTACTCTTAGTAAGTTGCATGTGACACTCTATTATTGAATACATAGGTAACTAACAAGTCTATCAAAGTTATAAACTGCCTGATTCCAAAAAAAGAAAACCAAAAAACAGGTAGTTATACTAAAGTATATAAGTTGGCAATAGTATATGCTACTGGTATACGCTTTATAACATGAGGAGAGTATTGCTAGTAGAATATTCGAAATAGTAACATCTTATCAATAGAAAGGTATTGCTCATAACGTCATATTAGTCAGCTAGTTAAGTTACTCGGTGGGTCCAAATATGATTCATAGTTGTTCATTCTCAAGTCACTTTTCATCTTGTCTTAATCATATCTTTAGCACAATGGAGGTTCTGCGTCTATACGAAAGCCTATACGAAAACTGCCTCGCTATGGCTAGATGTAAAATAGTATGCCGAAAGGCTGGCTGTAAATCAACTTGTTTATTTAATTATCCGTCGCGCTCTCCTATGATGGAGTTGACTTGAACATTCGTATAATATTCTTGCTAACAACGATCACGATACTCAAATCACAATACTCAATCTGACAAGCTTTGAAACTAATAACGCCCCGTACATACAAGGACTAAAGGTCAGCATGGTGGACACAACAACAACGACAACGAGCACAAGCGCTGTGTCAGGTCAACCGTCCCTAAATATTGCGAAACCCCCTTCCTTCTGTAGACTCTGTAACGCAGAATTGAGTGACCAGCAAACGTGGAAAGCCCACCTCAAAAGCGACCAGCAGTAGGCCGATTCTCACATCGTGCCTAAAAACCATTAAGCTAATGCCTCGATCGCAGTGTCTACAAGCTTCGATTAAAAGTAGCAGAGCCCGGCAGTGTCAGATCCCCGCCGCCACCCCCTCCTTCGACAGACGCCGACCAAACGAAAAGCGCAGTGTCGTCACGCGCTCGAAGGAGAGATGAACCTAATGTTAGTATCGACCAAGACCAAGACGTTGCCAGCGACACGGAAGATGAACTAGAAGAACCATCAGCACCAGATTTCGATCCTGGCAGTTGCCTCTTCTGCGCGCAAGAGTCCGACACATTAGACGACAACATGACACATATGGCCGCCGCACATAGCTTCAACGTGCCGTTCCAAGAATTCCTAGCCGTCGACCTCGATACGATCATCGAGTACCTACACTTTGTCATCTTCGGCTACCGAGAATGCATATGCTGCGGCACGCGGCGGGGCACGGTCGAGGGCGTCCAGCAACACATGGTAGCCAAGAGCCATTGTCGATTTGACATATCCATAGAGACCGAAGAATTCTACGAGATGCTACGATCCGAAAACGCCGTCATCGACCAGGCGCAACGCGACGACAGCACGCCGGTGCGCTTGCCGTCGGGAAAGCTCATCTCGCATCGGAAGAATCCCGAGACCCAAGATCCCCAAGCCAAGCCTCGACCCGCTCGCCGAGAAACGCCAGACCGACATCCAAACCGCCCTCTAGACTCATCTGCCCCACGCCCGGGAACCCCCTCGGCTCCCAGTCTCGAGGTTACTCAACGGGGAGGGAGTGGAAGCGGTGAAATCGTGCGTAGTAGCGAAGCTATACTTGCCGCGCAGCTGTCTAAGCTGAGGATAGCGGGCGATAGAATACAGCACAAGGAAGAGAAGCGGAAGCGATGGAGGCTGGAACGAGCGCAGAACATCATTTCTCTCAAGCGTTTTAAGCTAGATAGTGCTGATGGTCGGATGGGTCGCCAATTCTAGGGTGAAGCTAGCTTTTCTGTTCACGCCTAGCCAGGGCCAATTTTAGGTATTGGCGGTAGTGTTGGTCTGGTATTATGATGATTTGGAACTGTGGACCTGGGGATGATGTGGCTATTTTGGTGTATGTGGCTGTCGGGATTATTGGGGCTGTTGGGGCTGTTGGGGCTGTTGGGGCCTCCAGTTAAACATCCCCAATCTCTTTGAATCAGTCATTACTCCACCTAAAATAACCTTGTTCCTAAGCTATTCGTCATCTACCTATCTATCACCATGAAACTCGAGCTCAAAACAGTATTATCTCCTCCTGTACAGCCTCCCGTAGATTCAAGCTCTACGGATGAATGTGTAAAGGGTGCTGTTATATCTGCTATCAACATCTATCATCCCGGATACCCTGATACTTACAATCCATTGTTACGCTTTCTTGCTTTAGACGATGGGGGCGTTTATTATGACCTTGTCTACTATGCCTGCTGTATTATCGCTGGCAATGTTGGCCTTGAAACCACGAAGCCTGGCCATATAACGCAAGCCAAAGCCTATCTCGCTACATCTTCAAGCTCTAAAGCAACCCCTATCACACTACCTTCAGATCGTATCCTTCGTGAGAAGTTATACTTCTTTCATGTTTCTACATTAAATAACGGCAAGTATTTAGCTTTAATGGTCATGTTTGTTACTAACGTTTCATAGAACCCTATCCTATCGTCCCTACTTTCAATCATTGGATATTCCCTCACGATACTTTGCCTCCTCCATGGGCCTCTCTCCGAATATATCCCACTCCCCCCGAAAGACGTGGCATTATACCGCATGCAGGTCACGATGCTACTCACGTCCGTGACGAAAACTGCCGAATATCCTCTTCCTTCTGCGGTGTCGATCAAGCCCATATCATTCCCCGAGCAAGCGATATTTGGTTTAGGCACAATAAGATGAACCGATATTCGAATGACCAATCAGTCTTTCCTGAAATCGATGACCTAAGTAATACAATTCTTCTTCGTAGCGATATTCACCGGCTATTGGATCACAAGGAGCTTACCTTCTTTCCTAAGTTGGACGGCGATGAATATAAGTTGGTTATACATGTACTTAGCTCACGACGTCAAGCCATGTTTGAGCAGAATGAGCTATACCATAATCGCCAATGCCGAGAGCTATATGATGTTGGGCGAGAATACCTTTTTGCAAGATTTGCTTGGTCTATATTTAATAGCCACACATTCCGAGCCTTCGAGTCTAAGATCCCACCTATTCGGATACTTGTTCATGAGCCTGGGGCCTTGGACAACCCTCCAACTTCCAGCGTTCGAACCATCCGATCACCTACTGAGATTCCCAGTATCTTACCATCTAGCACTCAACACAACACAGCTGCCACGTCTGCTTCGCGAGGAACGAAGCGTTCTCGATCCGGACATAGAACCAAGTGCCGCCAATACTTCTCTGTCTCTCAAGAACGCGTTATATATATAAGTGATGATAGTGGTGATGATGTATCAGGAAGTGATGACATTGAGGAAGAAGAGTCTCATAGAGGCCGAAAGCTTCAGCGTTGGAATGACTTCCATAGCACATCAACGCCAAGTCTATCACCGTCTCTCACAGGCGAATATCCATGCCAACTACTAATATAACGTAATATTAGCATACACAAAGTGTATTAATCACTAAACAAAACATAGTCATCTGTTGTTGACCAATAAGTAGGTGATGTCGGAGGATTTGGAAACCTTTCTTGTCGACGATTTTCGGCTTCTTCCTCATCTTCTTGTTCACGGGGTTTTTTCTGAGGTTGTATATCAATATTTTCAACCTGTTTGCGAGGCCGGCCCCTACCTCTTTTAGGTTGTCCAGTTGGTTTTGGAGTAGGCGACTCCACTACTGGCACATCCTCCTCTCCCTCGTCTATCAATTCCTATTGTGATGGATTGCGACGTAGTAAAAAATGGTGAGAATTTTGGTTTAGGCCATGTAGCCGATGCATACTTGCGCCGTCTTGTAATAAGGCTTAAGAGACAGTTTGAGGGCTATTGGTAGGTCTACCTCGGGGTTTTGCAACAAAAGGCGATTTAATCGTTAAAAATGGTTCATCAGTAACCTAAATATGCTACGAAGGGTCAATTTCCCGATGGGAAATTCCTCTTATTTGCGGGGATTCGTCACTTGGTTCGATCCTCTTGAAGATACGATGATAATAATATTGGTAACTTTGAACTGATTGACAGGTACCTATCATAGAAAATCTAACAAACAAGATAAAAAAAAAATCTACCATAAAACCCTTCCCATATTGTAACCTTTAACTCCTATATCCCGATCCTCTTACACAAGTTCACCTAATCTAACAATAATAAAATATTTATCCTTTCATACACATTTCTCGTTATTTGCATATATTCCTTAACTCTCAGCCTCTTTAAGCCAGAGCGCCATCCACAATCATCCCTGCCAAGTCCTTCATAGATGTCCTGGTATCTAGCAGGTCAAGCATGCTGATATCGGCTCCGAAAGCAGTGTTAAACCAGTTGCGTAGTTCTGCTGCGATCAAACTGTCTACACCGTAATCGGCAACGGTGCGGTTTGCATCCACTCCCGACACGTCGATAAATAAGACTTGTGCAACTGTTGCTACGACGGCAGACGTGACCAAGGCTTGAGTCTTGTTGCGCTCCTCAGGGCCCTTTGCGATGGCCTCTTCGAAGCTCTGTCGGAGCTCTGCAGTAGCCGAGTTGCCGTGACCCTTCTTGCCCTGCGTACCGTCGTCGTCATGATGTCTCTGAGCATCTTCGAATGCTCGCATCACCTGCGCTACTCGCGCATCGCTGTACCAGCGGGGAGTAGGGCCGACGTTGCCGTTGTTAGCAGCCATCTCCTCTAGTCTCTTATCTGCCATCTCGCGGGGGTCAAGGCAGGTGATAATGGTAGAACCCGATAGAGGGTCTTCTTGAATGCCATTCCAAGACTCGGCCTCTCCGTCAATCTTGTTGTTGAGGAAGGCAATCTCGAGGTATTTTAGGAATTCGTGTTCAGTCACGCCGAGAGCCTTGTTACGGGCCATTAGGTTAAGAGTAGTAGTGCTCGTGCTAAGGAATCCCACGTCCGTAATAAGACCGAATGAAGCAGTGGAAGCGGGGAGACCTTGGCTTCTGCGGTGTCGTGCGAACATCTCCTGGAAGTTGTTGGCAGCTGTGTAAGCGCTCTGGGTAGCAAGAGCCAAGACGGATTCTAGAGAGGTGGTCATGACGAAGAAGTCAAGAGGCAACGACTTGGTAGCTTCGTGTAGGTTGCGGGTTCCGTGAACCTTGGCGGCGAGACCTGAAGTCCACTGCTCCGTGCTGAGCTTATCGAATGACAAATCCTGGTAGGAAACGGCAGCGTGCACAACACCCTTGATAGTCTTGTCTTGAGAGTATTTCACGAAGACGCGGCGGACATCGTCGGCTTTGCTGACGTCGCATCGCACCGAGCTCACCTTGATACCGCGAGTGTCCAGCTGGGCCACAAGAGCCTGGGCTTCGCTGGACTGGGTTCCGCTCCTAGAAAGGATGACAAAGTCGCAAGCACCGCGCTCAACCATCCATCGGACAATGCTCCTTCCAAGACCTCCGAGACCACCAGTGATGATGTATCGCGCCTCGGGATCGAACTTGGCACGAGGGACAGGCGGTACCATCTTGACGAGGGCGTCGGGGTTCTGGAAGGTGACAACCAGTTTACCAATATGGGTGCCCTTGGAGAAGCCGAGGAGGACTTGGTCGAGCTGGGACACGTCTGAGGATGTGACAGGGTTGATAGGTCCGATATGTCCGGCGCGGTAGTGCTTGTCAACAGATTCCATAAGTAGACGGGCCATCTCAGCGCTGGCATCCATGACGACACCCAAGTCGAAAGACGAGAAAGTGGCACTCTTCTGGAAAAGCTCCAGAGCCATGGTCATCGAGTTCTGTACGTCGACACGTCCCACATCTACATACCTTCCTAGAGGTGCGATAAGCTTGAGTGACTCGTGTAGCATGTCTCCGGTTGAAGTGCCGAGGATTACGTCGAATCCCTTGCCGCCGCTAGCTTCGATGAGCCTAGGAATATCCTTAGGGTCGCGCGAAGAGAATATGTGCGACGCGGGTATTCCTGCCTTCTCTGTTAGGTAGCGAGCCTTGTCGGCGGTACCAGCTGTAGCAAAGATCTCGGCTCCCTTGGAGCGGGCTAGCTGGATAGCGCAAAGACCTAGACCACCGGTAGCAGACTGAATGAGAACCTTCTCATTCTTCTTGAGCTGTGTAGCGTGCTCGAACGCGTATATGGCAGTCATGTAGACTAGAGGCATCGTGGCTACTCCAACGAAGTCATCTCCCGCCTGCATTCGCTGGGCGTGCCTAGCTGGTGTGCGCACGTAGTTGCCAAAGTGACCCTTACCCATACCGTAGACCTTGTCACCAGGGCGGAAGTCGACGACGTCAGCGCCTACCTTGTCAACAACTCCTGAGAATTCTGAAGAAAAGTTGTTCATATCGAAGCGACCTGCCGAGATGGCAAGATCCTTCCAGTTAAGGCCGACAGCGGCAACCTTGACCTGGATCCAGTCCTCGGGAAGAGGCTTCCACATCTCCTCGTACGGCTTGAAGTATAGAGAAGTCAGGATACCGGGAGTCTCAAATGCGGCACGGACAGGTCCGTGGCGGCCAAAGGGCAGCATCTCGGCGCGACTCGGCGACATATCTAGCTTCTCGTAAAACTCACCGAGCGCAGTGTCTGGCGCGACTCTGCTTACCCAGAGGCAGCCATCCTGCCACACGAACTCGTGGTCTTCGCTCTCGCCAGTAGACTTGCCCTGGAGCGCGAACTCCTGGTCGATGATCGACTTAGCAAGGTTGGGGTCTCGGATATCGCTAGCGGGGTCCACGTCGACAAACAAGAACTTGGATGTCGGATTCTCCGTTCCGATGGTGCGCAGAAGACCTGCGGCAACACCGGCGTCGGGGTTGGTTCCCTTGACGATACCAGTGCTAGTGATAGACACCGTGCTCGAAGCATTGCGGACGATGTTCTTAATCGTCTGGAGGTGGTGTTCATTGGCCTCGATCATCAAGAAGTCGTCTTCCAAAGAAGCGATGACGCGCGAGTTGGGAGGTAGATAAGCGCTCTGAGAGATGGGAAGGATCTCAGAAGTAATCTGGCGACGCTCTAGCTCAGCACTAAGCTGGGTTAGGATCTCGGGCTGCTCATTAGAGTATAGAAGGTACACGTTGGATTCAGTGGTCTGGAGGGAAAGCTTAGGGCTGTCAGTCTCGACGGCAGTAGCTACGATAGTAGAAGCTGTAGTGTAGGGGGCGGGGTAATCGTCTAAGGAAAGGTCTGTTCCTGAGAAGCCAGCAGCCTTGAGGGCAGAGTTCCACTGGTCTAAAGTCAAGAAAGGACTTTCGACACGACCGTCGGGGATACCGCTCCAGTAACCAGTAAGGTTACCCAACACTAGACCGTGTCCAATGATGGTCCTGGTGTTCTCAATCACGATGAGCTTACCACCGGGCTTAAGGAGTCTGCGGCAGTTGGTGAGAGTCTCAGAGATGCTAGCTGTGGCGTGCAAGCACTCGGAAGCAATTACAACATCGTATACGGATTCGAATCCCTGAGTCATCGGGTCGTTCTCGATGTTCAAGACGGAGAAGTTCATGTCCCTGTACTTAGCCATAGCCTCGCGAGCAGAGGATAAGAAGCCGCTTGACACATCAGTGTAAGTGTACTCCTTGTAGCGCTTGATACCATTGTCGTTGGCAAGCGCCTTCATGATGATACGGGTAGCACCACCAGTTCCGGCACCAACCTCAAGAATGTTAAGGCTGGGCTCGATGTGACCAAGAGACTCGAATAGCTTCAAGACTTGCGGGTAAGCACCCGTCATAGTAATACCTTCCTCGTACAATGATGTAAGCATGCCGTTGGGAACAACGACGTCGAGACCAGACCTGCGCTCATATAGGATGTCGTCAATGTTGTTGAAAAGCTCCCTAGCAATTCGGACATCAGAACAGTGCTGGTTTTCTTCGACTAGCTGGCTGATGAGCTGCTGACGTTCGGCGCTCGATAGCTGCTTAGCCTCCTTGACGTAGTCGTTGTCGTCGTTCATGCGCTTGGCCACCCACTTCATGAATTCCCGCTGGTTTTCGGCCGCGGTTGCTAGTTCTACCTTGTCACCGTAGCGCTCGAATATGTCCACGACCATCAGAGTAGCCAACCTGTCAAAGACGTCAAATAGGTAGCACTTGTCAATGTTCTCTTGCGGCGGAGGGAAGAGCTTTCCTGCCTGCGAAGTCTTGAGGCTGCGAACATCAGGCTTCCAGGAGAGGCGCATCACGGGGGCGCTGAACTCCTTGCCATTCTCTTGAGAGCTTTGCTTCTCGGTGTAGCTGATGCAGCGAAGCTGAGGCAAGTCCATGATGACCTCGCCAGACTGGTTTACCAGCTGCATCTTGGCGTAGGCTCCTCGCAAGCCCTTAAGCTCACCACCGGCAATGGCGGTTCCCCAGTTCTCGGTGTTACCATTCTTCAGGTAAAGCTTGTCAATGTGAGTCGGGACATATGCGGTGTGAGTGACGTTAGTCTGTCCTCCGTGGCAGGCAATGAGACCCAGCTGGAAGATAGCGTCAAGGGAAGCGGGGTGGAGCGGGTAGCTCGACTCGCCGCCCTTGATCGTACCGGCTGTCGTGTCAAGAGCGACCTTGGCCACAGCTAACTTTTGAGTAGGATCAGCTTGGATCTCGCGCAGACCCTGGAATGCGGGTCCATAGCCTAGGCCGATCTCCTTGAACGTCTTGTACCAGGAGCGAGTGCTGACGGCCCTAGCATCCATCTCGGTAGACATCTTCTTTGGGGATACGGAACCGCCAACTTCAACCTTGACGAGACCGGAGCAGTGCTTAGTCCATTGGTCCGAGTCTTTCACGACGGAGCTGATAGAGAAGCTCGTCCAGGCGGGGGCTTTTGCGGTGGCCGTATCGACGAGTTCCAAGCTGATGAGAACTTCAACTCCGTAGTCATCATCCGGAATGCGCAGGGCGTTGCTGATGGAGACGTTGCGTAGGGAGAATCCGGTGATAGGGAAAGGCTCGGGCAATTCGTTGTAAGCCCGAGAGGCTACCTCGATAGCCATGGCAATGTAGCCAGCACCAGGGAAGACTGGGTGAGGCAAAAGCCTATGGTCACCAAGCCACGGCAAGTCTTTGAGGCGTAGGATGTTGCGCCACTGAGGCCTGAGCTTAGCGTTTCCGGGAAGCTTAGATCCAACCAGGTCGTGACTTTGAATGTTACGGGATCGGAGTTCCTGGCTGAATCGGCTCTCGTAATAGTGGATTGGTCCGTAAGCATATTTGTAGGGCGGCAAGTCTACGGCTGTGCTACCGTGGACGAGGGTCAGCTTGTTTTCGACGGCATCAATTTCGTCCACTGAGTTAACAAGGCCGAGATCGATACGGGCGTTCAGGCAGAACAGGGTACCAGCGAGGTTAAGCATAGAAACCTGAGCGTCTTCCTTGCGCTTCAAAGTCGAGAAGTAAGGCTTGGTTTCGTCGACGCTCTTCAGGATCTGAGCAACGGGGCCCTTGAGAGCAGGGTGCGGACCAACTTCGACAAGGACGTCGATGGGGTTAGACTCCGAGTTAGCCATGCGCAGTACAGCGTCGGAGAATCTGACAGGAGACTCGAGGTTGGCTCTCCAGTATCGCGGGTTAACCTCGATACCTACCGCAGCCTTCTCGGGGTAGACAGACGACGTCCAGGCTGTTGCCGGGTATCTCTGCTTGAGATCAGCAAGTCCCAAGTCAGCCACGCGAGCGAGGCCCTTAGAAAGGCTGCTCTCGTAGTCTTCACCCAAAGGTCGCATGTGGTGCGAGTGGTAAGCGTTTCCACCGGTCTGGAGTAGACGGTTGAATTTTCTGTCCTGTTCCAGAAGCTTAGAAAGCTCCTCAATCGCTTCAACATCACCACTGAGGGTAAGGCTGTTAGGGGAGTTAACGGCAGCAATCTTGATCTTCTCCTCTAACCCAATCAAGTACTCCTGTGCCTCTTCACGTCCTAAGCCGACAGCAAGCATAGCACCCTGTCGCTTGTTCTTAGCAACGGCCTGACCACGGAAGTACGCAGCGGCAATGGCCTCGGCAGCCGTGATGCGACCAGCGGCATAAGTAGCAGCCATCTCACCTGAAGAGTGACCGACAACACCGGAGGGGCGCACGTTCCAGGAGGATAGCAGATCTAGCAATGCAACCTGCACCGCAGTACAGACAGTCTGAGAGATCTCGGGATGTTGGATACGGTCAGGCTCGCAGTTACCAGTAATGATGTCCTCGATCTTCCACGAGGGCTTCTCCGGGAGCGCACCGAGAACATAGTCCATGTACTCGATTGACTTCCTGAACACGGCATATTGACGTAGTTCTCGTCCCATGGCGGGCCACTGAGCACCCTGACCCGTGAAGACGAAACCGAGCTTTGCGGTCTTGGCAGAACTCGAGATGACTGCGAGCTTCTCAAGGCTCTCCTTAAGAGACTGCTCTGGGTCTTCCTTGTTGACGATGCTGAAAGTTCGCTGCATCAGCTTAGTGCGCTTGGTTGAGAGAGTGTAGGCGACATCTGCCAGAGAGTGAGTGTCAATAGTATCGGCCAAGGTAGCGACGTTGAGCTTGAGAGATGCTTCGTTGTGGGCTGAGAATGGGAGCACCACCAAGTCGCGGGTGGTGGCGTCAGCCTTCCGTACCGCCTTAACTTCGGCCGCGAGGGGATAATGAGGTGGTACCGAGGCGGTCTCGATGGGGCCGTCAATTTCGACCACATCAGCCAAGGCCTTTTGAGGTGCCGCATATACACCAGGCTTGACGTAGTTGGGGATGACATTGTTGACGTGATCAATAATGCAGTGGCCGTTAGCGCCTCCGTATCCGAAGGAGTTGATGCTAGCACGGCGGACCTTGCCAGCGGGCCACGGGGTCATCTCCCGCAGCACAACGGCCTTAGCCTTTTCGAGATCAATCTTAGGGTTGAGCTTATTGACATTGACGCTAGGCGGGATGACACCGTGCTCTAACGCGAGTACGACCTTCATGATTCCGGCGATGGCGCTCGCGGATTCAGTGTGGCCCAAGTTGGTCTTGATGGAACCAAGATACAGCGGGTCGTCTGCCGACTTCTCGGAAGAGAAAACGTCGCTGATAGTAGAGACTTCGATCGGGTCACCGACGGGAGTTCCGGTGCCGTGGCATTCGAAGTAGGTTGTGTCGCCCAGAGGAAGGTTTCCGGCGTTCTGGTACGCTTGGCGGATGACAGCTTCCTGACCCACGTTGCTGGGATGGGTAATACCACCGGTGCGACCGTTGGCGTTGATAGCGGTACCCCTGACTACGGCACGGATGGGGAACTCGCCCTTAACCGCGTCCGATACCTTTTTCAGGTAAAGCGCGGCGAAACCCTCACCACGAGCGTAGCCGTCCGCCGAAGCGTCAAAGGTGTGGCAAGTAGATGTTGCTGACAAGACGCCGAGCTTTGTCATCATGAGCTGCGCGGTCGGATCCATGATGCAGTTGGAAGCGGCTACGATGGCCGAGTCGCAGTCGCCGCTCCTGATAGCCGTGACGGCAAGGTGGAGCGCATACATAGAAGATGAGCAAGCAGTGTCCAGAGTAACACTAGAGCAGTCACGTCTCAGCATTTGATACCGCGCGGAACGATTAGTAGGGAGTCTTACCTGGGACCAAGAAGGTTGAGAATGTAGTTGACGCGGTTGCTAAGAATGCTGATAGAGCTTCCGGTGCTAGCGTAAGGTCGAGGGTGGTCAGGGTCTCGCCCCGCAATGAGTGTGTGATCAGTACTGAAGTTACCGACGAAGACGCCGGTGCGCGATCCGGAGAAGCTCTCCCATGGCTCTCCGGCGTTTTCGAAGGCCTCGTATACAACTTCGAGGAGCTTCCTCTGAGAGGGGTCCACTATAATATTCAGTTAGTGACGATTCTCTTATGGCCTCTCAAGTTCTTAACCCCTTTACGAAGGCTCATGTTACTTACTCGTTTCTACTTCCAAGGGTGTCATGCCAAAGAAGGATGGGTCGAACAGACGGGGGTCCTCCGCCAACAAGAAACCTCCGCGAGTTGCGACGCTCCCCGGGCGATCGGGGTTGGGATGGTGGAAACCGCTAAGGGGGAAGCGGTGATCGCCAAATTCTCTGTAGCCGGTCTGCTTGTTTTTCAAAAGCTCCCACAAGCCCGAGGCATCTTGGACGTCTCCCGGCCATCGGCAACCTAGTATACATGGTCAGTAATGCCGTTAGTAAAGCTTTTTGAAGTTGTACTCACCCATGCCGACGATGGCGATCGGCTCTGGGTTATGACCGCTGAAGTCATTTTGCATTTCAGGTGCCCCGTTGTTAGTCGACTGAGAAGACATGGCTGGCTGATTTTGTGGTGTGTTGAACAATGAAGAGCTAATGATGATCTAAAAGTTGAAAAAAAGACGCGGCGAAATCTATCCCAAATACCCAAGTAATGCTGTGTTGTTTTGTTTGTCTAAAGAATCTAATCAACCTCATCTCGAGTCGCGGAGGCCATGATATTAGTAGTTCATGTTGAAAGTCTTGACGAAGTCGTCTTGCTGACATAATTCTCCTATCTAGGATCTGACTTGTATAGTCCTAAGCCTCTATATTCCTTCGATATACTCAAGCCGATGAAAGTCGGCCGAAGATTGTAAGATTCTGGCCAGAGTTAGTAAGACGCTTCGTTGCCGAATGCTGCGCCTCCCGCATCCGCCTTCAGCTCTAATCCATCAACCATTCCCGACGGGTCGTCATTCTAGGTATTCGCCTTGCATCGCGAAGGTTTCTAGAAGCTATAGGCAATTCTATTTTTGCTAGCTTGCAAGGGAGATAAGCAGTATTTTCTTACTTAGATATCTCCCCTGCCATACCCCTTGCCCCGGGTCGAGGAGTCGTCTATCTGATTACTCATTAAATCCTAACTCTTGTTTACGATATCCGCTTGGACTCAGGTCCAATTCTTGATCATTCCTTCGAAACCTGAAGTTGATGGGGAATGATAAGCCATCCTGGACAACACCACGTAAACCACCAACATCTCCGAACTTAGCGGCGCATGTTCATCGCGGACCGCAATCATTACCGCCGGCGTAGTTATCTGTGCCTCAAACCCCACAATCAACCCCAGCTTATCAGCTTTATTAGGTGTCTCACGGGATCTTGCCTTCATTTCTAGAGGATCGCCAACACTTACATGCGTTCCTTACCAGTAAGAGATATGAGATCGTCTAATCTCCAATTTTGATTACGACATATCGTTTCGGAAGAATCAGGTGTTGATTTCAGTATCGTTACAGGAGGATTAACAACTTCGATATCGTCAAAAGATACTAGTCGCAATATCGTCACGGAAAAATGAAATATTACCTTAGGTACCTTAGGTACCTTACCCAGGTGATCATAACATAACCATAGAGGAGTAATATACTGGCCTAAAAATCATCAAAAAAGAAAAAGACATTAACGCCAGCATAATCACAAAGGAAATAAAGTCAAATTGAATATTATCATGGGTGTTTACCCTGGTATCGTCATAGAGGCCCTCAAGGTGGGCAAACTACTGGCTTATAACGCTAATAAGGTTGCTATATGCTTATATCCCGCGTATGATGACCTATTGCATCTTGCAAGAAAGGGAGAAGTAACTGCAGATAATGGAAGATACGTGGGATATTGGATGCTTGTCATCTTACCTACCACCATTACCTAGAGTCGTTCACGATGAGACTGCGATAGCAACGACTTCACCCTATGAGAATAACAGTACATGCCCGTTGTTCTATTTGATTTGGCCCACCAATCATAGAAGCTTATATAGAAACCCTAGTATATGCACTAAATACTAGACTCGGCAGGGCAGCGGCCGGGAGTAACCAGGCTATTGTTCCTAGTGCTTAAGTGACTTATCATCAAAACAATAGAATTTCAAATGAGCTTCCCGCGAAAGAGGCTTGAGAAACAGGTATCGGTGTAAGGGGTGCGAAATGGGTGCATCTCGATCGCCTTGGCTCGGCTCGCTGGCGGCAAAGCTGGGTTTACCCGTTGGCGCATTCAGAACTGGGATGGTCGCAACGTGTTAGCGACCCTAAAGCGCCAGATACGCCACTGCAGATTAATGAAAACATGGGCTGAACCTATACAATCAATGCCTGGCTTGTAACTAAGGAAAGCTAAGGCAGCTAGAAATAGTATAGCTTCGTTCCTTGGCGTCAAGTTATTTGCCGAAAAGAATTCGAGGTCCTAAATAGCGAGACCTAGGTAGGAGGTAGATACGAATTGGGCAACGTTGATGCCGACCAGAGAGTGAGTGAGTGAGTAAGTGAGTGAGTGGGCTGTAAAATGAGTGCGAGACGAATTAAAATGTTGTTGCTATTGTAAGAAGTCGTCTAATGCCGTCTAATGGCCCCCAGCACAGTTTTAGTTGCCGATCTTAAACGGACCCTTTAGGCACCTTAGTTAGGTAATAACCTAGTACCTAATACATATCTATATTAGAGGTAGGTCCAGCTTTGCAATTTCCTCATTTCTTCATTTCCTCATCTCATAAAATAACTTCAAACTTTAAGCTAGGTATTACTTTAGGACTGCACAAATATTGAGCAAGTTAGTACATAGTAAAATTATGCGTCATACAACGGCCCCCGAGTTTATGGTTTCACAACCAAGGTAACTAATTGATTTGTGACCTATGCTTTGCATGGGCCCTGGGGTGTAAAGTGCTTACGTGGGAGGTACCTAGGTACCTAGGTACTAGCAAGGGTGGTCCATTCCACCTCGACAAAAGTCCAGTTTCCGCTTATGCCCTTATCTCAGCCACTCAGAATTCTAATTAGCCCAGTGGCTTAATATTTGTCTCCCCCGCAATATTCGTAAAAGCCCTTATATCTTATCTAAGCGATAGTTATATGTTCTGTACTTTTATCCCCTAGCAGCTACGCTAAATAACAGGGTAAGATCGAGGCAACCATTCGGATGCCAAGTTTGGTTGCCGATTGATATGTATAAGCCTAGAACCCATAAGATCTGAGACATGGAAGGCCTTTAATTAATACCTGAATTATGTACCTACCTGATAAACGTACGTAATCACTCCGACGTCTTTACCGTGCCGAATATCCATTTCCGAGACTGTAGTAGTGTATGGTAGTAATTATGTATACATAGATATGTTCTTGTAGCGACTATAGTATTAATTCGAAAATTTAGGTAGGCTCTTTTTAATTAAAGGCATTAAATACTTCAAATACAGGCTTCAGTTTGAATTATTACATATCAAGACTTAATAGTGACTGCATAAAAATTGTAAGACCTTATAGTTGACGTCAGAAAATAAACTCTAAGTTCTGACCAATTGACTAAATGAAAACGGTCTCTGAGTACCTTAGTCTACATTTTAGTCTAGGACTTTCAATGTTTAATGCCCCACACCAATTTTGACGTACCTAATGAATACAACACTCTAACCTAAACCTTTGCATAACACAGCTGGAAAAAAACACACCATATGCAGAGCTTTGACAATCTCAACAAGTATTCAATGGTATTGGTAAAATCTATATGGGTAATAATCGGGTACAGAAAGCTAAACTACTAGACTTGAAACAATTTTGTCCAGATACTCCACCCGGCTACCTGCCGCGCCCTGCTAATAATACGAACAATATGCGATTTTGATCATGATACAAACTGTCTTAGCCTCAATACTAGAGGTTCGCAAGAAGGTCGACGCCGGGCACTTCGTCCTGGAGAAGTTGGATAGTCTCGTTCCAGATCTTGGTTTGCGCGCTTCGTCCGGCTGGTGAGAGCACGAAAGGAGAAGGACTAACATTATCTTTGGTTAGCATCTATTGTCTTGTAAATATTAGGTAGGTAGTAGGGATTCTTACCTCTTAACGCTCTGCTCGCTGATGTACGCGCCGTTACCATCTTTCTCGTGTTGCGTCGCGGCGTCAGTCAGGCAGTGTCCGCCCTGCGCGGCAGTCCAGCCGATCAAGTTGGCAAAGGAAGATCCGCTAGAATCCGTGCGGTGCAGGGTGCTCTGGCAGAAGCCGGGGTTCACGGCATCGATGATAACGTTGGAATCCGCAGCCTTAGCGCTCAGCTCGCGCATCCATAGCACGTTTAGAAGCTTGGTCGCGTTGTAGCGATCCATGCCCTTTCCAAAAGTCTCCGGCTTGTCCATGGTTGCTAGCGTGTCGGGACCTTTGATCTCCTTGAGCTTCACCCAGAAGTGGTTCTCCGAGCTGACGATTGTCAGGCGCGACGGCTCACCCGTTGCCGCGGCCGTCCTCTTGAGAGGTCCGAGGATGAGAAGGGAAAGTAGAGCAGTACCCAAGTGGTTAACCTGTTACGAAAACCTCGGGTTAGATGCGCGCGATTATCTAGGTGTTTAGATTGTTCCATACCTGGACATTTAGCTCATGGCCTGTTTTCGACTTGACGTGCTCCATGCTCTTAACACCGGCATTGAGGATGACGATGTCTAGCCTGTCGAGACTTGCCGCCTGGTCGGCGAAGTTCTTAATGCTCTCGAAAGACTCCTGGTCGATCGCCCATACTTGGACGTCGATCTGAGGGTTCAGCGTGAGAAGAGTCTTCTTTGCTTCTTCGCCCTTTGATACGGTACGAACTCCCAGGATAATTCGAGACAATCCGTGAGAAGTCAACTCTTTAGCAGCCTCAAAACCGAGACCAGCATTTCCACCCGTGACCAGAGCCGTCTTGCCGCTGAGGTTTAGGCTCTTAGGCAGCGGCTTAGGCTTGAAGGTAACCTGTCGGTACAAAAATCCAGGAAAGGTGCCCATGATTGTAAACTTGATGAAGCTACCAAGAAATATATCGTATGTTGTCAAGCTAAGCTATGGGATGTCTCGTAAAGTTATACTAGGACTTCTTTTATTCGTGAAGGGGGGGGAGGGGAGAGCTTCTTGGAGTTAATGAACTATGCAAGGTAAGATTGGAGAAAGGGAGAGGGGGGGAGCTTAAATGACTTGAGAATGAACATAAGCGCGTATAAAAATGTAAACGAATTGTACATTTGTCGAATATCGAGGCTTCACTATTATTGGTTCGACCTCTTCAGCGCTAGTATCTGACAAATATTTTCAGGTGCCGCATGACGGCATTAGTTCCTTAAAATAACCGGCCAACTGAAACGAAGAGGCTGATCAATGATAGCCTTAGTAAACTATGTGGCTCATTATTTCCGTAGGATCCCTCGATAATATACTTATACTTCTAAGTTAATATGAATATTAATATGAATATAAGGGCATGGTATCGAAAGGGGGGGTTCGACATGCCGCACGTTTCTTATACCTAGCTTGTAATGCCAATCTCATGTTCAAGATTCGATTTATGGTCCCTTCTTATGTGATAAGTTTACTGACGATCATTTCCAAACCATCGATCTCGATCTTTTAACGATCTTTAATATTCTATCATCATGATACCAACTCCAAAGCGTAAACAACGTGTCGTTTCGTCTTGCATTCCATGCTATTCGAAAAAGCAGAAGGTACTTACCTAATAACTATCCCGTAGTCTTTCTTATACATGTAACTAGATATTAATTAGAATAGTGTAACCGACAATATCCATGCAACCACTGCACTCGGCGTCGACGACCAGAAGAATGCACTTACATCTCCAATCCTCGTCTAAGTCCCTCGAGACAAAGCGTGGGTTCGAACACAGGACAAGATGGCATGGCATCGTCCAACCAAAGATTATTGGAGACGCCACCGGTAGAGTCAAACCAGCAGTTGGCAGCCATGTCAGAGAGGGAGAGATTCGAGAGCAACCAACAAGCTTCTTTAGCAGATCTCTTTGGATATTTCGATGACAGTGACTCTAATACGCTTGGATTATTACGACAAGTAAGTATTAACCCGTATATTTTATCCCCCTTTTATGTTATATCTTTTTTCAAAGTCAGCAACCTAACAAAAATTAGTTGAAAGTAGAAGAGACAAGACCATGGCAATCCAATTATACAAACTTGTCTGGAGAAATCTTGGATGCTGCCCAACATGAGATGGGAAAGATACCAGCAAGGCCAATTTTAGACTTTCTTCTCCAATATTTCATCCATGAGGTCAACTGGATGAATCAGCTCGTACATCCGCCAAGTTTCTTGGCCGAATATGAAGATTGGTGGACAAGGAGACCTGTAACTCGTCTGGTAGATGTCGAGTTTGCCGTTCTCATCTTGCGTATCAGCGCATACTGTTCGCAATTCCTCCCTTCGCCAGCTCATACATCCGATATGATTCGTGGCGTCTCTTTAACTGAGATACGATACCAATGCACCCGGACGGCCCAGATACTAGAGAAGATATGTGCACAAGCAGACACGACGGGCTCTCTAATCCGAGTGCAACATCTTTGTTTCGCCGCGCTTAACCAGCAATGCGAAGGCAATATAAAACTTTCGTGGGCAACGTTCGGTTCGGCTATTGGAGTAGCGCAGATGATAGGAATCCATAGAGAACCTACAGGCGCTGCATCACAAGGGATGGATGAATTCGAGCGTGAGATGAGGCGGCGGATATTTTGCAATCTTTATATTTGGGATGCGTAAGTATACATGTCTCATTCTCCAATATCTAACTTTGTGCAAAGAAGAAGCATTACTAACTATTGGTTCAAAGACGCCTATCCAGCTCCCTCGAACGCCTCCCGTTCCTTTCTGACGGATTTTGTACCACGAGCTTACCAAAGGTACACCAAATCGCAGATCTTGAGAAGAGTGGCGCTCCGGAGGCGTTTATGGAACGGATTCTACAAGCTCGATTGGCCCGATTCTGGAACAGCTTCATCGGCAGCCGTAACACGTCGGTATCTTACGATCCCAGCGCCGCGGAGGAACGTTACGAAAGATTTTGCACCGAGTTTATCACAAATATTCCCGCTCCGTTTGGTTTGGATCCAAATAAAGAATGGGACGTCGGCGTTCCTAATCTAGCGCGGCAGCGACAACTATTTCACGTCGCTATATATAATTCCGTCTGCAATAATTTCAAGCCGCTGCTTCGATTGGAGCCTGACCAGATCTCTGCTCTTCCAAGGTATAAGCAGGCCATTCTCCAACACCAAAAGAGAAGTTTAGCACGGGCAGCACTAAATATGCTGGAGGCTATCACAACACTTCATAGATTATTAGGCGCCACTCATACACGTCTATTCGACATAATCTTTCACACTTTTGAGGCGGCGGTGCTCCTTTCTTGTCTCTGTTTAGCTGGCGGGTCCGACTACGGTGATGATGGGGAGCCGACACAAATAGGTCTCGACGACGACGGCTCGGGTTTCCCAGCTTTCTTCCGCTTAGTTGATCCCCTAGCGACGAGGGCTATGGATATTAGCCAGGCTAGATGCGTAGAAGCTATACGAGAAGCGCACGAGCGGTTACAAATGCTAGCCGACCTCAACGCGATGGCAGAAGCCGGAGCAAAAACTCTAGGAAGGCTTCTGGGACGTATAGGAGAGTGCGGCACGCCGGAGGATGACATATTAGATACCCCGTCTTCTTCCTCGATGTCGCACGTTATAACAGCAAACAGCGGTCCGATGATCGCAAAATTTCAGATGTCGCATACAGACATCGATCTGATGAGCGAAGACATGAACTGGTCATCAATCATAGGAATGTCCGATTCGGATCTTCAACTATCACTAAGCAATGTCGATATAGAACTTAGTCACTTTTGATTGTATACTACTCGATATCTAGAATCTAGAATCTAGAATCTAGATTAGACATTTAGACTCTAGAGTTAGAAGTTAAATAATAAAGAGATGAGACAACTGATATCTTTTTATTTACAAATTATTTTTTGAATTGTTCTCTTCTCCTTCCCCTTTTTGTGCTTATGATTATTTCTATGTAGGTAGGTATCTCCTAGTCTTAACTCTGGTATCAATTGAAGCCACTTAAGTTAGATAGGTCAATGCATGTAGACTGCACCCTCAACGTCAACACCAAGAGATAAAAATCCGATTGGGTTAAACATAGGACGATCTTTACTGATTATGCATCCGATCTATTAAACTTTATCTGGTTGGGAAATCATGACCTCATACTCTCTATTCTCTGGGATCTTCAAGATATGTAATAACTGCATGCATTGTAACGGGACTTACATCTTATCCCCGGTATGATGATCATCCCGATAAATGCAACTACAATAAAACCCCGTTCAGCGCATCTTTCAAACGACAATCCAGAATGGCTTTTCTTTACGACTGCCGGACGGATTCGTCTCGGAATCTTCCATCGAGCTATTCCCTTATACGTCAGCTTACTAAGTTATCATTTCGTTTTATTCCTTCGTGGTCCATAGCCTGCCTATAGCCTACCCAATCCACATCAATCACATCCGTCCCGAAATGATTACTCATTTTGTACTACTGTTACACTGCCCCCACCCCCGCGTCCTCCTTTGCATATGCGAATACACGTGGGAACAGACCGACTCAATTATACCCACTGTTCAAGGTTATGCCAAGACCACGCTAGCAAGCTGGGGTTCCCGACAAGGTACAGGGTGGAGACTTGACAGGGGTTTGGAGGAGCCGCATTACATACGAGCTAGGTAGCCCCATCTTAACTTCAGCTAGGACAAACGGTCCAATAGGGTGCTTACTCCGCACATCGTTTTCAGCGCCAACCGGTGGCACAAATAATTGATGCCCTGCTTACATGTATGTACAAGGTACCTAGGTACCTACCTCTGCAGTCTGCAACGTGTATGCAGGTTTTATCAGGTAGGTTCAATGGGTCCTACCTGAGGATTGGTTCCTTGGCGGAATCTATCAGAACGCTTAGAACGTTTAGGACCTAAATACCCGCGCTGCCTGAAAAGTCCTTCCGATGCGACCTTTAATCTGAGAAAGTGCGTTGGTGGCGCGTTCCAGAACGCAGTACCTATGCATGCCCCAAGTAAGTAAAGGGTCCGCTGTATTCCAATAGCCGGAACATCATACCTATTCGATGGGGAGGAGCCTGCATTGAAAATGTATTATGCATGCTTATAAAATATAGATTAGACATACATATGGTAGGTATACTATATACGCGCATGTCCTACGTAAGATATACGTACCATCCTACATCCCACATCCCATCGTACATAGTGGGATGTTATAGATCGGGTGCCACAAAGGTGGCACGGTAGCCCACCTTGGAAGATTGATCCTTTCAACGGGTGCTGTACCTATAAATTTAAAGGCACCCGGGTCGGTTGCGACGGAAGCAAGAAACAGGCACGGAAACAGGCACAGAAATCGCAGGATTTATAGAAGGAACCGCATAGAAGGCATTTACATGTAGTAAGGCAGGGCACGGAGGATGATAAGGATGATAAGATTACCAAATTGTTGGTTGCACCTTGTATTTACGAAGCGCTAGGATTATTGTGCAATTGTTGCATGTTGATTTTAACTTGGTTCAATACCTGTTTTATTTTATTTTTTATCTTATCATATCACGGACATAGGTGGAGATATCGGGACTTTTGTAATATTACAAAGTACCCAAGGGATGTTCCTATTATACATGTATGTAATGGTGTAGCAACTTGATTTCACTTACTGCTCTAGTTCTGACTAATATCTTAGGGGTACCTAGGTACCTAGATTATTTCCTCCACTATAAGGGTCCTAGGCAAATCTGCTTACTTATTATTTACGGTAGAGGTTTCCGGGGATTGGTCAATACTGGGTTATAAAACCCGGCGAGGCGGCTAATATGCCTAGGTACCTGGTAGGAGGTACCTAAGGTAGGTACCCATCCTTAGCGAGCTCTCGCTTTGTAGGCTAGGTACGCGTATACCTATACCCACCTACTAGGCCTATCACCTCCTTAGGCCTGTCACCTTCTAGAGCTAAATCCTACAAGTCCAAAAATTGATATTTCTGGACATCCTTCGTCAAAGTCATATTTTAGTGTCAGGTAGTCAGTTCATCAGCCTTAATCCCAATTCTTCAAAGAGTTTCGGCCGAACAATTCGGTCCACAAAATAACTAAGTCTAGAATCGTATCACTGGGAATCTTACGATTGGGTCTTGGTTCGATGAATCTTGAAGGAAAATTAGAAAGACAAATCTCCTTGAAATTACCTATAGCTTGTAGTTCCCTGTTAGTCGTTGTTTGTATGTTTAGTATTCTCTAACTACATCTCTTACAATTTCAAAAAATATTAGGCTTGTACAATTTTCTTTGTGTTAGTTTTCTCTTTTCGATATTGACCACCATGTTGTCTCAAGCACAAGGTGTGTTAGACGTCCTCGGCAACGTCCACCTTTCGCCGGCTATTGGTTTTCTTCTCGCCGGCGCTGCTGTGCTTCTCTATGGACTTTATCTTAGACTTCTACCCAAGCCTATTCCCGGGATTCCGTATAATCCCGAGGCTACACGCTCCCTTTTTGGCGATGCGCCTAGCATGTTAAAGGAGACGGTGAAGACGGGCGAGTTTATGGCATGGATGCGAAAACAGTCAGAAAACATGAACGCGCCGCTCTGCCAGATATTTCTGCGACCGTTATCTAACCCTACGCTCGTTCTCGCAGACTGGAGAGAGGCGCAGGATGTTCTGATGAAGCGGAAGGACTTTGATCGATCAAGCTTCACAAGAGACTTGATGGCCCCGATCGAGAAGCATCATATTCGCATGAGTACCGGTAGCGAGTGGAAAGACGCTCGCAAGCTTACTCAAGACTTGATGATTCCCGCGTTTCTGCACAAAGTCGCCGCCCCTGCTATCTACTCCAAGGTCCTAGATTTCTTACACCTTTGGGAGCTCAAAGAGAACCTCTCGGAGGGCAGCCCTTTTCACGCGCAGACGGATATCTACCACACTATCCTCGACTCCGTCTGCGCGTTTTCGTTCGGAGCCAGCTTTGAATACGCAGCTGTGCGCCCGCAGTCGGATCTTCTTGAGAGTCTAACGCCCGAGCAGAAGTCGGCTCTAAAGGGAGATATCGACGATCCCGTTCGATTCCCCGAGGCTGCCCTTCACGAGAATCTCGAGGTTAGCTTGACTGCGGGACACGTCCTTGAAAAGCTGATGAACTCTGCTGCTCCTAAGTTTACGCTGTGGTGGGAGAATATGCGGCCTTCTTTCAGGAAGACCCTCGCTGCTAAAGATCGCTTCGTTATGGGTCAAATTGATAAATCTGTAAAGAAGATGAATGCGAACGGCACCGCGGACGATTCCTGGGTCCGCTCGGCTGTTGACCATATGATTCTGCGCGAGACGGTTCTTGCCGAAAAGAGCGGCCGAGAACCTCAGTTCTTCAGTCCCAGCATGAGCGACGAGGTAAGAAAAATCGAAACATCTTTAAAATTTTGGTGTCCATGCCCGCTTACAATTATACAAAACAGATTATTTTCAACGTCGTCGGAGGTCACGAGACCACTGCTAATACTTTGGTATGGGGTTTGAAGTTCCTAACAGACAATCCCGCGGCACAGTCACGCCTTCGCTCCGCACTCCACGCCGCCCACTCTGCGGCGCTGGCGGAGAAGCGTCTTCCCACCCTAGACGAGATCACCCACACTACCATACCTTATTTGGACGCCACTATGGACGAGATGTTGCGTCTTAGTGCCATGCCCATAACCAGGGAAGCAACCTGCGACACTGAACTCCTAGGACACCGCATACCCAAAGGAACCGTTGTTCTTCTCCTATCTAACGGGCCAAGCTTCCTCTCCCCCTCATTTGAGATACCCGAAAGCAAGCGCAGCAAGACCTCCCAGGCGACTCGGGTACGGCAGTGGAACGAAGCAGAAGACATGCGCGCGTACCGTCCCGAGCGCTGGCTGGCGAGGGGCGAAGACGGCGAGGTGAGGTTCGACGCCACCGCCGGGCCGCAGCTAGCTTTCGGCCTTGGCCAGCGAGGGTGTTCCGGCCGTAGGCTTGCCTACACAAAGATGAGAATCGTCCTTACTCTGATGTTGTGGGAATTCGAACTCCTCGCTGTTCCCCCTTCGTTGTCGAGCTATGCTGCTAAGGATGGACTTGCGCACACACCGCGACAATGCTTTATCCGCTTGGGAAAAGTGAAGTATTAGATTTTGTTCCCTGGCTCTGATTGGAAGGGTGGGGTGGGATTTGGTGTTTGGTTTTGGCGCAGGGTGGTGGGATAGACCTGTATTGAAGCATGTATAGTGACGATTAGATTATATATCCCGAATTAGGTTTTGTTGCTCCTTGGCTATATTTGTTTTGTACAATACGAAGAATATATAGCTGGTTAAGCTTACTATGTTTTATTGAGTACCTACCTACTATTTCGTTTAAGAATACCTCGTGTGATTGTAATTTCTAAGTGAGGTTTGTTTTTATATTTCGTGATTTACAATCAGTAATAGATGAAATGAAGAAGAGAAGCCCACGGCATTTATAAGCTCATGTAATAACGGATTTTCTTTTCATGTTTTAGTTACATTATTGCTCAAGTAAATCACTGCCATGGGAAAATTTATATAGTAAAGGGTAAACTTCAATTTCCTTAACCAGCTTTGGACTGGTTTATGATGGTACATTTTTCTATATGCACCCTTTTTGTTACCCATTCTATACCTATAATACTGTCGCTATATACTCCTATATCAACTAAACCTCCCATATAACTACACTCTATACCGAATGCTTCTCGACTGTAGCGTAGAATTTATTCTTATATCTATACAACACACAACCGGTTAGTTAAAGAAAATCCACAAAGTTCAGTTTAACGAGTTACTCACACTACGAGAATCAAATCCTTCCACTCCATGTCCTTGTCCGTTGTGTTGTGCGGCGTAATCTGGAAGCGTCGGAAGATGTTTCCGAAAACAACCCACATCTCACACCAGGCCAGTCTATATCCTTGTTAGCAACCATGTTCGTCTAGGTTAGGTACCCAACAATGCGTTAGAGGGGGGTAGCAAATCTCTTACTCTCTGCCCAGACATTGGCGAGCCCCCTTGTTGAAGGTAGCTAGATACCTGTCGAGCCTAGCAACGTCGTCGGTCAACCATCGCTCGGGGATGAATTCATTCGGCTGGTCCCAGACGTCAGGGTGACGGTTAAGGATATAGGGAGACATTTGGATGTTGACCTGATAAGCGCATAGCGCAATGTTAGAAAATATGCTATATCACATAGATGGGTTCGTCACTTACGCCTGGCTGCAAATATTTGCCGTAGAGTTGGTATCCTTCTTCGGGTACGGTTCTAGGAAGGCGTCCAGGTAGAGGGCTTCCAACTCTCAGTATTTCCTTAATGGTGGCAGTCTATTAAATGTGTATGTTAGAAAATTATTCCTCATCCGTAACGGGTTTGCAGATCTCTTACCAGATAAGGTAGCTTCCTAACACGCTCGTATGTGATCTCTTCTTCGAGCGACGGGAACTCCTCCGAAAGCTCACGGAATATCTTCTCGTAGACTGCGGGCTTGGTGTATACTTGGTAAAGACCGTAGATTAAAGCAGTTGAAGTGGTATCGTTTCCAGCGGTCAGAAGCATGACGAGTTCGTCGTTTAGCTCCTCGAGGTTGGGAACTTGATGATCCTTGGCGGCTTTTGGATCCATAAGCATATCTATAACAGCCGATCGCTCGCCGTAGCTCTTCTGTAACTCCCGGGTTGCATTGCTCAGAGGGCCTCCGGCCTGGTGCGGGTTGAAAGTTTCAAGATATCTCCCGGTAATGTTAAGACAGGCCTACACATAAAGTCAGATAAGCTAAACGACTAACTATACCTACGTAAAATCCAGGGACTTACACGCTTGAAGCTGAATAGGGGCATGGGGAAAATGATATATGTAGTCATGGATGCGGCTTTCAGCGCGATGGCTGAAATCGTGGGGAACGAAGTGCCAACCCATCCTATCTTGAAACCCGCTTCTAGGTATTCCGTGAGCTGGTTGCGAAAGTTAGGCTCCGTTACACAACCCATCTCCTGACCGAGGATAATCTTGGAGATGATGTCCATCGTAAAGGCCTTTGCGGCAGAAGTGACACATATTGGCGATGACTTCTCTGCCGCTTCCTCAAACCTCTTAACCAACTGCTTCGTCTTCGCCAAAATTGCGGGAGCAAGTTCTTGTACCCTAGAGCCCGATAAAGCCGGGGCCAAGACCTTTCTCCGGACGCGGTGTCTAGCCGGGTTTGTCTCGCCGATCAAAGTCCCCGGAAACGAGATGTTCAGATAGAAGTGAGGATCCTTAGTGAAAGTCGAGTTGGTTTTCACTAGATCTTGGAAGACCTCCGGGTCGCTAATGTGTAGAGTGTTTACACCGACCCTAATTACAGGCCCTGGCATGCGCATAAGCTTGTGGCGCACGATAATCAAACCGGGGGCGTTAACTCACCGTGGAGCTTGTGAAGCCTGTCGATCTCGAACAGTAGCTCTCCATTTCGATAATAATTCCAATATAACTCCCACCACGAATCCGATACGGCAGCGATTTTAGACCCTGGGTATTTTGACAGGGGATGGAAGTATATTCTGTATATCGCTAGGAATACCCAGCATACTAGTGCCCAGAGAGCAAGAAGCAAAGCTCGGTCCAGCATTGTTGAAGATGGTCTACTCGTGGCTACGAGTAAATGTGATCTTCAAAGAGTTGAGCTTCCAGAGGCCACAATTTCCCGCGTAGACTTACTATTTCTTTCATATATCTATCTCATAAATTTCTCTATCTTTCGATTCATAATCCTGCTAACTGCTCAAAATCGCACGACCTGATTACATGTAAGCCCTACGGCGAAGTACGAGCCCCGATAAATTTCGGGTCATGTTTGTCGTCGGCCGATAAATTTCGGTCGGTAGGCTGCCGGGTGTAATATAGGATCTAGGCCGCTCACATTAGCTGAGCCTCATTAGCTGAAGGATCAGCTGTTGTGAGTAAGCCAATCGCACGCCTCGACCTATTTCAGCTGTATTTTGGTGCGTTTCAGTAGTTCTAGATATTTGAGATTGCTGTCAAAGGCTGCAGTCAGTTCTAAAAAAAAGAACCACGCGAAGGATTTATGCAAAGTAAATCTTACTACTGTGGCTTCTCACGTGGAAACGGAAGCGTCCGCGGCGAACCTAACCCGTCGCTATGAGGCTCGTACGATCCGGGTCCGAAGGAGTGAGAGAGCGCTGGCGTGGCTGCGCGATAGCTCATTTTCTATCTAGGTATCTATTCTAAGAGGCGTAAAATTCCGGGGCCATGAGGGTCCATGATATTAGCAATCTCCAGAAGCAGCCTGTATAAGTATGGACGTCACCGTAGCACAACTTGTAGATTTGGAAGAAGAAAAAAGCATAGAGTTCGATTTTCCTCAGTCTCTTTCCTCTTAGTTTCTTTTTCATAGTCTATTTCCTCATAGTCTATTTTCCTCATCGTCTTTCATATAGTCGATCTTTTATATTCCCTTACCATTTCTCTCTTGTCTTGTCATCATTTCACCATGCGCGTGTCTTGGCTTCCTCTTTTGGGTTTACCCCTTATCCCCTCAGTATTGGCTGCTCCCAACACCGGATCAGTCGATAGTTTCTTACAATCTATCGACGTAAACGCAAACTCGGTACCTGCGAGCTTCAAGAGCCGGAGCGGTATCGACTTCACCTGCGCCGTCCTCTCCATTCTCGGCAACAACGGTAGCAATGTCGGTAACGAGACTCAATACGTCGCTCGCTCTAACAGCGATCTTTACACTCAGGAGGCACACGCTCATTGGTCGGCAACGGCATGGAAGTCTCCTTCTTGCATCTACGCACCTAACAACCTCCGAGATCTAAGACGCGCCGTTCTTCTCGCCGGATTCACAAACACCAAATTTGCCGTCCGCAGCGGTGGTCACTCGCCTCTTTCCAACTGGGCTAGCATCGACGGTAGCCTGCTGATTTCTATGACTAACATTAACGATCTGGAATACGATGAAGCTACTCAAACCCAGCGATCTGGAATGGGCAACCGCTGGGGCGCCGTCTACGGACATCTTGTTCCTTACGGACGAATCGTTGTCGGTGGCCGTCTAAACGTGGTCGGACTTGGCTTGGCCACGGGAGGCGGTCTCTCTCACTTCTCAAACGAATGGGGATGGGTTGGTCAGAACGTTGTTGCATACGAAGTCATGCTTTCGAACGGTTCTCATGTTAAGGCCAGCGCTACCGAGAACCCTGACCTATACTATGCCATCAAGGCCGGATCCAACAACTTCGGTATTATCACTCACATCGTCCAGCGCACTTACCCCATGGGCAAGGTCTGGGGTGGTCTCATGCAGTTTCCTGGTAACTATTCGAAGCAGTTCATGGCTGCTATGGCTGAATACCAGGCTAAGGGTCAATTTGACACCAAGTCTGCTATCCTCCCTTACGTCGGCATCAACAACGACACCATCATCGCTACCTTTGTATACTTGGATGGTGTAGTCCGCCCTGATGCTTTCAAGCCTTTCTTCGATATCCCCATCGTCGCAGACTATACCCAGGTTTTCGACAACTTCTACCAGTTTGCCCAAGTCGACCTCCCCTACGCGGTACCTAGGTGGACTTACGCTGCTACGACTCTAGCCTTTGACAGCAACAGCAAGGAGACCTACGAAGGATTGATCGACGTGTTCTCTCAATTCAAGTCGCGCATCCAGAAGGTTACCGGTGGTTCCTTTGCCCCCATGGTTCAGCCCATCTCCAAGAGCATGGTCGACAAGTCGCGAGCTCTTGGCGAGGACCCCATGAACGTGGAGGCTAAGGCGCAACTATGTAAGTAACAATATTTCCAAGTATCCCCCCGCACATGCATTAATGCTAACAATTCTAGGGATCGGCATCAACATTGGTTGGTCATTGGAGAAGGACGATGCAGCTGTCTACAAGATCCTCCAGGACAGTTTGGCGGCAGTAGAGAGCTACACCAAGGCCCGCAAGGTTCACATGCCTCTCGTCTTCCTAAACGACGCTTGGGCCGGACAGAAGCCCTTCGTCAGCTACGGGCAGCAGTCCCACAACAAGCTCAAGGCCGCCAGCAAGAAGTACGACAGAAGCCAGATGTTCCAGCGTCTGGTCACGGGCGGATTCAAGCTATAGTCGATCGACCATCTCTACCTCTTGGGTACCACTTCTGGATAACGATTTTTTTTTATAGATTACTGTTGGGAAATAGATGGGTGCATAACCTTGTAAAGTAGCTGTATAGACTGAAAAGGATGTACGAGGCGATGAGGGGTCAACTTTTTTTTTTTGGCTACTATTCGATTCGTTACGATTAGATGTTTTAGTAATATCAAGATTCTCATTACGACTAAATTTGGATGGAGTGTTACCCCTGAACTGCCCTGAGTGATCCTTGACTAAACCCTGTGTCTGATCTACCTAAGATGGATTTAGTCGGCTTTAATTCTCCTTGTTCTGCGGGGTGAATGCTACGCTGTTCTTATTTGCCGGCTTGGTATCTGAAAATAGTAACCTACGTCACGTAGTGTAGGGTAAGGATGGATCCGAGTACCCAGCCACGAGATCGTCAAGATGCATCGTGGCAGGGGTGAATCTGTATTGTATTTACCTAATAACTGCCCAATGTATTTTCCCCCGTTCTTGTATAAGTATTGAGTGGATTTCTACATGAGCTGACCTACCACTAAGAATAATGAGAATAATGTGGAAATTGGGAGAGGCATTGTATGGTGTATTTTATTTAGATCTAAGGAACTAATAATATTCCAACACAGAATCCTTCTAATTTAGAATATCGGGAGTGTCGATAAGCAGTGCGCGAATATTCAAGTAAATATCCGAATAGTTATTTTCCTAGCCTAGTAAAAGGTACCTAACCTATACATCCTTGATATTTTTCATATAGAGGCATCATCATACAGTTTTCGTACCAATCCAGAGCGGAGTTGAAGTACAGGTGAGGAAATTTCCTTGCCGGCTACACGTCGCTTGGACATAACCAACACCGATAGCATCAAACGATGACCTGCTGCGTTGTCAGAAACATGACTTCTCAGAAAATCACATTTTCACTTACGATTCGCTACAGTTCCAGTGCTGCTTAATAGTCAGTACGTTTATTTGCCGATCGAAGCTGAACGTTGCTGTCGTCGTAGAACTCTCTTCCGTATCCGACTCGCAAGACCCAGTCAGAGTATTGTTCTGGCTTCCCGAAGTCGTACAGTTGAAAACATCCGTATTGGCCATATTTCTCAAGATGAAGGACGGGCCAGAATCAGATGAGGGCGCGCTCGAGGACGGCGAGCCGGGAACTTGTTCGTAGCGACGTAACCAGTTCTCGAGCTGCCACGATTGGTATCTCTCTGCGTTATCCGCGCAAGAATCTGCTGCTAAACGAGCCGGGCTTCCTGTAGTAGTAACATCTAGACCTTCGCCCTTTAACATGCAGCTGGTGCCGTCTTCCTCGCTCGTCGCGCAATCTAAATCTAGATAGAAAGATCCTATAGCCAAGGCGTCGGATCTATCCTCGTGATGTCAGTTTCGTTTTATGTCTGAAGACCGTAGCAAGTCTAGGGAAATACTTACCCTTCTTTATCTGAGCAGGCAAATGTATGAGATATATACATTGTACGATTATTCTTCCAGTCCAAGGCAAATGCGACGGCGGTATCTGAAGTCCTACCGTTGCCAGCCCAGATACAATCGCTCCAAATGATATTTCCGTCTTCGTACCAACCTTCCCACGATTCGGGCCACTCTGCAACACACTCGAAAAAGGTGCCCATCGTGAGGTTTCCAGGCACGATGCTCACAGCTATCGTCGCTGCCCCGTTCTTTCCAGGTTCTGCGCCGTCATATCTTGCGGCGCCCACATGCCACTGATACTCCGAGGACGCATTCGTACCGGTGCCGCATACTCTAGAAGCAACGACTCCATGAGTAAGCGGCAGCGCCGCTACAAAGGCTAACACACCGTTTCGCATCTTGGACTTTTTCTTCTTCCTAGACTACTCAAAGCATACTAAGGAATATAGATGGTGATTAAAACTTCTCTGCCGGCATGATTGCTATGTAATAAAGGGGTGTCTATAGTTCGGTATGGGTGATCTTATCTGGCTTTTAGTTATACCGGCTTGATTAAATGCCGGGACGTCTAGGCCGTTACATTGCAATATGGAAGAGTATGTGGAAGATTAACCCCATTTTGCCGTAGCAGGAGAAGGTCTCCAATCGCCCATATATTAGGTACCTCTTATCTTGGACAAATTATAACATTGGGTGAAGATTCGAAAGTATAAGCGAGTGTGCAGAAGTGGCGTACTTTATATATATTTAATTCTAAAGATCATACAGCATCAGTACGATTTGAATTGCCTCTTTATATCATCTTGAAGTTTCACTGTCAGAAATCAAATATGTCCTGATACATACCATCGATCGAAAACAGGTTTCTGCCAAGAGCAATGAGCGACTAATAAAGGGTTGTTATGTGAGATACTCCCGGGTAAATTCGTTAGGATTAGCAATTTTCCTTAGCTCAATATACCTCGATATTGTTCAGGTTAGAAAACCAAGTCTAAGAATCGGTATCTCGGCATTGATTTAGGAACAGGGTAAGTCTCTCGTATATAGGAATTAAGGTCCAGATTATATGCGCCAGCAATAGTCTGGCTTCGCTCCGTCTGAGGCTTTCCCATCGCCGCAACCCCCTTTCTGTAGACTGGTTAGATAGTTCTGTCCAAGATGCAGTGGAAGGCTTTAGCCCTGGCGCTCCTCGCGGGGGAGGTTGCCGCCCAGCAGATGATACGCTTTGGCTGCTCCCAACTTGTTATTGAGCGTCTAGACCCTCTCGTCAACCCCGGTACGTTGCCGTCGCCGCACGTCCATCAGATCGTGGGTGGAAACTCGTTCAACTCGAGCATGGACCCGGCAGTACACGATCTCGTCAGAGACTCTACCTGTACTAGCTGTACGTTCTCCGAAGATTTCTCCAACTATTGGACGGCGGTTCTATACTTCAGGGCCCGTAATGGGACATATATGCGAGTACCACAATTTGCGAATGTAGGACTCCGACAAGATGGTGGAATCACAGTTTACTATATCCCACCCTACGATGGAAAGACGAAGGTGACCGCTTTCAAGCCGGGTTTCCGTATGCTTGTTGGAGACGCCGCGCTTCGCAAGGCCGACGGCATGCAGCGCCAGCTATGTCACCGCTGTTACACAACCGCGGATGGCGCCGGCCCCGCTGGAGACACGGGTGGCGCGCCGTGTACTGGTTCAGATACGCAGAGCTTACCCCCTAAGCCCTGTGCTGGCGGTATTCGCACGACTATTACATTCCCTACCTGCTGGGACGGAAAGAATCTAGACAGCCCAGATCACAATAGTCACGTTGCCTATCCTAGAGAGGGTACCTTCGAATCAGTAGGTGCCTGTCCGGAGAGTCACCCCGTCAGGCTACCGCAGTTGATGTACGAAGTTATGTGGGATGTAAGTATCAATTTTGCTATTTTGATGTAACAGGCTATGTCGAAGGACTATTGCTAATTTGTATATTTTGTAGACAACGCCTTTCAACGACCCGGAACTATGGCCCGAGGATGGCTCGCAACCGTTCTTCTGGAGTACAAATGATGAGTGAGTCTTCCAAGAGATATTCTAACTTTGTCATGTACTAAATCGACACGTACAGAACTGGGTATTCGCAGCACGGCGATTACGTCTTCGGCTGGAAAGACGATTCCCTCCAACGTGCTCTTGATGCTCGATGCAACAACGCTGTCTGCAGCGAGCTCAAGGTTCAGACGTCGGAAGAGGCCCTGAAGTGCACCAAGGCTCAGACAGTAGTGGAGGATGTTGATGGATGTGAGTCATATTTGCTACAGATGCGCGAACATAGCTAACATGTTACTAGGGTTGGAAAGTATCCCAGGTAGTTAGAGTAGCTTGTATGGTTATACCATGATCTTCCTCTACATTACTGTTTTCAGACGTCTTATTATATTGTACATGGAGTCTCATCTAGTCGCCATACTACTTACATCTAGTGTCTTATATAGAACCGTATTTAAATATGAATCGTATCCCTAATCAGATAAAGCGACGTGAATTTTCCTATTTGAGGTAGGTGGTTAAGCTGTGAGTAATTCCCGTGCTTGCCTATTACTATTAGTGTATGTTTCATGAATTTCAAGGACTATAGGTGAATAAGGGATAAATATAAAATAGAGATGAGATCATTTAGAAGCCGTTATACAAAATTAGCGTTTATGGCTAGAAGCATCCATGAGAGGTATGAGAGGTATAGATGGTACAAGTCGCATGACGAGAAGCATTTAAATCAGTCGGAATTAAGAGTCCACCAACTTTTTAAAGTATCACATCGTTATTCATTATATTAGTAAATCGCCGGTAACGCTCGACAATTCCCAAGAGGTACTTAGTCCTGAAGATCCTGTAGCCATGCTGACCGCCTCAAGACTTGAATTAACTTTAATGTGAACCAGATATTTATACGCTTTGGTCTTGTTCGTACTATTACCTAAACTGTCGCTTCGCTAGATCCCTCTTAATATGGCTATGTTGATGTCAGCCATGTGGCATCATCTAGGGGGTTATGGTAGGGGCAATGTGTCCACTGGTCCCATCAAAGCGGGAGCTGCTGGAGACCAAGATTACCAGGTAGTCAGATATAACCACCAGATGGACGAATAGTCGAAGAGTATCTATCCATGGTCTAAATTTTAGCGAATACCTCAGCCGCACAAGAATGCCAACTTAGGTAAAACTATACTCGTCACGCAGCATACAATGCTACTCCACGTCAGGGCCATGTCAGGGCCATGTCAAGGTAGGCGAACATCCTTATCTTGTTGACTTCTGATTCCTATATTTAGGGTTGATTCTGCGCTGGCACACTTTAGCACTGTTCATATAAATGGTTAATATAAATCATTTACCTGAGTTAGGTATATATTGGAATCAAATCTCTTGTCTCTACCTGCTCTAGCTGGCCGATTGTGGTTAGATATAATATCGGCATAAAAATGATTGCAAATTTGTCTATTCTCCAGGTATTACTGGCCTCGACTTGCTTATTGCCAACCGGGTTAGGTGAAGCCCAAGTTAACAGAGTCGCATGGCTGGATAATGTCAAGACACACGATCCGACCTCTCCAAAACCAGTGGCTGCCCATGCTATTTCGCATGAGGTCGAACATATTGTTCTCGTCGGAGACAGGTAAGTTCTACACCATCTAATATCGTCGTTTCTAGATCCAATTATTAACATCCAATTCAGCGTCGAATCACAGGTTAATGTTTCGGTTTTCTCCGAGGTAGAGAAGAGAGAACCAAGGAGGAAGTCTAATAATAATCACTCCGGCAATAACACGCAAACTGATGATTCGGGTGTTGGAAAGATGGCTATCTCTGTATCACTATCCATCGGTGCGAGTCTTATGATTATAGTAGTATTCTTTTAAATTTTATATAATATAACACTAGAATATACTTCTTTAGTAGACTTTAAAGCCCCGATGTGCTCAATACGCGTTGTGTTCAGCCTTAAAATCAGGTACCTTAGGTTAGGTACATTACCTAACAGCATTACAGGGGTATATGCTTCTGACGTAACTACCTCCTAGGTACCTCTTAACATTATGTGATGCGCCAGGGGTTGACAGTGGACACCCAATTAAATCTTTAAACCAAAAAAAAAAAGCGACTGACCTTTCACTTACAATTGCATCACCAAAATCACTAACCTCACTTACATATAACTAGAAGGCTACGATAATTTACGTACCTCCTATAGATTAATGCTACAAATCCGCATTGTACAATTTCTCATTCAGATCGACCTTATAACTGTATGTCCTATTAACCTTCCGCATATCTCACATGTTTAATTTCCGTGGTAATGCGCGGTACACCTTCAATCCCCGCTCTATCTTCTATCGACCGACCACTACTGCCCTAGCGAGGCGCACTCTCGCCTCAAAATCTCTCGACAAGTCAACAACAATAGCATCAGGTCCTGTAGCTGAGAAGCTCGCTGCTACGGAGCTATGGTTACCAAAGAGTCAGCAAAAGAAATTTGACAAGGCCTCCCACCCAGATAGTGACAAAACCAGAGTTAACATCGTCAGCGAAGAGTTATGCGACAATATCATCTCATACGTCGGAAAGTCCCTTAGGCGACATAGAGGATGCGACATTATCGATATATACCCGGGCGCCGGGCTTTGGAGCCAAAAGCTACACGATTTTCTCCAGCCGCGCTCTCACATCCTGATGGAACCCGATGCAGAATTATACAAACCCTTTCTCAAACCTCTCCTCGATCGGCCCAACACTACGCTCGTTCCGGCGTCCGGGCTCGTCTGGCGGGAGCTTAATTCTATTCTCACCCCGGAATACCTACCGCATCAAACCATACCTGACGCGGCCAAGTTGAGTCGACGCAACGATACTCTGCTAGTCACTGCAAATATTGCTTTCCACCCTCAGAAACGCTTTCTCTCCTTCGGGTCTTTGGCGCATTTAGTTCTCTACCAGTTTATCGAAGCTATCCGAACTAGCGGCCTATTTCAACGCTACGGGCTCGTCCGCATGCTGATATGGACTCGGCACGACGACAAGTACGGATTGCTCCCTAAGGTGATGCAGAAGCGGAAGAAGCTGGCGTTAGATTCCGAGATCTGCTGCGAATGGGTACACGAGGTGTGTGGTCGCGAAGGCCCCGATAATTCTTGGTACGTCCGCGATAGTGCCATCGACGAGAGTAGTAACTTTGCCACCTGGAAGAGGATGAAAGCTGCCAAGATTAGTATACCTCCGGAGAGGTCTTCCGAAGGTCTGAAAGAGGCTCGACTAAATGCGAGGTCAAAGAAAAATATTGTACCCGGCAAAAAGCCCCCTGTATTTAAGAGACCCTACCGAGATATATTGGATAGGCTCGAGGCAGCACATAGGGAAGAAATATTTACTCGAGATTCGGATGATTATAAGACCATGCGGGGCTATCGGTGGAGGGCTAACTGGGAGAAAACAAAGCACCAGCGCATGTTTGATCTAATAAAAAGCTACGATGCTATCAATACTCTCTACAAGTCAGGCAAGGCGGCGCCCGGGGAAATCGAAGCTCTTGAAAGGAAATTACAAGCCACTCTGGAGGACAATCCCAAGGGATTTGTTACTGAATTCATCACCTACAAGGACAATCTTCACTATTATAGGCAAGATCCACCCCTGCTACATTGGGATCGCAGACCATACGAGCCGTTGGTTATAGAGCCTGAAGAATTCTTCCCGAATATTGAATGCAGCTTGCTGGATATCCAGCCGAAAAGGGTCCCGCCGTTACTCCGCCAGACCGGCCCAGGTTCGAATAGGGCAGGCGATAGCTTCGAATTGCTTTTAAGCTCGATGATGAGCCACGGCACAATTCCCGTCAGCCAAGCTTTGGATGCCCTCATGCCAGGTGCCGCCGATTACATCATGCCCCGCTGGAGGAGCGCTAGAGACTTGAGACACGGCGGAGTGGCTTCTAAGATAAAAAGGTTAGAGCTGACGCCGAGGTTACTAAATGCGCGGCAGTGGGAAGAACTTATAGAGCTTTGGATGGAGTGGCCTTTCCGTCCCGAGTTTCACGAACTCGTCTCTCGCACCCACGACGAGTTAGCCATAGAAGATAACATTATGGCTTCCGACTGATTCCAACGAGAGATGGCGTTTTGCAACCTAGGTTCCCTACGGTAGATGACGGAATTATTCTACGTAGAGACCGAATAATGTATGATTGTAAGGATCTAGAAGCGTTAATATGCGTTAGCAAGATGAGTTACGGCCAACTTCTCTGCGCCGCCTGGCCATATTATATTTTACTATGGTTCGAAGACCCGCAATACATGCACAATCATAATTGGTGTCTAGGATTTTCTAGGCTGACCTTGGCGTCGACAAGCTTGGTGGTTCTACATACATATTTGCGTACCTGGTAAGGTATTCGTATTCTTAGCGAGATCATGACATTATGGCGAGATGATAGAGCAGAAGAGAACGTGACCTTTGCAACATGCGTTTATCTATTTCATGTGAGCTTTATAGCTCTATGCAATTGAGACCGTAATAATGCGAGCTCGATCATTGATGCTAGATGCGTAAGGTACCTAGCCACCGAAAGCGTAGTGCGTTTTCATGAGACAATTCGAAGTAATGTCACGGACAAATGCCGTTAAAACAGAGGTATGTGTTTTGTCCGACATCTCGCCCATTGCAGACGAGCGGTGTTATAATTCAAGCCCTAAAGCTCTAATTTTACCAAGTAGTAAGCAAGCCGTTTCCGTGCCGTTCTAGTTTCATAATTGCCATTATCGAAAGGACTCGATATGATGTTCGGTGAGGTGCTGCAATAAGGCTCATAGACTACCTACAAATACAATTCCGAAATCGTTTCTCTTTTTTTCAATGCAAAAAATAAAAGTCGCCCCTTTTCTTACTTTTACGAACTGGCCCTTTGGAGCTGCCCGAAGCAAAATGAACCCACTCAGCAAGCTGACAATGTCGGCTTGGCTTTGTATAACCCTAGTCTAAGTCGTTGCGATACGATATCTCATCGTAAAATGGGTTAATAAGAGGTCTTGCTTGCCTCGGCAGATTACTGTTTATCTGGTTTCTTAACGTTACTTATAGTTAGCAATTTGCTTATAATAGGTAGGTAGTTAAGTAATAAAAGCCAACACTTTTACTTATGTACCTACTCATCCAGACGAGCTTTGCAACGTATACCGTGTTTCTCTTACACCTAACTTACGCTAATTAATTGAACACGCCCGATGCAGGTTTATATATGTAGTATATTTATGCGAGCGGAATGTTGTTAAGTTGCTAAGAATACTTTACAGTTACATTAAAAGCAGACTCGTATTACTTTACTGATACGACATCGCCAATCACAAGATAGAATTCAGACTCGGTTCATTTATGTATAATACCCTAGAGGATGTCACGTTTTTTAATAGAAATATATACCCAGGTAAATCGAAACTTTATCTCGATGCTTAACGAGCCGTTCTATCGAGTTTCTGGAACGTTGGCGCTGTTATTAAAAAGATGAAATTAGGGTGCATCTGAAATTGAGGTTAGCGCGGGGTTAGCTCGGCGCTAGCTTTATCGAAGAACGTTAAACTTAGGAGGGCATATATTAAGGTACATACATGTACCTAACCTTATGTAACCTTTTGTCTGGGGTAATAGTACTTTAAGTACATTAAGAGGTACTTGTCCATTATCTCCCTCCTATGTGTACCTTATACCTATGTCTGCAAACATGAAGACGAAAGGAGATTGAACTCCGTAAGAAGCGATCTTCAACGATCGGCTCGGTCCCGTGACAATAGGGTGTTGCAGTGACAGAGTAGAAGCTCCCCCTTCCCACCGGGCTGGTATAGAGATGTTCAATCGATCGGACCGCCTAGAGGATGCACATAAGGCAAGTGATGAGCGGAGGAAAGTTGGATTAACTAACGGAAATATGGAGACATAGGAATGTTGCACGTTTTTTTAATACAAGTAAGCAGGATGTTCAATGTTATTTAGTGGAGATGTTACTTAAAAAAGGGAAGTATCAAAACACTCGAAATATTATGGCAAAATACAATTGTGAATATGTCTCCTGATTTTGGGAAGACTTTTTTCATCCAAAATTACCTATTCAGGCAAAGATTAAGCTAGAATCTTCTAACGGGTTTGTATTTCACCATATAAATAAAGCAGCATAATACTTATTTAACTGTTTCAAGCAACATCTCCACTAAATAACATTGAACATCCTGCTTACTTGTATGGTGTTGGCCCCTGTTTACCTTGTTCGCTATTAGTGTACATACATAGGTGAGCGCACGGAGCTGTGCCACTTTCAGCTATTATGGTAGAGATTAGAAGAACCACATATATATGCGTGTAATATGCCAAGGGGACTTCTGAGATAAGATGTAATTATAACTTTGCGCCGTTACAGATTGATATATATTTGTTTGTATGAGAATACATACTTGACTGAAATATGTTATATTAAATACCTATTTGCATGTATACATACCTATATAAGGACACGTAGGTAACTATTATTACCTATCTTCCCGGAATTATTATAATATATTACATGTGTTTGTAACCTCCCGGCATATCTGTAGGTAAGGACATCATCTATAAGGCCCAGGGAGCTGGTATTCAATTTTACTGCATCCCTTAGCCCCACGGTCCGTAACATGTACAGTACGGTAAGACCCGTATTGTGCGACATGCTATGTACAGTACATTAGGTATCTAACTGTATCGTACTTTGTACCAATATGGGTGAGCTTACCTGCAGTATCGAACGTACTAACCCACCTTTGCCTAGAAGCGTCTTCGCTCGCGAGTTTATCAAATTTCCCCCAATAAGCCCATCTGTACCCGTGGACAAAGTCTCATTTTTCTTTTTTTTTTTTTATACTTTTCGCAAACTTAACAAACTTAGCAAACTTTACGAAACTCTGTTCCAACTGTTTCTTCGTCCAATGTTCAACGACAAGTCAAAGCGCAATTTGTACCTGTCATGAGATACATGTAGTCAAGTTACATGGTTAGTAAAACCTGTCACCCAGATCTGCCCACTGAATTACACCACTCCGCCTCAATAATTTGTATCATATTGTCTCCTCATAATATTTTCCCTCGAGTCCTATTTTGTCTCCTACATATTTTTATAGGATTGAATCCGTCTGCTCCTAGTTTATTCTCGTCTGTCTTTTACGTCTACTATCTTTTTTTCTTTCTTGGCCTTTCCTTGTAAACACTTAACATCCAATCGTTTGTTGCGAAAACAAAGTTTTTGATATCGTTCTACCGATTTTCCCTTCTATCATTGCTAACACATTTGACTTTTAAGCCAGACCGGGAGCCTCCCCATCTTACTCTACTCGAACCGTGCCAGCATCTTCGAGCGCGCGCTACGAAACGTTTCATCCCATCTTCGAAGTAGTGTCGACGTCCCGGCGCCGTCTTTAGGGCGGCCGACGTCTCTCCCTTACCATGCGCTCGCCCGCTTTTCCACCGAGGAGGCCCTCTCACCTCATCCGATACATTTTCCCGGCCGTGCTCCTCCTCGGTATCTTCTACTACCTCTCTAATAAGCCCCAAGAGGTCCAAACACCTAATTCCTATTTAACTTCCGATCGCGATTCCTTCAAATCCTCATTATCGTCATCCCCCCCCGCTTCTTACGACCATGGGACACCTGACATTGTTGATCAACCCGCCAAGAATCCGTCTACCAATCAGAAACCTGTTCACGGAGATCTGGACGATGGAAATAAAGACGACGAAGACAAGCCAGTACACGAATCGAAACCTGTCCAACCCGTCCAACCAGCTCCGCCGAAACCCGCTACGGACCACCCTATCGACCAGCTAATCAAAATTGCTGATAAAGATTTCAAAGACCTGCTAACCAAGGAGTCGAACACGCTGGCCGAAGCTGCCCAAGCTTATCGTAAACGTCGCGGGCGGCATCCGCCTCCAGGTTTCGATAAGTGGTACGAGTTCGCGAAGGAGAATGATGCAGTCATAGTCGAAGATTTCTTTGACCAGATTTATCACGACCTAAATCCATTTTGGGGGCTGGAACCTTCTAGCATTCGTGATGAGGCATCGGGCTACGAGATGGTTATTAACATACGCAACGGCAATGCGAGTGCCGAGAGCGATTGGTTTTGGACTCAGATCTGGTTAGACATGATTCAAACTATCGAGCATTTGCTACCCGACATGGATATCGCTCTAAACGCAATGGACGAGCCGCGACTTGTAGTACCGTGGGAGGATATCAATGCCTACATGAAGAAGGAAAAGCAGAGCCGAATTTTGAATCCCGCTAAAAGTATCGTCAACGAGTTCCAGAAGTTGCCACCCCCGGTTAAGCACGAGGACAAGTCTGTTCATACTGTCGATAAGGACTGGGAAGACACAAGTAGGACCAACCATTCATTGCCACTGCAGGGTAGACGTGAAGAATATTTGTATATGCTAACAATTTGTAGACCCGTACTGGTTAATCGCTCGTCGAGGTTGCCCTCCTGACAGCCCTGCCCGCAAACAGCCCGCCCTTAGTTCGTTCGACGGCAAACCTAGCTTCTCCCCGGAGTGGGCAACACCCCATCAATATCAAGGATATGTGGCCAACTCGACGCTCTCGGCCGAATTTTGCCACCAGCCCGATCTACAAGGACTTGAAGGTATCTTTATACGGCCCCTCACAACGTCTGCGACCAAGGTTCTCTTCCCGATGTTTGGAGGAAGCAAGCTGGCCACTAACAATGAAATCCTTCTTCCGGCTCCCATGTATTGGAACGAGGAGGAAAGATTTACCGGAGGAGATGACCATGGGCCGTCGTGGGATAGCAAGATCGGCCCTCTCATCTGGCGTGGCGTGGCTACCGGCGGCCGCAATACTGAATCGAACTGGAAGGGCTTTCAGCGACATCGATTCGTCTCGATGAACAACGGAACTAAGCTCCAGCGCGCCGAGGAGGATATCGAGGCGCCAATCAATTTCGAACTGCCTAGCGCGACCTACGGTCTAGCGGCGCAAAAGGAGAGGCGATTGGGTGCGTGGGTATCGCAGTGGTCTGATGTTGGCTTCACCGACCTGTTCTGTAACCCTGACGTAGAGCCCGAACAGAAAGACGGGCACTGTATATATACTGATGAGCACTACGAAACGGTACTCGGCCAGAAGCTAGCGGTTCAGTTTTACTACAAGTATCTTCCCGACATTGATGGCAACTCATTCTCGGGGCGCTACCTAGGCTTCCTACGAAGTACGAGTTTGCCCATAAAGAGCACGCTCTGGCGCGAGTGGCACGACAGCCGTCTAGTGGCCTGGAAGCACTTCGTGCCGATGGATAACCGATTCAGCGATTACTATGGTATCATGGAATATTTCCTCGGCTACAACGACGGCGTTCCTGGACACGACGAAGTAGCCGAGAAGATCGCGACGGACGGAAAGGCCTGGGCTGAAAAGGTGCTCAGGAAAGAAGATATGCAAATCTATGTGCTGCGGTTGCTGTTGGAGTATGCGCGAATCGCGGACGACCGAAGAGAAATCATGGGCTGGGTTGACGATTTGCTGTCGTGAAGAGGAGATATGAAGGACGAAAGTAACTAATCATGACACATACCCTTTAGATGACGAACTTTAGTGTATAACATCGTCGATATACCAATACGAGGACGGCGTTAGGGTGGGTTAAGGCATTGAAATGTTGGCATGCCAGCATGGAGCAGATAAGCTCGAGCATATGACCAATTGGTCTGGGTAACCGGCGTTGGATGGTGTATTTAAAGACGAACATTGAAGTCTCTAGGTGGCTACCTGTGGTAGCGAAATTAAGAAAGTACCTCAATATTTTTATTTTTATTTTTAACTACTCGGCCCTTGGCTTTGTTAATTGAAGGTATTGATCTACATTTACGTTGACTTGATATGACATTGGAGAGCTCGATATGATGGGGTTCCGTTTACCCCTGAACAATAGTAACGGGACCTCCCACCAGGAACAACTACAATAATGTTAGACTAATGCATGCACTCGGAATAATGGCAACTTAGCAGTGCTAAAACTTGTATATTTACTTCTATAGCCAGGGGTCTTCTTGCTATACGATATATTTACAGTTGAAAACACGAGACATGGATATAGGTGCATATCTACCTATGAATGAATATAGTGATGTTATAAGTATGACGTAGCGGCAATGTTCTACAACTACCTAGGTATAACTACGACAATTACATAATCCCTACCAATTTTAGTATTGATAATCGGGACTTGTGCAAGTTTACGGAAGCAAGTTCATGGTAAGACAATGATATCTCTCCGATGATCCTTCTATGCCATTTTATCCGAACAAACCGAGACATGGAATGCAAAGCAAGAAAAAAAAAACCGATTTAAAGTACCTAGGTAAAAGTGAGGTAGGTAGGTATAGATCGAGATTGGCACAAACCTTGAATTACGTACCTTGGCGTTTAGTGCACGTCATCACACATGTCAGACATACCGAACGCGGTGAGCTTTGTAAAAAGAGAGTCGAAGCTACGACGGTATAAAGCTGAGGATATCTTCTCAGGTGGTCTATACATTATTGGTCTTTCATACTCTATACAACTTCAAACATTTATTCTAAAATATCTATCTACCTAACCTATCTATATTACTCACCAACAAGTACCTAGAACTACTCAACATTTATCATTATGGATGCCCTCAAGAACTTCGCTAGCGGTAACTCGCAAAACACTGGCAGCAACACCGGTGCCCAACAGACTGGCGAGAAGAAAGACGTCGGAGACAGAAGTAAGTCGGTCCCATTTGATTTGCACAAGTTATCTCTCTCTCTCTTTCTTTAAGTTCGATGTCTAACATGACAATGTACTAGTCGCCGGATTCATGAACAAGAAGCAGGGAGGCAAGCTCTCCGACTCGCAACTAGAGAGCGGCACAGACAAGGCTCGCAACATGTATGAGAAGGCGACTGGGTACGTAAACCCCAATCAACCCTTAATAATTTCTTCTTGGGAAATTAACAGTAATTGGCATGTAGAAGCAAAGTCGACCCTAAGTTTTCCAACTAAGTGCGAACATCGCGCTGTCGAATTATATAAGGGAGGATATACTGCGGATATAATATTTAATCAATCCTTCACATGGAAAGGCTACCGACAAATAGCTATAGAGGGTTATAACTGACATCTGGATTATCCAGTAATTCGTCGCTCCTTAATCGCGAAGAAAGGGTATGAAGCAATGGGTTACTAGTCAACCCACCCAGGAAAGATGGGCATATCTCTCAAATAGAAAATATTTAAATAAAAAAGTTCAAACTCAACATCTGTACACCGAAACGCCGGACACTTTCGTCGTGTAGCCAATCATCTTGCTCTAATAAATAATCAGGTTATACGCGTAGTAGTAAGTCCATGAGACATAACACATAAACCAGTACGAATAGAGAACACAATGGCTCACTCCGTACATGAAACCGTACATCTCGTAAAATTTTAAGCGTCATCGTAAAACACTTGTATCGCCATCACGATAATCCACAGTAAAAATATGCACCCGATCAGAGCGAAAGCAAAAACTGCTTGCCACGATTGGCCTTCCGAAGGAAGTGTTAGTAAAATACCAAGCAAAAATGAGTAGATACGCAGTAAATGATTGTTAGAAGGGATCGAACCCGGGGATTGCTCACATATAGATCTTTGCTCCAGCCACGCCAATGTCCCTTGGTTATTTCCCGTGGGCGACGTGCTCCATACCAAAAGGTTACAATTCGAGCTGACGGAACCGACGGGGCCCCATAACTCAATACTGACGACGATGAGGCCTACCATCCAGAGCACAAAGAACATGAAAGAGCCGAGGATGACTATAGAAGGGAGAAGCCGTCGTTGGGCTATAAGCCATAGCAGCGTAGCAACGTAGACGATTGTTAATGCTGACACGGTGATAAAATAAGGGAAGTACCTGCGCGAGAACAGACTTGAGTTAGAAAACAATCGATCCCATTGCACTTAAGAGGGCGGGTAGGATAAAATCTGCTCACCAGGGAACATAGAGTTCCAGCTGTTGTTGGACACCGATAAAGGTAGCGAAGATACCAATGATGCAGCACGATGCGGCTAGCATTATGAGCATCCACACGTTAAGTTGAATAGCAGGCCAGTGGTATCTATGGATACGGGCTATCCGGCGCTCGTAGACGACCGAGTCGGAACCGGTTACTATTGATGTAGCCATTATAGATTTTGGGTTGCGTTTGCTTGCGTTTGCTTGCGTTTGCTTGCGTTTGCTTGCGTTTGCGCGTTTGACTCTAGGGAGTATAAGCAATGCGAGACTGGAGCTCTATTAAAGTCGAGTTCGTTCCGTCCAACGTCGAAAGCGCGTAATGCAAAGGTAAGATATTCGCCCGTCCTAATTTTTCTAAGGTGAAGTTGAATTGACGCTCTCCTCCTCGACAAGAGCGTCTTTTCCTAGAGAGGACTCGAGATATTCGATATTCGACCCGACAATACCTCTATCTAACCGCGTGTTTGTCTTTCCCGGACCCGTCCCGCCTAGCGATTGTTGTTACAAGGTATAATATTTCTATCTCCCTAAGACGTCGTTTGTCCAAACAGGAATTGGGTTCGCGACGGCGATTCTGACGGCAAATAGCTCTAATAGTCGAGGGGCGTCGTCATATGGTTAATTGCAATTATAATTATAATCCTATTAATTTCCCGAATCGCCTAACTTTTTAGAAGCCTGACGAAGTAGAACCACAACCAACTGCCAGCTCAGAGCTGCTTCGCACGCGGCCGATCGATGTGTTAGAGGGCTGATTGGATCGCCTTTTCTGAGCAAATGCAGGTGCCGGAGCCCCGCGAGACTGGGCGCATCCGCTTTCGATCGTGCGCTGTCAGATTGTCAGACAGGCTCGCGCAGAAAAGAACTACGTGGTACAGTCTCGAGTCGTCGTCGTTGTGTGAGGGATAGATTGTGGAATTGGAGCTACAGCTACACGAGCTGATACGAAATATTCGTAATAGTGAACAAGGCGCTGGAAGGGTTTTTTTTTCTTCGGCAGCGCACCGAGACGCCGAGCGGGATGAGCGGGACCTGTTGGCGTACCTAATCCTAGGTACCTTAATTACTGGTACCTATACCTGGTTAAGTGATACTATTAGGACTAGGATAAAGGATCGGCAATGCTAGAGATTTGATATGAATAGGTAGTTATGTAGTTGATAGTTAGGTAAGTATTGTATAACCATAGAAATAGCATGAAATTTGAGACTTGTTTATTCAAGGAAGATTAAAGAGACAACAATTTAGCGCTTATAGATTTGCATTAGGGATAAATTCTACCTTACGTTACCCCGATGTATGCGAGGTAATTACCTGTATGAGGAACATTGTAACGCTCTTTCTCTTTAGCGCCTATTAAATCACAGAGGGGGAAAATTGTGATGAAGAAACTATGGTGGCTGGTAATTTGTAAGGCACAAAGCCGTGCTGTGATGAATGTAAGGTTCTTCCTATAAGATACAAGATCATCTGCCAAGACCATGCTACCTTAAAGTTGGGGACGACCCCTGGATATATAGATGTACTATATAGATGTACTTATACTGTTAAGGTATTGCCTGATCTCGCACGTTTTATTCTACATGTGATGATTCAATACCTAACTCCACTTCAGCTACCTTAGGTACCTTACTTAAATCAACTATCGACCAATATACTTCAAGGTTGGAGTTCATACTTCGTTTTGTTGTCCTTGCTAAGGCTTGCTGCCCATTTCCTCTATGAGTAGACACCGTCTAGTCTAGTTTAACCAATCCCCAGAGCATGTGTAAACACATGTATCCCATATATATACTAAACCGCCGCCGTCATGATCCGAGTATTATACTCAATGGATTGACAGCATACTCATGTCTCCTGTGACATGGACAGACCCTAATCGCATTCGCCATCTTAATCAGTTTATAGCAAAGATTCACCCAGAGCGCATCGCACCAGCGAACATCCTGCACGAACTGTCTCGTGAGCTCCCAACTCGACTTCCGGTGCCAAACTCGGGTTGACCTCGACGAGATCCACAGCCACGAGGCTTCCTGTTAGATGGACGCTCTCGCAGATATAGTCTCCTTCGCGCAGCGTTAATCCTCCCCTGACTGGCGTTCCTGTGCTAGGTGCCCACATGGGATCGAGCGCGTCGACGTCAAAGGATAAGTGGATTGGAGTGTCTGCACCGATATGCGCTAGCGCCATCTCTACGACACGACCGATACCATATCTATACCAAGGCGCAGCCGCATGTCAGTACGTTTCTAGACAACATATAACTATGAAGGGGGTGGGGGAGGGATCTATACCGGTCGATATCGAACATGCTGAATGCCTTGATGTTGTTCTCGCGAAGGATGCGCTTCTCGCCCGCATCTACGTCTCGCAGACCAATATATACGAGCTTCTTCACGCTGATGAGATGCTCAGGCTTTAGCCAGCCGAAGTACTCAGGTTTTTCTTCCTTGGCAAGGCCGGTGATGAAGCTCACGGGCATCCCGTGGACATTACCGGAATCGCTCGTCTCGGGCGTGTTAATATCGGAATGTGCGTCTACCCAGATAACCGCGATCTCGCGGCCGAGCCGTTCCCGTGTGGCCTTAGCTGAACCGGCGATGGTGCCAATTGCGATGGAATGGTCGCCACCTAAGGTCAAAACCATTCTTCCTTCTTTGGCGTGTTCGTATACTTGGTCGCAGAGACGCTCAGTGACGCTGCTTACGGCCTTGGGGTTCTTCATGTTCCGGAAAGGGGGGTCATCTTTCGGGACAAGATCGGTGTACGAGTGTACAGTGTCGTGACCGTGTAGCTTATAGTTGAGCTCGTCTCGAAGCTGGCTAAGTAATCCAGACTCGATCAGAGCCGAAGGAGCGGCATCAACTCCAGGCTTACACTATAAGTGAATAATAGCCGTATTGTAAGCTGCTGCGATATTCCGAGGGGGGTAGTTATAGCAATTGCGGTTCATCATACCTGTCCACCTGAGAAACCGACGGCAACAACGCCGAGGTCCTCGGGGTGGGAAAGAAACTTGGACTTAACCATGGAGGTGTTCATTGTTGCTAGCCTTGTTTCTTATATGAGTTTAAAGAGGGGAGTAGTGCTGGTGATATACAATCGAGTCGAGAGACAGCTATTATAACTAGTCCGCCGGTCTAACAAATCCAACTTGTCTATCTAATGGTAGCAATTGGAGAGTATGTCAGAGTATACGTGTTAAAAGTTTAAGAGTCTTTATAAATACAAGAATCTCAAGCGAGAAATTGTTGGAAGCTTAAAAAAGTCGGTCCTACCTTTCCGATATCTCATAAATTTTTTGGCACATGACAGCGGCGCTACTTGTTTCTTCCCACTACTCCTTCGTGTCCCTCTTCAGTGCATATACGTTCTAAGCTTTTAAAGGCTAACCCGTGTACCGAGCGGTGGGGGTTAAAGATGGAAAGTACCGGCAACTACCTTGATAGGTATCGCATATTGGTGGCCTACAGGTAAGAACTGCACCTATATGCACTGTAATCTAATCAATCCGGGTAGCCACATGGAGATATATGCTCCTAGACCTACCTAACCTAAATAAGCCACTACAATGCCCTAAACCCTTAGGTGCATTATCCCATGTTCAGCACCAAGAATGCAGTACGTAAAATGGTAGAAATTAAAAAACAGCTTTGTCTTTAGAGGTAGGTACCTACATAACTTACCGCCGCACTCGTCATCACTAATATGTCCCTCTACTATAGTAGAGATTCCAACCCACCACCGGCATCGGCGTACAAGAAGAATACCAAATTCTATTAGGTCAATACTACCTCTTTCCCCTGCATTTTCCTCTATATAACCTAGTATAAGTTAGATAGTTAGACCTCTTACGTACATAGATCCCCACGATGATCTTGCTTCCTGCCTTGGCTGCTTGGTCGAGCAAAGCCGCTTCAAACCGGCGCTTTGCTTTTAACGGCTACAGCTTAGCCGACGTACCGTCAGCGATTTTCAACTCATGACACACATCTCTCCTTTCTCCCATGACTTCTTCCTTTAGTTTATGTTATATTACTGCAATACGATATCATCTTAAGTAATAGCGTCGATAAACCATCAATCAACGTACCGAAAGATAGCTCTAGATAATTTCCCCAACAATCTAGATCCGGAAGCCCAGTAGTAGATACGATTACCGCCCACCTCATATGGACGGTCCGATTTATTTCAGCCGTTCAATCAACACCACCTTATCAAACTTGCTTATATGCATGTGGCCTCCTGGCCTGGGTGAAAGTCGATGCCGTTCAATAAGTTGTTCTAGATAAGCCGATTCTGCTTCAGGGTGCGGGAATGGGAAGGTCATTAGCAAAGCTACTGTATCTTTATTTCCGTTGTCTCTCCAAAACGTAACCCACATCTTGATTTCAAGGCTTGCTACATAGAAGCGATTTCTAGGGGGCATAAACTAACAGAGCTGTCTTATCTACAGTATTAAGCGAATGGCCACGACGCCGACCTACGTAGTTTACTAGCGTATGTGATTACTCTAATAACTAATTAAAATAAAAATTGACTATTTAATTAGTAGTGGGCTTGAAAAGGGTTTACCCGGCTTAAACTTGGACGTGTGATGCTTAATATGCTTAATATTGCCTGCATAGACTTATACTTGACGTGTCAACAGAATACTCATAATGCCATTTAGAATCCGATTAAGTCCGCTATACAACTTTACTTGGTCAATTCCTAAATATTAGCTTTCGTACGGTAGTATTATCTTTATATTAATATAACTACCTAACTACGCGAAAGCGTATTAGTTATGTTTGAATTGCATCTTTTCGATTAAAGGTAATAAAATACCACATGGGCAATACTGGATTTAAGACACCAAATATTGTGTTAATATCGATGAACTTATGGCCCTATACACATAGTTATAGAGTTTACCATGTTCAAAGTCTCGGTTATAGAGGCTACATCTATAGTAGTTAGAAAACTCTCTCACTAAGCAATATCTACTTAAGTATGATAGAATGTTTTGTAAAGAACCATAGAGACTGTTTAAAATATAACTATTATCGGAGGCACGAGAATACCTTAACACTATGATTGGTCTTTCGGAGTCATGCCGTTGTCCTACCTGCCTTTACGTAGTTCGGGATGGAGGTAGGGTTCTAAACAGGTACTTATCAGGCCTGTCAAGAATATCTTGACTGGAGATTTGATTACTTGCAGGTGACTTTTTGGAAAACTGGTATAGAAATTGCGACTTTGGTTTTATAGACTTTATTGAGATAATTTGCTCTAACCAGGATCTGCAGTTACTAGAATCAAGCTGACCTGAGACTGTCTGACGCCTGATGGTCCAAATTATTTAGCTCGCATTTATTATTACAATCCAACAATGTTGAGAATCGGGTAACTAAAGAACAATTCGAAAGTACAGTATCTAATTAATATTTCTACTACCTATATCCGAGAGACGCTCTTGCAAGTGACAAATACAGCATGACATAGCATGGAAGACAGGAACATTAAAGACTTTACGAATTCGGGGTGCATATCTCCAGGTACTTAAGGTACCTAATATATATCCCAGCAGGTGCGCGGGAAGCAAGGATAAACATGTCAAACCTGAAACGATGCTACGTAGGTGGGGTAAATAGAGGTACCTAGATACCTAGGTAAGTACCTGCGCTCACTTCTGCGGGGGGAGATCTATCAATTAGGTACCTCTAATTGGACATACAGAACGACGTCAGCTCCTGCTTGCTTATGTTTGTCTAAGACTTGTCTGGCTGTATCTTGAATCAGGGCCGTGATAATCATCGAATTCTTCATCAGTTTTAGTTTCTAAAATTTCGGTATTTCGTAGTTAACAAGTACCTAAAGTACCTAACCTAACCTAACATATGCAAAAATCCGAGTCGCGAGTGTTTGCTTGTTAGAGGTTAGGTTCGGTTGCTGTATGCGCCGGCCTCCGCGCGGTGCCATAGACTGACTCGTCGACTGCGCATCACCACGTCCTCGCATCTCTCTAGTGGATATCCGTTCACATACTAAAACATCATGTAAGTACAGTGTTCTTTTAGCGGTTCTACATCATAATAATCATCATAATAATCACTCGCAAAATCTGATACGTATCCTGTACCTTAGGATCGAGCCATCCGAAAGACTACGACGAGCAGTCCATAGCAACGATGCCTTACTCGTTCGCCGCATCGTGAAATCTCACCCAAGTCTAATTCATAACCCAGACCATTCCGCAACCGGTCTCTCTAATTCGAGCCTTCATCTTGCTGCCAGCCTTGGTCACCTCCAAGTATGCAAGGTCTTGGTTGCTCTCGGTCACGAGCTTCCTACGCCGGCTTTGAACGATGACCATCAAACAGCCTTGATGCTAGCCGCCGCCGCGGGTCATACGGAAGTTGTCTTGTTTCTTGCCGAGAGCGATCCCGCATCTATCCCCCGACGGGATATCCGTGGTAGGGATGCTATCATGGAGGCTAGCATGGGAGGTCATGATACGGTGCTACAAATTCTTCTCACGTATGCGCCTGGAGGGGCGCAAAATGCTGTTCAAAATGCGGATCTCGACGGGAATACTGCTCTACACTTCGCTAGCAGCAACGGTAACCTCCTCGTTCTACGGACTTTGCTTGCTGCAGGGGCCGACCCCGAGAAGAGAAATGTGTGGAGTTGGACCGCCATCGCCTACAGCGCGACAGTACAAGCTGAAGTCTATCTCAAAGGACTTGTCTCTGAGGTTGAGAAGCGAAGGCGAATTAAAAACGAGGTAGAGGAAGGGAGAAAGGGAGGCACTGTCCGAATGGTCGAAGAAGAAATTAACATGGTAGACTGAAGTTAAGTTTTGGCACGACTACATACTGATGAAGTATTTACTCGCGCGGCCCGTCGGCATTATTCCTCACGATGTTTCACGACGCCTATCTGGGGAACCGAGTCTCCCGCCTCCGCAAACGCTATGGAACCACTTTCCTCCCTTGTTTATTTACGCATTTTGGGCAAGTTGGCAAACTTCTAATAAGTCCCAAGTTTGTGTTACCACTGGATCTGGTATTCAGGTTGATTTTTGACAAGGTCTGCGAAAATAGCGCTTGTGGCACGAAGACGAAGATGATATCATTCAACTGACTTTGTCCTTAACAATAACGACCAATCCTCGCAGTAGTGTCGCGGTCATATCCCACGTCTACCGCAAGTGACTACTCTTAACACTTACTGTATCACTTGCTGGAAATGCGTCAATACTTGGCACTGGCTTTGGCTTTGGCTGACTGGACAACACAGTCTAGCACCACCACTTATGAAGCAGATATTAGTCTGATTTAGGGTTTGCCGCATTCTCGTACAACGGCAGTGTCATTGAATGGCTTGCCGCTTTTAGGCTTCCGAATTATAGTGTCAATGTCGGGCGCTACATTGACGTACTCTCTTACAGTACGCGACGACCATTACCTAATCCAAAAAGCAACTATACGTCGAATCTTTATGGTGTCTTTCTATCTATACTATAATCTCGCACGCGGGGATTTTAGACTGGTTTGGTACATGTATTACAATCTTCCATCCCAAGAAGAGCGGTGATCACATGAGATGAGTTGGGTAGGAAAGTGACTGAGCAGATGATGAATCTACTGGACGATTCACTCCCCGGGTCTACCACCGAGTCTGTTAGTAGAGTACCCTTAACCATTAAAGCCCCCTATTCGTCTGGTGATGATGACTATAATCTACCATCTCACGCTTGAGTCTCCTAGTAGCTGGATGTACTGTGATAGAAGCAAACACGACATTATCTTAACAGTTCACTAGCCATGACACTGTCTTGGAACGGAAAGCTGCACAGTCTTCACTACAAATTATTGCTGTCCTCCACACAGGTTCTTACTTCCAGCACACTACTTTAATAGGTTCCAAACTATTTAAGCAGACACGCTCTGCTTGTCTTTCAAGCTGGATCCTCTAGAGACTCTAGTTGAATTGCCTTACCCGGCTACAAAGCTCATCATCGGTCAATACTTCTGGATTCATCCATCTCGACGCTCCTGGGCTTGGCTGGTTGTCGGTTCGTTTTACGACTCCGAGGCCCATGAGCTCTGGCATATCGAGATTTTCATCGGATACGGGGATAACACTACTACCGAGTTTGCCGAGTCCTTAACATCTAACGCATCTGACGTGACTGGTAGGTCATTAACCCTGTTATTGTCTTTGCCTGTATTGTACTAATTTTTACATCAGAGAACTTTGAAATAGACGAAGGAGAGGAATATTTTAGAGATAACATAGAAACACAACTTAACCTTAATTACTTCCCTAACGAATACAACGGTACTGAACTACAAGGGGAGTCCCTTGACAATTTCTTTACTCACTTTGTCCATTATCCCGGGAACTACACGGGCTATACGCCGGCCTTTGCACCGATCATGGCCGCCCAGACGTTCGGAAACGGATGGCACCCGCAATTCGGCTCGGACCAGACTGCAAACCCGAATGCTACTCCGTCCTATAGCAATGTTGTCCCTGGCGTCGTCTATACCGGCTCCAGTGGATATAACTACCTCCCGAACCAGGGAATCTCTGGTCTACCCGGCGGTGTCGTTCCCGGACCGAATAACCAGGCCCCGGTGTATGTTATCCCTCAGAATGGACATAACCATCCAGTCCCTGTGTTTCCTAGCCAAGGACCCCGACTGCCCAACCCTCATCCGGTTGTTAACCTTGACGCCCCGGCTTTGAACCTGAACAACTCCACTGGTGGTGTCGGTTGCGAGCCTGGATACAACTACTTTTTCCCGCCCGAACACACGAAGCTTCACGTTGTCAAATCGTCGACCGCCCCCTGGCGACTCCCCGAAGGTATGTCGATGAACTTTGGTGCCTACCATGTGCCTGTCAACACGACGTTGGCGGAACTACTAGTGGGCTTTGGCGCTCTCAACCCATGTCCAAAGAAGAACAAGGTCACCGAAGTGATTCAGGGAGGTAATGGAAAGTGGTATAGAGGAGTCACATTTTCTGGTGACGGTGACTCTACGACCAAGACGCTAAGAGATCTAGGCTGGGATCGTTCGCGGACGGGACGGACGGGAGAGAAGCCGGTGATCTGGCTTTGGATTACAAAGGATTAATATCCAGTATGCGTAGGTACCTAGATGCTGATTTATAACTAGGACCATCGCGACCGCTTTTTCTTCTTTCGTTCGGGGTTTATATGTACCTCATGGGGGTTACATCGCACAGTAATTTTATCTTGTTTTTGAACAGCGCGCCAATAAGCGATATATGTTTCTAGTCTAGCCAGCCAGGTATTCGGTAGTTGCGATGCTTATTAAATCAAATTTATCTCAAAATATCGCACTGTCTACAAATTGTCCAATTGTCCAATTGCACGGTGCCAAATATATATATTTTTGGAATTTATTACACGCCAAGTATGATTTTCTATCGTGAGACGGATAAGGAGGTATTAAACGAACAGCGAAAAAGGAATAATATTTGTCATTGGTAATCTAAGAAGAATAGAAGAATAGAAGAATATTAATAATTAAAAGACGCTTAACGCTTAACGCTTAATGAGAGGATTAGTAAGCATTAGCTTAGAAATGGCATTTTTGATTTTTGGACAGAGTTTCATAGTCTCAGATCAGGGGGCGAGACTGTAACGACTAATAACGACTAATAACGATTAATATTACTGATGGTCTAATACGAAGTATCCCAAAATACTCCCGATATGGGTATGATATACGGGACAAGACATATTTTGACCCATGTTCGGAGTTTTATGGGATAACTAGCCTTGCTGAAACCTGGTATGATATATAAATGAGGTAGTTATTGGTATGAAAGGTAGGTATATAAGGATAGAATGTCCATGTCCAACTAGACAATTTGCAATTCAACCTAAACATATTCAATACACCTCATCTTAACAATCCAACATATTCCACTACTCTTTCGTCACATTAATCCTCAGTGATAACTCCAACACTCACCATGGCTTCCCTCTACGAGCTAACCATCCCCGTCCTAACTCGGGTCCTCCGAACCGAGGAGTCTCTCCTCAAGAAAGCCGAGGAGCACGCCAAAACCACCGGCACGCCCGTCGAAGAGCTCGTCGCTGCCCGTCTGGCCCCGGACATGTTCTCGCTGTCGAAGCAGGTCGGGGTCACGGTGCTCTTCGCGAGGATCGTATCCCACCTGCTGGCAGGCAAGGAATTGCCCCCCACGCAGATTGGCGAGTGGTCGCTCGAGGAGAACTACAGTTTCATCGCCGGCGCCCTCGAGTTGCTCGCCGAGATCAAGCCTGAGGATCTCAACGGGAGAGAATCCGAAATCATCTCGTTTAACGTGGGTCCGCGGAAAACTAGCGCCAAGGCTATAGATTGGTGAGTGTGCGGTCTTACGTCTATTTCTATTGTGTTTTTTTTATTAGAGATAAATAACTATGCTAACTAACTATACTCGCAGTACGTGAACGGAAAATATTCTTCTTATTTTAATACGACTTTGAAACTAAGGGCTAGCAATGCTAACAACTTCGCAGATGTGACTAGATTTCTAGTGCCGTCGGTCTATTTCCACTTGACCACCCTCTACGACATTCTCAGGCACAAGGGCGTGCCGTTGGGCAAGGCTAACTACTTGGAGCACCTGGTTGCAGATTGGGAGTTCTCGTGATGGTAAATACTAGTAGTCTATACGTATCAGTAGGAGTATAGGAGGACAAAACAAAATGTGGCTTGGACTTGGCATAAAATAGAAGAAAAATAGAATGGAACTTGATAATCATCTCTTCGACGTCTTGTTACTTGCGTCGGAATTTATTATTGGATACTACCTAGTGATACTACCTAGTAAAACATCTCCGCACAGGGCGTACCTAAAACGCTATAAGACGCACCACAGCATCCGCGGCCTCGTCTCGATTGGAATATTCATCTTACCATATATATAGCTCCAAGACGAAACCTACACTAGGAGTCCATAGCGTAGTAAGATGGTTCTGGATAGCCTACCCCCTTGTATATATGTATATAATATCTGGGCGTAGTAGCGATCGTGTTAAAGAGCAGCCTAAATCGTCTGATGTGTTGCTGAATCAAACAAGGCCAGTTAGATGCACGATAAACGATATCATCCTCGTATTTGTAAGTTTCAAAATCGACGTGTTCAGCCACGAGAATCTACCGGAGACACTAATGCGAAACCCGGAGGAGTGTTGATTCCCCTCCGGATAGCTTCTTCAATAATAGAAGCAGTGGCTGACGTACCAATCCGAGTAATGCCCAACGATATAGCTCCCATTACCTCGTCCAGCGTTCGTATCCCGCCGGCGGCCTTGATCTGTACGTTGGGTCCGATGTTGGCCTTCATCAGCCGTAAGCGCGGTACGGTAGCACCTTTGGATGTATATGAGCCGTTGGGCTGTTTCACAAACCCGAAGCCGGTCGACGTCTTTATGAAGGCCACGGGGAGAGCCGTGCAGATCTTGCACAGATGCGCAACGTGGTCGTCCTGGAGGAAGTCGTTCTCGAATATGAGCTTGAGAATGGCGCCGTGCTTCACAACAGTATCGTTAACAGCCCGAATCTCATTAGTCACATATTCCCAGTCGCCACTGAGAACCTTGCCTATATTGGCCACCATGTCAATCTCGTGGGCTCCCGTCTTAACGGCATCTTCAGCTTCGAGGACCTTTATAGCCGTGGTGCTGTTCCCATGAGGAAATCCAACGACAGCGCATATAAGAACTCCCGATCCGTCAAGGACATCCTTCGCCGCGGGAATACTGTAAGGCTTGACGCATGCCGCTGCGACCTTATTCCTTTTGGCTATCTCGAGGCCGGCGAGGATCTCTTTGTCGGTCATGGCTGGATGTAGTAAGGAATGGTCGATGACCTTGGCGATCTGCGCGAGACTCACGGCCACGGCTGTACGCGGTGCCATTTTTTGGGTAGGAGCTGAGCTGGTGAGACTCGAATATGATGCCATCCTCGTGGATGAGCTTCACGAGAGACGAGATTGGACGTCTCGAAGCGATATCTGTTGTAAGTTCACCCTTGTCATAAAGCTACCTACCTACCTTAGATAGATTATCACTTTAAGCAACGGTAGCTACCAGGAGCTTAGATATATTAGGCGATGCCCTAATAACTCTGGGTCTCCGTTACAGGACGCAATATCTGTGGGTGATGCGGGGTTTGTCGTATCACATTGCGATTAGAGTACAGATTTTCCATCATCGCCACCTCATAGTGTGTAGTTTTAACTTAATTTACATCCTGTTCTGCGCGTCTTCTTAGATGCTTGGGCAGACATGGATGCAATATAAGCTAGACTCGAGTTAGCTCCCATGCAGCACGCACTTAAAACGGCAGGGATTCGTTGTCACGATGGTACCTAGATATGCAAGGAACATGAAGATAAGAATCAGGGGTGGTGTGATATGATATGATATGAAAATACCTATAGGCAAGTAAACTCATACGAACCTGGTATTATATATTTGTGTGCGTGTGTAGGTATGTACTAGGTATATATGGACATTTCTAGTAATATAAGCGTATCATCTTAGAGGAAAATTGGTCCCTTGATGCGTGTCCACTCGGAATTTAACCCCATAGTTGCTGCCAGTCAAACCAGTTGGAAGAGGCTCCGAAATCGAGATTTCCTTCAAGGGCGGCATCTACCGCGCCCAAGTCGAAGGTTGGGTCAAAATGACCGAAAACATCAAGATCCGAAACTTCTTCAAGAATCGAAAAGTCAGCACCGTGAGTATTGTAATTGTTAATAGTATCGTCCGCGCTTGGAGGAGGCATTTCTCGGTCTCGTGGCGCCGACTCGCCCTTCTTTGAAGCATCTACTAAACCAGTTTCCTGTGTTATCGATGCAACCGCCCTGTCCATTTCCTGGAGAACCTGTTCAGCCATTGCCACCGTAGTCTTCGCGGTCCAGAAGGTGTCGTCCATTGATTTTAGTAGCGTCGTGTTTACCATAAAAGATTGCTTGCCCCTACTTCTAAACATGGGGATATTGCTATGACGCATTTTCCGATACGACACACTAAGCGACAAGGAGACGCCGTACGGAATTATAGGCAAGTATGATAGCTGCCCTAGAAATTCACGTCCGACGATGGAAGTGATTCGGTCGGCCGCCAAAGATCGACGGCTGTTTGTTGCGGGCGCTGGGAGGGCTGTGGATCGATTTTCAGATGGTGACTGGCTTGAAAGTATGGCAACTGAATGATAGAATATTTCAAGCGAGGCTAAGAGGTAAACATGAGCATAACTTGATTTGGTCGTCAAGACATTTACTTACCTAGACATGAGCTTGAAGCCCGAACCGCTCCGGCATCAATGATCATTTGCTCAAAGATGGGTAGCTCAATAATGAATTCCTTTTCTTTCCGGCTTCCAGGGCGATACAACCCGATAACCTTGTCAAGGAGGCCGATAATCATTAGGAATAGTCGAAAGAGTGGTGCTTGCATTGCAATACAATCGTCCAAGTTCCAACCGATATCTCGTTCGTGAATGAGACAAGCTCGCCCGTAAAATGCGCCATTAAGGCGGTCCAAGGCCCAAAGACAACATAACAAGGACCGAGTAGCCTGGATATTCGAATGGCTTTCTTCCGAGGCCATCTGTAATCCTAGAGTATGCATTTGATGAACCGCACGACCGTTAAGCAATGCTGGGATGTCAGCTTCATCAGAACTGCGAGGCTGCATATATAACGACAAGGCGGCTAATATACGAGTTAGGAAGATACGGTCCGTGATGAGGCCGGCGTCGATAGTCGTTTGGATTGCATCCGATAGTAGAGTGCAGAAGTCATGCCGAGAAAGGACTGGACTCTCGGGGTTCAAACGAAGGTGACGCGAAGCTTCGGGATCGGAAGCAGCCGCAAGACTAACTATTTGCTTTAACACTTTCTCTTTTACCTCGTCATCGGACTGAATTATCGAGTGACCGAGGATAGGGAAGATAGTATCTAGCTTGTCAAAGTAGATACGGCGGAGAACCACGTAGTCTGAAGGCGGAGGACAGCAAGGAAGACAATGGCTCTTTACGTATACTCTAAGCATGTCCTGGACGGCATGTCGCGATGGCGATGTCAAGGAAAGGGGACCGGCCACTTTATCTAAGTCGAGCGCTCGGGGTTGCCATATCCCCAAGCCACCCCTCACTGATACATCGCGAGTTGAGCAAAGACTCGTAGCTTCCATGAGGATTGCTTCGGGGCTCAGGTCGCCAACAAATCTAGAAGCATGTCGCTCTGGACTCTGGGCGTCGTTAGGGCTACGGAGAGGCTCGCATCGTGGAGGAGTAGGGTGGCCAGTTGGATTACGGGCCGTAGTATCCCCTCCCCCGGGTGTTAAATTGGGCGATCCATCTTTAGAGATATCGCTATCGTGACTATGAAAACATCTCTTCTTCCGGCGTCGGCACCTAGCACAGGCCTGGGCGACCTGTTTTCTCTTAAGGGGTAGGCCTGTCGAGTCCGACTCGACGAACCTAACCATGGTTACGAACCGCGGCGAAGCTCCAGAAGCGTCAACTCCGACACCGATCACAAGTGGTATTAATTTCTAAGAGAGGAGAACTCTTAGCATGGCATTCTCAGTATGGCAGGACCGAGAAAGCAAAGGTGAACCAGGATGTCGGCGAATAACCCAAGAAAGTAATGACCGAAAGGACCTTAAGGGATATCGCTAATAACTCATGCAATTTATTCGCATATAAAGGAAGCGCCGTCTGCCCTATGCGTGTAGTAAACCTTACGAAGCTCTTGTGAACAAATCGATCGGTAGGTTTGTATTGTACACGCGTTGTGCTGTAGGTAGACATCGTATGAACGTTAGGAGAGGCGGAGTCGGTTTTACTAAATACGGTAACTCCGTATTTAGATCCAAACGGCCCCGCTCGATAATCTTGGTAATAATGGGAACTCCGACGTTATGTGATTGGATAGTTGACAAGGAGACTTATACAGGCTCTTTTACTCTAAACTTGACGAGCAATTAGAACCGCGGCAATACGTAAAGTAAACACTAACTTACGTCCATATATCCGTATAGGTATTTTGCTTTTAGCTTATAAGGTACCTAGATAGGTACATGGTATAATGTTATAATCGTTCTTAGTGCGTTGACTACACTAGGTTAAACCCTTTCGCCGCGCTGCTGTCGGAATTCAAGGAACCTAAATAGGAAATTCCGGCAACTCTCCTCTCCTCTCCTCTCTTCTCCTAGATAGATGTAGGTAAGATGTTCAAGTAGAATCGATGATTGAGTTACCATATATAACATTACCTAAACAGTATGATAAAACTCATCCTCCTTCGTGACTTTCTATGCCTTGTCTCAATAAGGACTATAAGGCAGATGTTGTCAACTTGCTCCTTATATCTTGCAACTTAAGAAGTTAATCAGACACTTACAAATCTACTCTTTACTATCACCGATATCATGTTGCGCACTATTCCGAGGCGGTTATCAATAAACACTCACCAGATACGATCAGTCATGGGGACAGCGACCCAAACCCAGACTAAAAGGGAGGGTGATATTTCCGACGCCTTTGTCTCATTATCCGGCAGTGCTAGACCACCTCTTCCTCAGCGGTTTCTTCACCTCAAGAAGACTTTAGTTAGCGGTCATGAGGATCGTATAATTGATAGCTGGAATCGACTTCTCGCCGAGCTGAAACGTGAGAATAAGATAATCGCCAGAGAAGGTCCCGGAATTATTCCTAGTCTAGACTTTCAGGACTTAGACGCAGATTTTACTAAACTCCGCGGCGAGCTTGAGAAGAGAGGTGTCGCTGTCATTAGGGGGGTGCTCCCGGAAGACGAAGCTCGATCCTTCAAGGGTGAAATCGAGGAGTATGTGAGACAGAATCCTCAAACAAAAGGTACCACTATAGCAATAGCCAAAGCACGTTCTGTTATCTGACTCTAAACCAGCCTTCCCGCCGCATGATCCTCAAGTATATGAGCTATATTGGTCTGCACCGCAACTCCGCGCTCGGGCGCATCCGAACATGCTAAAAGTCCAAACGGCGCTTATGAAACTGTGGCGCACGTCGAACCCCGAAAGCCCTATTTCTACATCGCAGCCAGTATCATATGCCGACCGTCTTCGTATCAGGCAACCTGGAGATGCAACCTTTGCTTTGGGCCCGCATATTGACGGGGGCAGTGTTGAAAGATGGGAGTTGAACGGGTACGGTCGTGGCGGCGTGTATAATAAGGTATTTGAAGGTTCCTGGGAAGAGTACGATCCGTGGGATGCCAGCACACGGGTGTCTGCCGTTGCTAATAACTATAACGGGCTGGGCGCTTGCTCCATGTTCCGAATGTTTCAAGGCTGGCTAAGTATGAGCACCGCACAGCCGTTCGAAGGGACCCTTATGGTGAATCCAGCAATCAAACTCTCAACAGCATACTTACTGCTTCGACCGTTCTTCCGGCCCATTAAGGATCTCGATCAAGCATCCCCAGAAAAATATCTCGCCGCCGAGAACTGGGAATATGCCGGGGCTGATATGACGAGTGAACTACACGGCGCGACTCCTGGACATGGGCAAGAGTTAGATAATGCTCTCCACCCACACTTGGACCTCGAAAATACTATGGTGCACGTCCCACGTATCAAGCCTGGCGACTACGTGGTATGGCACTGTGATTGTAAGCGAAAAAGTCCATACTCTTCTGCGTTATTAGGTAACAACTAATAGTTTGGTTAGCTATCCACGCCGTTGACAAAGTGCACAAGGGAAATTCGGACTCCAGCGTGTTGTATATACCGGTCTGCCCATTAACCGAGATAAATGCTAGGTATCTCGCACGACAGAAGAACGCTTTCTTGAACGGTACCCCAGGCCCTGATTTTCCAGGCGGGCGAGGCGAAGCCGACCATGTCAATAGACAGACCGAATCGCATCTTCGTTCATATGCCACCGCTGATGGGCTACGAGCTTTCGGGTTTGAGAAACTCCACCCGGCCACAACAAACACCAGCGGAGCAAAGACAATTACTTCGCTGGCGAATGAGATCTTGGGATTCTAAGGGTCTGTTCAGATGATTCGCAACTGAGATTTCTTTTTTCTTTCAATGCCGTTGGACTGTCATGAATATAAGGGGAGTATATATCCCGCGAGCTTCGACCTGGGGGTTGGGTTGTTACAGAGCCTAAGGCCTAAGAAGCAAAGGAAGCTACATGAGCACCTAAGGTTAGGATTTTGAGAAAGTATTCCATATAACTAACCGTTACACATGTATATAAATGTTGATACCAAATCATAGTATATACCTGTACCGGGTATGTTAACAATTGATATTTTATTAGTTAAACGCTACTGTATGAGGATAAACATAACAGCGTGAATTAACATGTAAGTTAGGTATGTAATTTGTACCCAACTAAGGTAGAAACAGAAGGTTTCATTAGGAACCCCGGAATTGGCCGTTCCGGATAATGATATCTATACTCTATACATAACTCGTATCTAGACTAGTAAGAAAATGTACCTAACCTAGAAAAAGCGTGGGGTTTTGAATTAAAGATACATACAATCTTATACCGCGATCGTCGCTGTAGTTTCCCGTTTTTTTTTTCAATGCAGCAAATAAGATTTGGAATTGCCAATCGGGACTTCGTAGCTATTCTTTTCGTGATTGCTCAATTCCTCCAAATATGTCGCACGAGATAAATCGGCGCATAATACTAATACAAGAAGGTTGCAGAGGCTTACACGACTCTATGTATCTACACTAGGTATAGCTCAGCTCGCATAATATATCTATACCTAGTATATCTATACCTAGCTCTATCATGCAGCATGTAGGTATCTACCCAGGGTACTAAGGTAGGACAGACTATCTTTATGTGACCACCCTTATCCTTCAGCGACATTTTGGAAAGATAAAGTAGATATGAGTCGCATCGGCCGGAAACTTCAACTTTAATTCTTCTCTTATGGTTTAGATCCATCCGTATGGTAAACCGATCATAATGGCTACTAACCCCCCAGCAAATCTTGCCCTTGACGGTGGCGACCCTCGAAAGTCGTCCTTCCAGGTAGGAGACGGTATAAGCGGCATTGCAAGTATAGAATACACCAAAAATCGAGAAGTCAGCTTCGAAGAATATATGTACCATGCCGCAATCACGCGGGCCCAGGAAAAAGAAGCCAATGCCAGATATATAGCCGCTCGTGGTCCGCAGACATTCAAAAGCGTGATCAAGGGTAGATTCTCCAAAGGCCACATGGAACAAGACGCATACGCCGAAGTTGTTGGATCGATTTCCAGAGAGACTGACGAGAAAGGCCACGGCAATGATGCTGCGCTCCAAGTTACCGGAAACAGTAGCACCGAAAGTTACGGGGTCACGGAGGCCCAGCGTAAGACTGCTAATCGGGCATTAAGGACGGCAAGTTGGGGTACCGTCTTCTATCTTATCACGACCGACATACTGGGACCAACGGGAGCCCCGTGAGTTACTACGTATTGCATGATGGGAATCGAAGCTGAGTTTCTCCCAGCTGGGCGTTTGCGCAACTGGGCTACGGCCCGGGTGTTGCGCTGTATACTGTATTCGGCGCCATGTCGTATTAGTGAGTTAAACCCATACTAAAACCCGCCACGTTCCACCGTGTCTGATATTTCGGTACCTCAGCTCTGGTTGGATCCTCTGGAAGGTCTTCTGCGGGCTAGACTCTGACAGATATCCTATCAGAGGATACGGCGACTTCTTCTTTCGCATGTTCGGGTCCTGGGCCCGTCACTTCGTCAACCTCGCACAGGCGCTTCAACTACTGCTAACCGTCTCGGTTATCATTCTGAGCAATGGACAGAGTATCTCGCAAATTAGCCGTGGCTCATCTGGAGAGAGTCTGGGTATTTGCTTTGTAGCATGTATGATTATATTTATGGCCGCTGGCTTCATTTTAGGTCAGATCAGAACTCTCCAACGGCTCGGTTGGCTTGCGAACCTTTCCGTCTGGCTAACGGTCACACTTGTATTACTATGGTAAGAAACACTTGAAACTAATATGACCTTGCCCTTACTCACCAGACTGAAAGTATGGTATCCGTGATATACGGTCCGAACTATGCCGCAGTGGAAGCGAGCTTCGGCTTGTCGCCGGGCATGCCGATTCGAACGTATGCCGGGACGCCGCCTCCCGGAATGGCTACAGGCGGCGTAGGATTCGTCGGTTCTTTGAACGGTTTAAATGTAGCCGTGTATGCATACGGGGGAGCGTTGCTATTTGCAGCTCTCCTGGCTGAGATGAGGTATCTCCCTTCTTTGAATCGGGCAATAGCTTATAATTATGATAGTTATGCTAACACCGGCTAGACACCCCTTGGATTTCTGGAAGAGTCTAATCGTCGCTGAGATATTCATCTACGGGATGTATCTCTTCTTTGGCATCTTCATGTATTCGTACCAAGGCCAGTATACATACAACCCATCAGTCCAAGGTATTGCGGCGTACGGCATGCAGACGGCAGGAAATATATTGAGCCTGGTTAGCAATCTTATCGCGGCCGTGCTATACAGCAACATCGGTCTCAAGGTCGTCTACATAGAAGTGTTCCATAATCTCCTAGGATTTCCGGAATTGACAACTAGGGCGGGTAAGCTATGGTGGGCCGCACTAATTCCGTTATACTGGGCGATTGCATTTGTCATAGCAGCGGCTGTACCGCAGTTTTCGTACATCGTCGGTCTGGTCGGCGCGCTCTTCATCCTATCTTTCACTTACACCTTCCCAGCCTGGCTAGCCGTCGGTTATTGGATTAAAAAGGACGCAATGATCGAGGGTGAGGAACGATTCGACCCAGCGGCTGGTACGTACAACTACGTGGATCACGGGTGGAAGCGATGGAGACGAGGATTTATGAGAAAACCGTTCTTCAACGCATTCAACATATTTTACTTCCTCGGCGCGTTGGTAACATGTGCACTGGGCTGCTATAGTAGCATTGAGAGTCTGCGCCAGGCATTCCAGAGCAACATTGCTACCAGTTTATCATGTACACCTCCGCTTTAAAAGCACACGCGAGGAGGAGCTGCTGGTATTCCGAAGTTAATGTTGGGGGACAAGGGATGCGTCATGATAAAGCGATTTCGATGATAACTGCCTGCTGTGTATCATAACTTCATATCTTCTTTAAATGTATTCTGAGTTCAATATATTACGTAACTCCTGATTACATTCATGAAATATCAACCATCCTTTCTCGTGAGTTAGGCGTTTGAGAGTTGGCTTCACCGGTAGCTAGGCTGAAGTGACTTGCTAGGTTTGATATCTCCTACTATACTACCGGAGTATGCATGGCAAAAAACTCTGCCTGAAGGCAGTCCTATACCACAGTATCGGCAAATAGTAAGGTACCTATAGAACCCCCTAGAGTCATACTGTCGAGTTAGATATGCCGCGAAGTGACTTTAGTAATTGTACCAGACTCCAGCAGGCTACACACAGGCGATTTCTGTGGCGACATAGTACCTTTATGTTAGTTACTGAATGCCCTTGTAATGTGACGATTCTGGCAACTGAAACGAGCCACATGTCCTCCTAAACTGAGTAGCCGGCGCTACTCCCTGGATTCTGGTCGACTGGCATATTTTCACCGCCTCGTTCTGCATGACGTAGTTCTTTCATGACCATCGATGTAATCATTGCCTTTCTCATTGTTGTTCACTTCTTAGGGCGGCGAATTGTCGTACCGCGAACTTGATTACGGAGTTCGTCGGTGAAGTGGGACATAAATCCGCTTAACCTGGGGTTCGTAGGCTGCCCTACTCGTACATATCATATCAGATCTCGTAATCTCGCTATTGAGCTACAATGACACTTACGAGTAGCTTCTCCTTCTCGTAAGGGCTCACTCGGGTCTCGTCCGTGTTTATAATCCTCTACGGTTTTGTGGATGCGTCGAACGCCTCGCTGGAAGGTCGGTGACCGCAGAAGCTAGGAAACGAGGTATGTTAGGATGCTAGGTGCCTAACCTAACTAATTCTATTTTTATATGGACTGGCTAGAGTATAGGTACCTTTCCGACAATATAGTCCTATAGACAGATATCAGTGATATTCATTAGTGTCACGGAACATATTGACTTGCCTCCATGACGAACAGCCAAGACGCCCACCCCATTGTTGAAATTTACTAAGGAGAAGCTTTATAAGATGGAAATATTAATCTAGAGACCACCTAGGGTAGGGTAGGCATTAGATAGATGATGGGTAATGTGGGAATAGTACCGTAATTATAGTAGCTTTCGTCCTTGCTAATAATAGGTAATAATCGGAAAGTCGAGGTAGCACCTAATTTTATTAATAATAAAGAGATCCAGTACGAAGTACCTAACTAACCTAGAATGTTAGATCGCGCGGATCTTGAGAAACCACCGACATTTAACCCCACTTGCTAATTAAGGTAATCCATAAGTCCGTAATCCATGGCCAACGAATTGTTACCTTATACTAATATATCGTAGTTAGATAATTTATAGATTAGTATCTATCCGTAAATATTTCCGAATCGATGGTTTATCTTACCTATCCTCTGGCACTTGGTAACCAATAAGATAAATAGTCCAGAAAGACTAGAACTTTGGGTAGAAGGTACTTCAGGCAATTATCTAAATATTATAACTAAGAATCTCTCATCTTACATGTTAGTTAATACTAAGCAGGTTAAAGATGTGAGTAAAGGGAATCAAACAATAAAGTTGGTAGTTTCTACTGCTATGTATGTGCACTGCATATCATCTGATATATTTCTAAGGGATCCATTAGTCTAATTAGTTAATATATATGCACACTGACCTTTTACTATTCAAACTTCACAATTTATTATTATCGGCCTGTAACTTTAATATTTGTATCAAGCTCGAGCTTTCTTTAATGGTACCTAGCAAACTCCTTGGCGTGTATAAGTGAAGTGGACATGCATGCAGTACCAAGCTAATGTAAATGCGGAACATCTAAAACGTGGATTAGCCACATGTGGGAGTACTTACGTCCTCAGGGGATAATTGGGCAATTGAAATGTACACCGGATACCTGTGGATCCTCCCGCTGGTGTCCTAGCAACGTATGTAGGACAGGGGACATTTAAGCGCTAAGATAACGGTCTAGCCGACGTACCATAACAAGAGAGGACCGAGCGGTGACTTCTGAGCGTCAGTGTAACTTGCAAGTATGTAAGAAGGGGGAAAGGACAAAAGAAGAAGAAGAAAAAAAAAGCTATGAAATTGGAACTTCCAAATTGAAAAGCCATATTGTGATTTTTACTTTTATGTCCTACTTCTTTTAAATTTATTTGATACTTTAAGATCCTTCTTTGTTGAAAGTAGAAGTAGAGGAAAGAAACAAGCAGTAACGACGGCAATGGCATCCCTCTAGTTTTTTAGGTTTATGTACTTATCGATATCAGAAGATTTCGGTCTTGCAGTTTATTCTGAACCTGTCATCTTTTGGTTAAACGCTTTCGCATCTCCTTAACTCAAAATCTACCTCATACGTACATATGTCTATACTGTCAACACCACCCATATGACATTGTTCCGAGCCGCCAGCGTGTTATCCTTACACTATATGCTGACGGCATTGGCTAACCATAATTACAATATTACATATCCCCATTTTACCTACTCCTAGGTCGATGGTAACGCTATCGGGTTTGGACTTGGATGTGCCCGCCCTGAGACCGAATCCCAGCCCCCAGCCGAGTCTCCAGCTGCTGAAACCAAGTCGCCGAAACCATGGCTGAAGACTATAGTCGCATTGACCCGACCTCTGTCGACGCGACCAACGACGTGACCGGAGCACTTCCCGAGCTTAACCCTCAGGATCCCGCTACCGCTTCCGTAGACATTTCTACAGACACTCCCTTGTCTAAGAAGGAAAATCTCCCGCCCGTACTCCTTCGCACGCCACCAGATGATAGTAGCTTTGTCGATACCACACGGCTTGACCACGATGATAAGCACCTCGATTCGGTCACCGAGGAGCAGCAAGTCAGAGCTCATCTAGAAGATGTCGAATCTAGTTTTTTACCTCCTTTTTCGCCCAGTCGACTTGGTAGTCCTGAGAAAGGTATCGACGACACATACCTATTCGATGCTACGAAGAAGAATCCTCCGGCATCCGCGCCTTTCTTATCGCCTTCTTTTACTCCTGCCCCCGCATCCAATACAATACCCCAACCATCTCAACCGTCCGATTTGCACGACCAGCCCGATTCGCATCCTGATATACTCACCGACTCGACCCCCGCTAAGACCGACCATGACATAACAAGCCAGACACCAGATCACAGCCCCCTTCCCTTACGCGACCACGATGATTCTAACGCCGTCGAAATTGGCAATACTACCTCTGCGCTGGAGAACCTATCCTCACCGACGACTGCTGCCACGGCTCGTAGCGTATCAAGAGCTATATCCGTAGCTAGCAGACGTACCAATGAGGAGATGCCGAGCGGAAATGATGATCGCGATACTCTATCACACAGTAATTTGGTACTTGGCGTGCCGAGAGAGAGTTCGCTCTCCAGATCTTCGAGTCTCCACCAGCAAACCTCTAATCAGGACTTGAGTAAACTACCGGGCGACAATGGCAGCACACCGTCGATTTCTCTTCCGGTTGGCACGCGTCCCAGGTTCCTTCGCAGTAGGAACGGTAGTCAGCGTTCTTCAACTTCGTCCTTCCTCAGTAATGAAGATATCGAAAGCGATGCTACGGTCGGATTAGGTGCTGACTATGCCCTCCAGTCAGGAGGTGCTTTGCCTGCCTTTGGCTTAACGCGGAGCGCTAGCAATACTTTATCTCGCTCCGTAAGTATCGGTAGTATGGCGTCCGGGTTTGACGAGTCGCCGGACCCCACTCGACCGGATGCTCTAGAGCCTCTGGAAGAAGTTGAGAGTCCTATGCCTGACCGTCGTATCGACCTGCTTGCAACTCCGAAGCCGAGGAAGGGTCCTCTAATGGCACCTACTGATACGGTCATTGCTAGACACGTCCGCAACGTGGAGGTACCCGAATCTCTGGCCAAGGAGTATAAGACGAAAGGTGGCCTGGCAACACCGATACAACAACCCTATAGGAAGGTTTCGAGTCTGTCTAGCTATACGCCCGCAAATATTAGCACCACCACCACCACTACCACCAATACTCGTGGCGGCAAAAATCTTACTCTTAAAGAACAGTCTAGCACGATTGAGCGCCTGTCTAAGGAAAACTTTGATCTTAAACTCAAGGTCATGTTCCTTTCTGATCGTCTTGACAAACTCTCCGAAGAAGGTATTAAGGAAATGATCTCAGAGAATGTTGAGCTTAAGACGTCATTAGCTGTTATTCAGCGAGACAATAAGATCCTTAGGCGGCGTGTAAAAGAGTTAGAAAAGCGTCTTCGCGACGAAGAGGATCGACCAAGCACTGCGAGGAGCGGATATTCCTCGGACGGGCCAACGACACCGGCTTTCGATCCTGATGCACAAGAACGGGAAGAGGAGCTATTATATCTGAGGGAGCGCGTCGAGGAATATGTAACCGAGATAGAGAGGCTCAGAAACGAGAACATGGCTAGCCAGGCCGAAAAAAGGAAACTAGCCGAAACGGTTAAGTCTATGGGAGACCGCGCCGGTGAGCGCGTCGGCGAAAGTCTAGGCCGCCAGGAGGAAGCTGACGTATACAAAGATCTCCTCGAGCAAGAAACGGCTCGTCGCGAGCAGGCGGATGATGATAACCGGAGACTGCGAGATGAGTTGTTCCGGATAAAACAGGAGATTAATGGAACGGCTGCCCCAGGCGGTATGCACCACACAACAAATATATATAATATCACGCGGAAGGCCAAGCCAACATCACCGTCAAGATCGCGTCCCGTCTCTGGCCTGTCCGGGGAGATAGATCCTACCACCGCGTCTAGCCAGTCCGCAACCCTGGTCGATGAACTCCGCAGAGAAAGTGAACAGCTACGTCACGAGAACGCTGAGCTGCGGAGAGAAGTCGGCGCGCAGACTTCCATGTTGACATCCCGTAACCGTGAGAAGGAGAGGCTTTACCAGGAGATTGAAGACCTCAAACTAGCTCAACGTCGCGGAGGTCCAGCGACTTCAACTATCGATAGCCTTCTTGACCGATCGGCGTCGCGTGTGGGTGGGCATGAACGCTCGGCTTCCCGGGGGAGTGGCCGTACGAGGCTCACTATGACGGTAGAAGAGGACCCCGACCGCGAAGAATTAGAAAATAAGCTTGCCGAACACCGCGACAGGATTAACGAGCTCAAGTTTGAAAAGCAAGAGCTCCAACGCGAATTACAGACGTGTATGCAGGAGTTGGATAATGTCAGCGAGTCTAAGAGACAGCTTGAAGATCACAACGGGGCTCTGGAAGAGGAGCTCCAAAATACGACGAATGATCTGTTACAGATACAAGGGGAGCGGGATGAGGTTTTACAGGAACATTCTGATCTCCAGGCCGAATTCGACAACCTACGGAAAGAGGCCCAAGAGGAAATTGATTCCTTGGAGGCCGAGAGTGACCAGAAGACCGAAGAAATCCAACGGTTGCAGATTGAGCTGCAAGACCGATCAGAGAATTTCGACGCCCTTCAGGAGGAGATGCGCCAGATGAGCGAGGCGTTGATAAGACTAGAGGATGAACAGGAGAAGAAACTAAGAAGAATAGAACAGCTGGAGCAGGAACTTGCCGAGTCTAACAAGGAATCCGAAGATCTCGAGGTTAAACTTCTCGAGTCGAACGATAAGGCGCAGCGTCTCGGGGTTCAGCAGGAATCTAGCCAGGGCGAGATCGCATTTTTACGCGAGGAGCAAGAAGCGGATAAGATTCGAATAGGCGATCTCGAAGCAGCGCTCGCTAATGCCGAGCAGGGTCTTAGAGAGGAGCGCGATCGGACTAAGGAGTTGGAGCAGCGGCTGGCCAACGAGCGGCAGCAGCGCGAGATCGTAGCGGGACGCGAGAAAGAAGAGGTTCAGCAATTCGTTAACGAGCTTAATCGCGAAGTTTCAACCGCTAAAGACGAGGCTAGGAGGCTCCGTAAGAGCTTGACAAGTAGGGAGGTTGAGGCTACAGAATGGAAAGAGAGGCTTATGGAGCTAGAGAACAATCTCCGGGAGGCTTTGGGCGACCTGAATGGAACCAGGTCTAGCCTTCTGAAGGTAAGTCGTATTCACGAGATGCGGTGTAGGTTTCTGGAATATCTAGCTAATCATTTAATAGTCCATCGCCAAGCTCCAAAGAGAGCTCGAAAACACGGTCCGGGAGCTTGACGCTGCGAAGAATTCTATGCTGGAAAAGGATCGCATAATTAAGCAGCGTGATGCCCTTCTCGAGTCTCACGGACTCGAATCCCGGAGGCTAGGCGAGATGCTCGATAAGGAGCGGCAAGCTCACCGCAATACAAAAAATCAATTCGAAACATTTCAGCGCACGCACCAGCACGTATCACGGACCGTCACCAGCCAGGATTCACGTATCTTAGAGCTCGAGACCAACCGTGCAGCAGACAAGAAGAAGATAGCGCAGCTCGAAGTTTCGTTTAAGGAACAGTTAAACGAGCGTAATAATCTACTGCTGGTCTTGTGGACGCGCCTTTCAGCGCTCTGTGGTACCGATTGGGCCCATAATAATAGCCTCATCAACGGACGCGCCTTACCCTCACTAGAGTCTATATCTACGATGCTCCATGGCTTTGCTAAGAACCTAATGAGCGCCGTTAAGACCATCGAGGGCATAGTAGGCAATTTCCAATCTCGCATAAAATCGGTCGAGCGTGAGCTATGGAAAGAATACCAGTCTCTTGAAAGCAACCTCGACGCTAAGTCTAAGAAACTTGAACGTCTCGAGACCATCGTTCGCACCGGAATTGCAGCCGGCCACTTCGATGCGCATGCTAAAATATCTCAGCTAGAGACTGCATACCGGGCCCTCAAAATCGAGAACGCTACTTTACAGCGTGCTAACGACGCGCGCACTCGCGGAGCCGGTTGGACGGGGCCTAAGAAGACCAGTAGCAAGAGCTCGCGCGAGGACCTGATTGATAGAGGTAGCCCTTCACCGACTGTTCCGACTGGGCCGCATCACCGAGAATCAAAACTCCCGCGCAGCAAGACAACTCACTTAGAAACGCCCAGCTCGAGCACTAAGAGCGGACCGGGCAGCATGTCTCGGAGCGCCTCTACTATGGGTGCGTCCGATATAGAGCGGCTAGGTACTTCTAACGGCGATAGCTCTTCTGGAAAGAACGGCGACGACAACCGGTGGATGTTCAGGCTGCGGGAGCTTGAGTATAAGCTCAAGATGGAAAGAGAAGCCAGACATATGGACCGAGCGTCGGCCAGACAGAGAATACAGGATAGCGAGCGACAGAATAATGAGCTTGCTGCCGAATTAGTACGAGCGAAGAGGAGAGGTAACGGAGAGTAGAACACGCATGCCAGAAACCGAGAATACCCAATATTACGTAGGCCAGTGTTCTGGCTAATACATATCGCGAGAGGGAGCAATTCTTCTTCCTCGGGGAAACGTGAAGAATTATCAAGATGGTGGAGGAAGTTGAACGTACGATACGAATTACTAGTACCTTGTATCAATATTGACGTATGGGCGCCTGGCGTTCCTAGGAGTACGTTTAGTGGACATACGCATTTAAGGCGTTCTTTTGTCTGGTGGTTATACAAAAAGCACATTTACTTTGTTATGGAACTTCGAAGGAGATGGGTGGACCGGGTAAAGTCCATAGTCGCCTGTTCATTAGGACGGTTTGGAGAGGATTAGTGATATACTGCAGTTCTACGCTGCCAATTCATGCAAATGGTAGCCCTTATCTTTTTTTTGCTCGTCTTCTATTGCTTTATGTAGGTGTACTTTGATGTGATCAAATGTTTTCTCGTAAGGACTAATTGTCATTTACAGCTAAGACCATCGAATAGAGGGTAGGTGACGTAAAGCTATACAATTATTAATACAAACTAAAAGGACAGACATTTGCTGAAACATAGGTTTGTGATTAGACTTTATGACATCTTTAAACAATATACTAATGCCATTATACTAGTTCGATACGATTTAGATTACCTATAAAGTAAATCTTAAATAGTTTTTTTTTTTTTTTTCAAAAACTCTCCGATATACGTAAAGCTGCTTTATACAGGCAGTTTGATTTTTTTTGAGAACAGTAAAATAGTTGATTTCCACAAACCCATGTAAGGCAACCAGATTACCCCAACTCAGCGTATGTAGGTGGTTGAAGATGGGTCGCGAACTACAAGCTGCTGCGCCTTGGTACTACTCTGCTGCCTTGATACAAGGGAGGCCTCTTCATCAGCTAGAAACCCCCATTCGAGTATGGATAGGTAGGTACCTAATCCGAATGACTCGCATTTAGCATTACTCCCCGAGGTACAGTGGAATTAGGAACGTTGAATTAATACGACACGAGGTATCTTTTTATTCTTGTTTACTCGTATAGGGGCTATACGATCTTAGTAACCAACTTCATTCATTCATTCCTACTCTGCTTTTCTCCTTTTAGCCATCTTACTACATAGGTAGTCGCGGCGGCGCTCTCGCCCGCAGCCCGGCATGGGTGCTAATCAGAAACCTACGCCTGGGGCCGCATCCACACCCGGAGCTATGAGACATTCCGGGTGGATTGGGCAGACGGCTTCATATGCAAATGGGATTTCCCAATGTGGCAATATCGAGCCGACTGTGTTTGGAGGTTATGATAACGATTTTCATTTGGAAGACCCGGAGTTTTTCTACGCCATTAAGCGACGGGATCCGTCGTGGGCAGAGGGCAGTAGCGGAGCGATACCTCTGGGAACAGGGACTCTATACGGCGCTGGTGGCAAGTTTACCGAGACTGAAGTTGTTGATTTTTCGCAGAGAGGGCTATCGCAATGTGTCCCAGACACTGCCAGTACCCTGACATATTCACCCCCTTCTTCGTATCAAGGATCGGTATTGTCCTCCATCCAGACAGACTTCATATCCGACATCTTTTCCACAGGAACGCCAAAGTCGCGCGATCCTAGCCCTCTACAGGTTAGGGATAAGATATCTGCTGATATAGATGGTTATCACGTCTGTTCTAGGGATCCGTGCAGAGCCAAATTCATCAGCAAAAGAGACCTTGATATCCACTCCAGCGTTGGGCATAGACACATTTGCCTTTGGGGCAATAAGGGACCATGCTCCAGTGCAGGATTCGCGACGACAGAAGAGCTTAATTGGCATGTGAAGCGCGAACACTTACTACTATGTCCAGTCCCAGGATGTGCAGAAGACACTTTCGTTTCCAAAGATGTCCTCGATTGTCACCTAAAATATGCCCACGGCAATGCGACGGTGGTCCAGAACGCCCAATTTAAGCCCGTCAACCTTCTCGAAACCGTGCCAGCACTGTCGGAATCAGCAGTGAGTAGCCAAACTCAAACTTCGATTAACAACCCCAACGCCATAGAAGAGAAGACAATCGGGTTGAACACGTCTCTCGATGTTTCGAAGAAGCACTGCAGAGACCGGTTGGAAGCTGTACTCGAGAAGAGGATGAAGAAAGCTAACGGTGAGTTACGGATATTGTAAGCTTGGTAAAAGCGGTCGCTAATAGCATTAGGCGGCACACCAAAAACTGGTGAAGATTATAAATATCACATTTCCAAGTTACTAGAATCAGCTAGTTTCCCCATTATTTGGGAACACGGCGTCCTCCCATTTCTCGTCGAATTCATCCCAAAATGGTGTGGCCATGGTCATGTCATTTCCGTTATGCGTGGGAGGAAGCCCAATTCGAGACGAATCTGTATCATGACGAAGAAAAACGTCTCCAGAGCTCGGAGGCTAGTCATTGCAAGCCACGTACGAGACCTGCTTCCAAAGAATCACCATAACTTAGTCACGTTCATATTCTCTGTCGGCGAAGTAAACCGCATATGGTCGCGAGGTTTAGGTAAGGATATGCCGGATGAGATTTGCCTCCCGCGTAATCCTTTCTACTATACGAACCCGTGCATAGGTGATAGTATTGGGGCGATATCAGAGGATGGCGATGAGATCACAGCAACGTTAGGACCCTGTCTGGCAGTTGGCGGCGGTAATTTTTGGTTGGTTAATTTTCACCCGTTTATCGACGTGAGCAAAGGAACCCAGCCAGTATCTATCGAGCACCCGTCTCCGGCGGACCGTACAAGGTGCTTAGATGAGAGGCATGAAGTCTTGAATGACAACAACCTCAACTTCTTCATTGGAAATTTGACGGCAACTTCTGGGTTCGACTTGAAAACTACTCGGGTTTCCCATGATCCGTATTGGGAAGAATGTGATAAGGAGCCGCCATTGATCGTTACAGATTGGGCATTGGTTTCTACGAAGTGTCAGCAGGCCAACATGCTGCGAAAATTCCCTGCCACCAACCAAAAGCAGGAGACTCCAGTAACTTCGATGAGCTCGGTTGTGCCTGGCGCAACAGTATGCTCTACAGGACGTACCTCGGGTTTTCAACGAGGTCAGGTTTGTGAGATACCTGCATATGTCGATGGTTTAGGAAACGGTACAGGAAAAGCATCTCGGGAGTGGTACGTAGAGGAGCCTTACCCCTATAACGACGAAGAAGCTTGGATTTGCGGTGGTATAGGGGTTGAAGGCGATAGCGGTGCTGCCATCATCGATTCTGGGACCAACGCTATGATCGGCCAACTTTGGGGGCGGAACAAATACTACGGCCCTGGGCCGAGGCACACTTTCTTTACGCCCGTATATGACATTTTAGACGATATTCGAGAGAAGTGTGGCGAGGAGCGACAGCCCCAGCTGCCATCGTACCGCGACGAGGCAGAATGTTGGCCTGTCTATCCGGTCTGTAAACAATGTTTTAAACTTCGCGAATATCTAGAAAGTCGGCGTAGCTCTCGAGAGTCATTGGTGTCTATGATCGGGGTGCACGATGGAAGAGCCGGGGATACTGACAACGAAGTCACATCCGTATCAGAGTTGGCAACACCAAGAGATGCCTCAAACTTACTTCGTCACGTAGGACCTGAAGTAACAAGCCCATCATTTAGTGGCATGGTATCTCCAGCGCCGATCCATGCTTTCTATCCAAATTCACAAGCCCTCTCCCCGGGTAATCCCGAGTTGAGAAGTCCCTATGCGCACGCTCTAAAAGATGATGACCTCTACGAAAGATGTCCGGAAACCAATGAGACCGCAACGGGTATATTGCCGACACCAACAGCACGTACTAATAGCCGACCACCAACCAAGAGGCGAAAAGTAATGCCTGCCAGTACCAACCTGCCTGTCAGCACCAACCCCTTTTTACCATCTAGGTAGATATCTCTGAATAGTGTCAACTGGCTATCCTGCCAAGCCCCCACGTGCCATCTTTCTTGCGCGCTGGTCTCGACGGTTATGATTGGCCCTGGACCCCTTGCTCGCTTCCTTACGCCTCCTAGCGCTTTCGGTATCTTTATCACCAGATGGTCCGGCAACATTTCCTCCACGACCACCGCCTCTACCTCGTCCTCGACCACCACGGCCGCGGCCACGATTACCAGATCCGCCTCGGGGATTATTGGTATTGTTTCCTCCACCGTCAATCTCTGAGTCTTCTGCTGCCGATTCTGCTGGGCTCGCACGCCAAGCAGTTGGGGCTAAAGCAGGCTGGTCGCCGCTAAACGCGCTATATTTCATCTCCAACTGTCTCATCTGATGCGGCGTTCTCGTTAGCATCAAGGCCCAACCCTCGATGGCCTCGTCAGTCATTCCCGTCTGCTGTTTTAGTTTTGATCTGCTTTGGCCTCGTCTCGTAGCTGCGTCTCTATCGAATACCTTTGAATCTGACTGGTAAGCTCTGAAAAGAGCTTCCTCACTTGCGTCCTTTCGTTTTTGATCATCTGCGTCTTCTGGATTTCCGTCGTTTGCTACCAACCCAGCGTCTGCAACATCGTATGTGTCGTCACGTTCGTCATCATCTGCGTCAAATGCAGAAAGTGCAGAGAGGATAGCAGCCTTGTTAGGGGCGGATGATTTATCATTCAAAATATCATCTGCTGATTTCTCTGGATTTCGTTTTCCGAAATGAATATTAGACATGTCCACTGCCAGCTTGTCAAATTCGTCACCATCAAATACATTGTGGCGCCTAGAAGGTGAGAGCGGCGGTGTCGGTCGAGGTGCAATATCGCGACTTTTCCTCCTACTTCTTTCTTGAGATCTATAGATAAATTAGCATATACGATAAAGATGGCATATTCCACGTAGACGAACAGCTCCTCCGTGCGGTCTGCAGCGGCTAAGTGAGCCGGTAGGGAATCTTCAAGTAGGTGCGCGATAACTTGTTCGGTATTGTCTTCGTATTCATCTAGCAGCCTCGAAACAAAGCCAGAACCTAGATTTGGGAATAGATCTTGTATTTGGGATATCTGGCTCATGCGATGTATTTTCATTTCTCCCAGGACATCATCGTCCTCGGTCATAATTCCCTTTCCTTTGTCGATCTTCCGTTTAACTATTTTCTTCGGTCTAGCATTACCACCGGGTTTTCGAAAGCCTTCCAGCGCAACAATAATTGACTTCCATCGTGTTGCGCCCGAGCCAGACTCCTCAAAACGGTGCTGAAACTGCTTGAGGATGGGTGTAACTGTAACCAATTCAGCCACCATAGAGTCGTTCACGTTCAACGGCCCTGCTTTATGGCTGTCGGCAGCGGCTTTAAGGGAGTAAAGCTGGTCAGTCAGCATGGAAAAATTAGGAGGATTACCCTCAGTCAACCCAATTAGACATAAATAAGCTGTTGTCACAATCGCTTTTCTCAAAGGGGGGTTCATGATTTTGTAGCAACTAATGAGCCCATCGAGAAAATCACTCCCGGCCAAGAAGAATGCAGCTATTTCGGGAGATGTGTGGATGAGGTGATTAAGTCTCTTCAACCGAGACTCTAAGGTTCTGAGGTCACCCTTGAGGCCCGAATCAAGATCTACGATCAATGATTTCTTGAGGACGGTCAACGAGTTTATCACTTGTGGCTTCTGGGAGATCTGGCTGATCAGAGTGGATGCTCTCTTTTTTGAAAATAGGCGGCTAAAGTCGGAAAGGAATTCCCACTGAAGCAGCGGAGGAGGAGGGGAAGGCATTCGCAGTAGTCTAGCAACTAGAAGGAAAGATTGGCGGAATAGAAGCTTTGCGAATTGTGAGGTGCCGAGTACGGTAGCACCGTTTGCTGAGGCTTCTGCCACAAAAGAGACAAGAAACGATAGTAATGTTCCATCACCGGCGGACAAACTAGTAAACTGGCCCTCTGGCAAAGAAAGGTGAGCCTCTACCAGCGCGAGCCAGTTGGCTAGGCAAGTTTCCCACTCTTCGGGTACGATGTGATTCCTCCATGGCGCTTCCGGGAAAGGCGCAAATTGAGGGAGAGTCGCCATAACATGCGAAGTGAACAAAGCGTTTCCACTGGAGTCTTTAGGAGAACATATTATAATGTGTAACTTTTAACGCTTCTTGAACCTATTCAAGGTATTAAATAATAGTATTCTGTACTAAATTGGTCGTTTGTTAGGTCCACATTAAGGATGTTCACCGGATGACTCTTTCCAGATGTTGGCCTTCAGATGAGATCAACCATACCTATGTACATAAGGTAAGGTATTAGTAAAATAATAAACGTATAACGTATTAAGTACCGAAGTACCTTACTTAGACACAAGACCCTTGGGTACTGCTACATCATGTAAGCAGCTGTATGCACGTCCACTACCAGTGATTCCAGTCTTATCCTTATCGACCTGAAAGTATAAGGTTAGACCCACTCTAGCCCTTATCCGAACCCACATTGGGGAATTCAAGCCCATTATCATTTCGTAAAAAATATCGCGAACTTTTATTTATTTTATTTAAAAATTCCCCTCTACAAACCAACACCACCAAAGGTCGCCTTCATCACTTTGCCGAAACGTCATACCGTTCGAGTCGTGAGGGTAAATTCCTAGCGTCGCCAACCGCAGCAAATACACCTTTCTTTCTTTTAACGAAGAAAAAGATAATAAATACCCAACGCCAAAATGTCGTACAACAAGCCCGAGAAGGACTACGCCGGCGAGCAGGCCAAGACTCACAAGATCCGCATCACCCTCAGCTCCCGCAAGGTCGCCGCCCTCGAGAAGGTATGCAGCGAGCTCATCGAGCGCGCCAAGAGCAAGGACCTCCGCGTCAAGGGCCCCGTCCGTCTTCCCACCAAGACCCTCAAGGTTACCACCCGAAAGACTCCCTGTGGTGAGGGTTCCAAGACCTGGGACTGCTACGAGCTGCGCATCCACAAGCGCCTGATTGAGTACGTCTCTTGCCTCCTTGCCTCCGCCGTAATATTTCCGCTTTTATCGTGCCTTGGCAAGAAATAATAATACTAACTGGTCTGATAGTCTGAACGCTCCCACCGAGACCGTCAAGCAGATCATCGTCAACATCGAGGCCGGTGTCGAAGTCGAAGTCACCATCGCTGCTTAAAGCAGGATGCGGAGATGACAAAAGGCGAAACGGCGGATGGGTATTGGAAGGATTATCTAGACTCAAAGATACCCGTGTTATTTCAGCTGCGTTCTAGAGATCGCCTGCAACTACACATGCCTGCGGGGACTACTCTGCAGCATAATCCAAGCCTAAGCCAATTTACGAGACCAATATTCTAACTGATCGCTTCCTGTCATCTGTGAATAATTTTGTTATTCGTGATCCATTTCAATGTAACTCCAGGGTATCTAATTACCACCTCTCAAGAACGCAAACCTTGTAGCCTATTCCTGTCAGACAAGTCGATAAATGCCACTCCTTTATAGATAATGCACGCCAGTCACCCTCGAATGCTTTAAAAACAGCCTTACTCTCAAAAGTTCCAGACGCAATCTTCCCTCAGAGGCGGTACTTCAGGCATATCTCCTTCAAACTTGCCAGTAGCCATCATAGTAGCATACGCTGCCTTGACGCTCGCGGTGTACATCGTGAGGTCGGGCTCTGTGTCCTTGTTATAGCCAGGCGGGCCGGTAGGGAAGAAGATTTTACGCCACGACCCATCCGCGTTCCGTACGCCTGGTGCCGGATAATACGTGCCACCGTCCTGGGGCATCTCGTCTTGGTATTTGTCATCCACCTTCCACTTATATATTACCGGCTGCCCGTTGAACGACACGATACGCCCGTTCGCAGCCTTGGATATATAGCTCTCAGGGAGTGGGTGCTGTCTGGTACTACCTGGTGCATATGGGCCTGTCGATGCTGCAGTAGCCTGTCCCTGCGTTTGTGGTTGTATTTGCGGCTGGAGCTGGGCTTGGGCGAAAGGGTTAGTTGTTATTGGTGCGAATGCAGACGGCTTCTGTGTTGTGAATGGGTTGGCAGTCGGTGGCGCGAAGGCGTTGGAGGATGGTTGATTAAAGGGATTGCTGATAGCTGGAGTAGGGGCAGAGGTATCCATCTGTTGATCAGAAGATGTCGCGTTCGTCGGTTGGAGAAAAGGATTGGCGACCGGTTGCTGGCCGAATGGATTAGGCCCCGAGGTTGATGGTCCCGAGGAAAATGGGTTCGGTGCGGAAGAGGGTGCTGGCGCGCCAAAAGGGTTCGGTTTCTGCCCTAAGGCTGACGGTTGTCCAAAGGCGTTCTGGGTAGTTTGGCTAAACCCAGTTGGCCCTGAGGTATTGTTTGCAAAGGGATTCGGCTTCTGGCCCAAAGACGAGGTCTGTCCGAATGCGGGAGCGCCTGGTCCCATCTGCGAGGTCTGCCCAAACGTAGGTTTCGAAGCCCCCATCGCAGAAGGTTGACCGAATCCTGGGGCAGACGGTGCTGCACCGAAAGGGTTAGGTTTTTGTCCCAGCGCCGACGGCTGGCCAAATGAAGTTGTACCACCACTAAACGGATTCGATTGAGGATTCGACTGGGGAGCCGCCGAGAAGGGATTGGAAGCGAGAGGATTGGGAAACCCCGTCTGGGGGCCAGACGCTGCATCTCTTGCAAACATGCCACTGGTATTACCTTGTGGGTTGCTCTGCTTGCATATATCTATACGGTTGGGATGCTTATTATCGGCGGCGAGGATGAAATCGATTGCACCATCGAGGTTGCTCAGCGCCGTCTGGTTCTGCTGTTCAGCTTGTTGGATGAGAGCTGCGATCTCCGACATCTAGCTTAAAGGTCAGCATTGCGAAAAGAAACGATATTACCAAATCATACCGCCTGTTGCTGATTACTGGATCCCCTAATATGTAGCATGACTTCCTCAGGGCTTTGCTCCCGTGGGTATCCTCCAAATAGTTGTTCCGGGGCATCTCTCCCGGGGCCATAACACGACAGCATCCATGATGGCCTCTCAATTCCCAAGTCCGTTCGTATAATGTCTGCAGTGATCCTGTAGGGGTTTTCTTGATTCCTATTTCCTCCTGTGCTTAGGGCGCTAAAACGGTTCGTATTAGGGTTAGGAGCTCCGAACGGATTCGAATTCGCGTTGGTGTTGGCGCCCGGGTGCTCAAAGCGGCAGGCGGCTGCGTTCATAGACGTTAGTTTTGATACGTAGAAATAAAAAGGAGAATATATCATACTATCATTTTTACAATAGCCTCGTTGCCAGAATTTGCAAATGCGTCCCGACATGTCGATAGAATGGATGAAGTGATGATGTGGTTGTGTTAATGGACAAGCTCGAAAAGCTGACGGATTTTATCAGCCTTTTCAGCCTTGCAGGAGACTAATGTAGGTCCCGGTGTTCCTCAGTGGAACTTTAATATTTTATGTAATACTTATGCGTTTAAGGATGCGATTATATCATCTTTAAGCGCATATCTTTGGAGACTTAGAATGTTTCTAAACGTGGAAGCTTCAATTTAGTTGAAGCTGATAAATACCAGGTATTCTTCTGTACCTCTTTCCTCACGGAATTGATAGATCCACTAACCACATTCATACAGCTAATGTACGTACCCTTAAGTATCACGTGGTACCTAGGTTCTATACATACTATTTTCGCTGTATGTAAGAATTGATTGATTGATCCTAGACAAAACAGAAAATATATCACCAAAATGAATTTGTTCATGTAATCTTCATATCTCTATATACTTGTCGAAAATCACTATCAAAAGGTTTAGGCTCGTGGCATAAGTATTTGTTTACATATGGCCCGTCTCAACTATCTCATCCTTGCGCAGTCGCCTTCACAAGAGGCTTCAATCCTCCCTCAATATACGCAGACGATCTCCAATCCGACCAGTCATGCTTCAGGAGACCCCAAGTCTCTTCAAAGTCCTGTGTTCCCGAGCGGATATAGTAGCTACCTGAGATGACCCAGATAAACCATCCGGCCTTCTGCTCAGCCAGATAGCTGGCGATACAAGTCGCATACGTTCCCTGCCACGCGCTGCCCGTCATATCGAAGCCGAACTCGGTCAGCAACACCGGGAACACGTTAACCGCCTTGGAGTCGTCTGCGTGCAGCGCCTGGAAGCCGCTGTTGTATAGCGAGCTCTTGAGACTGTTGCAGTTGCTCGCGCTGTTCTGGTAGTTATGGATCTCCAGCACTAGCTTGTTGGTATAGCCCTGGAAGTCTGCCGCTTTGAACTTATCGCTTCCTGGTGTGAACGCCGTGCCCTGAACTACCGGTGTCACGTAAGTATCGAAATCAAGACCCGAAAGGAAGATAAGCAAATTCGGGTTTGCTGAGTTGATCGCACTTGTTCCTTTCTTGATGTTGGTATACCAATCCCTCCAGTTGTATGATTGACTGCTAAGCGTAGGGTTGCTGTCGGGTTTGCGAAGCTCGTTACGTAGCGACATCGATGTCAGCGCCGGCCAGTTCTTCCCGTGATTTGCCATATACGAGAGACCTCTAGTCCAGTTTTCCACGTCTACATCTATGTTAGCTGTATGTACGAATACTAAGGAGTCTAATGCCGCGTTACTTGCGGATTAAGACATCCCAATTCGCATATGTAGGTCATGCACATACTATAATCTCTGTCCCCGAACCAAGAGTTGCCGTCGTTGGTAGAGCAGCACCAAGCAGCCTTGGACATGTGGTTATCTAAGTGAACAAAAATATTTTGCTTTGCACACTCGGCGGCGACGGCGTCAAAAACTTGAAGGCGAGTAGTACTATCGTTGAAAGAAGGGTTCTTCGCAAGAAATTCGCTGTAGACTTTGGGTCCGTTTGTCTGGCCGAGCGCCTTGGTAAACGAGTCCTTCACGGTCGTATCCTTGCCATTATTGCTATAGATCTCGTCTATCATCTGGATGGCGTACGTCAGGCGAATCGCATTCATGCCTACACTCTTGATCTTGGAGACGATAGTCTCGATAGACTGATAGCGTAGTCCGTCCGGAATCATTACTTCTCCATGACCCGGCCAATTGGTGCCTGCATAGACGACATTTTGACCTCGCGTATTTTTTATGTCACGGCCAGATGTGACAAGCGGTCCGTAAGGCCAACTATCGGCACGAGCATCAATATCTACCTTCAGTGGTGAAGCCCAAGAGAAGGATGGGATGCCGCCCAAGGCAAGCAAAGACACGAGAGAACGACACAATCCCGAGCTCATCATCGTGACGGAATGGCGTATTTCCTGCAGTGATCATCATATCACTACGAGAGACTATATCCCACGGGGTGTTGCAGATTATATGCTATCTGCCAAGAACAGCTTCACCGCATACTATGTATTTCCTCCGTATTATATTGCTACCTTTTCATATCCTAAAGTCACATACGAGAACATTATTAGTGCCCTAGAACACCTTAGCAAGCTAGGGTATACCTATACGAGAGTATTGTCCGGGGAAGTTCCAAGATTCGGGAGCTCGTAGGAACATCTTCCCGAGCGGCCGACTTTTCACCACCTCTCACGTTACGACCGTAGTATAATCACATCTTATGTAGTATTTACCCAGGGACGAAGAGGATTTGTATGCCTATTGAAGATCATAAAGTGTGGGGGACTAGGGGTAAAGTCTTGGTAGCGCCAAGCTGGCCGCCGATGGGCAAAACAAGATAGTAGGAATAAATATTTCCGTCGTCATTCATCCAGATTGCCGGCATATCATCTCCACATTCGTCTTCTCGGCCAACAGATGTGAGAACTTATCCTAGACTAGATCCAGCCAGCCCGTCCAATACTAAACTAGGTACATATTCATCTAGCTACTCTTGGATAAAGCATCGAATGTCGACTGCTGGACTTAATTTATCCCGTCCAATTCCATGAGAAGAAAGTAACAAGGGTCCTTTACCATGAATAAATGCGAGACAGGGGATGCCCACCGCTAGGTTCTAAATATAATTTTGGCTGGACAATTCCAATTGCCTACCTTGCCGGCTTCTAGCTTGCATACCTAGTTTCAATCTCATCGGTTGGTGACCACACACACACATTCATCCATTTCATACCTAGGTATAACTCCTTTTTTTTCATATCTGATCGAGAATATCCAAAATTTAAATACGCTTCCTAAACTCAACCATAGGACCGTCTTTCAAGCTCGTGAATTGATCGATCAGCTGGAACTCATCCACGCGTCGTCGACCCCATTCAAGATCAGGATTGCCCTCGGCCGGATCAAAGCCGGCCGACTTGCGCAAATCGTACATATATAGCGTTCTAGCCAACGTCGTCATCATCTCAATATAAGCAAGGCCCTTTCCTATACACCCTCGGGGCCCGATGGAGAAGGGGCAGAAAGCGCTCTGCGCCAGCGATACGTCTTGCGCTGTCACATTGCTTCCGCCTAATTCTCCAACGGCCTTACGCGAGCCCTCGATCCAGCGCTCTGGCGTGTACGAGAACGGACGCGGGTAGTACGCCGGATTGTGATGAACGGTATAATGAGGAGTGCCAACGACAATCCCTTCGGGTATAAACTCCCCGTCAATTGTGATCCCGCCTTTCAGGACTTCGCGAGGCAGGATTCCGCCTACCGAGGGAGACATACGCATGGCTTCGTCGATGCACGCCCGGAGGTAGGTACACGAGTTTAGCGCTGGGCCTTGACAGACCTCTTCTACGTCGCTAAATTTCGCCCGCACTTCTTGGCTCGCTTTTTGCAATGCCACTTCATTACGGACCAGATAGAACAACGTTGCCGCCATCGCGGTCGATGTTGTGTCGCTTCCTGCGATGATCCTTACAGTCCTGTTAGTTAACGCAGCCTACACACGGAGTTGTCTAGGTACTTGGATACACACAGCAGATTTGATTCTCCCCATAACTCGGTCATCGCAAATCCCTGTCCGGTTTCGGGGTCCCGTGCTTTAAGCAGATGGTAGAAGAAATCGCGACGGTCCGTATCATCGCCTAACTTAGTGCGCTCCGCAAGCTGGGCCTTGCTGTATGCCATGTACTTCGCTCGGCCGGTCGCAATTCTGCGGAACAGGATCTTATCGAGGTGAAGCTTGCCGACGGCAGACATGGTTCCGCACTGCCATAGTTAACAAAATGGGATATCTTTCGAAGAGGAAACGATAGGGCTCTGGATACTCACGATGAGGTGCCTCGTGGTAGCAAGCGACACTAACTCAAGCGCATATCGATTATCGGGCTTTTCTAGCATGTGGAAGGCTTTCCCGAAGCACAAATCACCGAGGATGTCCATGGCAAGGTAATTGCACCAGTCGGCCATGTTCTTGGCTACGGTCCATCCCTTTTGCTCGTCGCTCGCGCCGAGGCCGATCTGCTCGCAGAAGGATCGCACATTGGCTAGGATGTACCTCTCCATCTCCTTGACAGCTCCGTCCGAGAACGCCTGCGAGAGGACGCGCCTCTTCCGGGCATGCAGAGCTTTATCTCTCGTGTTGTGAGTATTAGATGCCGGATGTACGAAGGCATCGTAGAACTCGGCCTTGCGCACGTTGGATTTAAATCCGTAGATATCCTTCAGGGCAGTGTTCGAGTTGAAGGAGACGCTGTTAGGTCCAAACCGCACGACCTTTCCATATTTCTCGTGTAATCGCCAGAACTCCAGGTGTCGGTCTCCTTTCCAGGCGTGATATAATTGGTAGGCATCTGTGATCTTGGCTATAAATGGACCCGGATACTTAGCTAGAGGGTGAAAGAATAATCGATAGGTAACAAGTCCAATAACCTAGGACATGCACTAGTTAGCGTGCTGGAGCTTGACTTATACAATTATTGTAGATTTCTTACATAAATTGATCCTAACGTAGCCGTAACAGTAACGAAATATATCAAGTTGACGAATATCATGGTCATATTCTGTACTACTTAGTAGGAAAGATACCTATATAGGTACCTAATCCTTTCTGTAATAAGGTGAGTGGTGAATTTATCTCTAACTCTCGAGTTTGTCGTCACCGGAATGTTAACAAAATTTGCTTGTCATGGCCTCGTGTTTATGCTCACTGCTGCGTGTTCGTGTAGTAGCTACCATCTCTATCTATTATACAACATCTATCACCAGACAATTTAAATATATCCAAGATAGAAAAGATCTCGGCTTTTCACGGTAGCCAAAACTACAATAGCGAGCCGAAAGTACGGAACCCGGACGGAACTGACGTCGTCGATTTTATCCAATGAAGTTTAAGACCGACGCGGTTACCGACGGAATCTTCAGAGCCGCGTCTCCAATTTCAAGTTACTATGCTTCCTAGCTTACCATATTTCCTACCTATCACACTTTCACAAATGTAATCATTCTGTCACGAGGTCCAGATTGGTTGAGTACTTGGTCGTATATGCCGATCTGTGGAATTTGTTAACCGTTCTATGCCGCTGCATTTGATGATAGAATGCATACTCATAGACTCACCAGTCTCACCTACCTATATGAGAACCCGTAACCCAATTCGTTTATCATTATGTTGTTATCTCGTCGGTAGGTATGATGAGGGGAGGGTTACTACAAACGGGTTATTTCCATGCTCTTGGGTAGATTGATGACATATATATACGGCAAGGCCCCTTTGTCTTAATAGTTTTAGTAATATTAGAGCGAACTTTGTTATAAACTCTAACTATAATAAACTAACTAACCTACATAATTCGAATACCCGGGAAGTAAATTCGAGGGAACATTTTGTTCTACATAGTAGTTTTATACACCAATAATACTTGAAATATACCCGGTAAGGCAAAGTCGAGACAGCCGGATGAGACGATAATAACTGTGCATTAGGTAGATTAGGTGCATAGGTACCTGTATTAATTCACTAGTGTCCCCCCAAGCGCACCCTGGTATGTCACCTAATCATATGATTAGGTACATAAGGTAGGTACTAACTTTAGATAGTAAGGTACCTAATGTACCTAAATACCTCATACATTAAAGTCACCTGAGATACAAATCCACCTAACATACCTGCATGTACTTATCAAAGTGTAACGTTCGAAAGACCCCTAACTTTCGGTTTCAATTGGATCTTCAGGGGTCTTCGTTGGTTCCTCCAGTTAAGCCAGTCGCCTCACCAGCGAGCGCCTTTCACCCTTCCCCCCCTTGGCTTGGTCGGTGAAACATTGTGTATCATGGCTTGTACTTCTTCCTTGTAGTGTAGGAAGGGTGCCTTCGTTTACTTTTGGTAGTTATTTATTCATTTTCCCATCCTTTCTTCATACGAAACATCATTATTCATCCCATCCATTCTTTTCTGCCCTTGCAATTCCAACTATTATACTTTCTTTTTTTTTATTCTTTTTCAGCTACGCTTTAGCACATGCGAAACCTCAAACTACGCCGAGGTCACATTCGTTCTAATTAACTTGTTAGCGCTACTCGCGTTACTTGTTACTCGGGCGCCTCGGAAGCACCCGAACTTGCAAATCAGCCATTTGGGTAATGAAGAAGACGATCGTGAAGTATAACACCGAACACGCTCCGAAATCCAATTGTCGCCTATCTCCTACGTAATGAGTCCTCTTCCGATTAATCCGTCGATACCGTCGGCGGCATCGCTGGCGTCGCACTTCGCTCGAGCCATCTCCCACGTCTTGACGACGCGCGACGAGGACGAGGATAAGAAGTGCCATCCGCGACCTGACATAGACCTTTGCGAAAAGCCCGAAGCATCCAAACATAGCACTGCAATCGTAGTCGGGGTATTAGGGTAAGTCTATATTTTGGTTGCGAAAGCTGGAAGAGAGAGGATGAGGAAGAAGATGATAAAGATGAGACGTATAATCTGAAAGGAGAATAACCTGTTGACGAGACCCTTTACAATAGCGGCCTCCTCGTTGTCTCAACAGTCGGGACGCTTTTCGTACTACACATCCGGCGCCAGCGACAAGACAGGCGAGAGTTTCCCAAGAACAACCAAGAACTTGATGACTACGGTGTCGGTCCTATGCCCCCTACCACCACTGCTGCCAAACCTCCCAGACCACCTACCAGACCTCAGAACGCGTATCGCCAGCCGCACGTGGAAGCAGACGATGGCGACGACCTCAAACCGCCCGGGCGGCGGGATTCCCTAAACTCTCTTGCGCGTTCTATCCGCGGCAACCCAGATGCTTACAGGTCGAGGCCAGATGACACATCGCACGATATGAAACCCGTAGAGCCGACAAGTCAGTTGTAAGGAGGAGGAAGGGGAAGAGAGAGGAAGAAGGGAAGGGAAGAGAAGGGTGAGAAGGAGAATGTGATACCCATCCTCAAACCCTGGGTTATGAAGATCAATAAGTAAAATAAGTAGATCTAGCGATAGGTCAATTTGTAGTGGAACCAGTTTTCGTCTTCAACTAAGGTACCTAACCTAAGCTCTCGCCTAAAATGATTGTGGATTTTGCTTCGTTTTTGTCTATTATGTATGATCTCGCATCATTCTTGCTACAACCAGCTTGTTTAGCTTTGAGCTATAGATAGAAATGACCGTTTTCAATATAATACATAGAGTAGCCAAGAGCAGCTATTACATTCGCATCCGATAATATGTAGCATTAACGCACTAATAAACCTCATAATTAGGCTTTCACTCCAGGGTTAATATCAAGGTAGTCAGACTCGTCAAAATAACTTAAAATAGAGATATTTGATCATCTCACTCTTAATTCGATACATCGTCGATAAGCAAGTCTTGACACCCCTAAAAAACACTCATAAGCTCCGGGACGGAACGCCTCTCGCGGAGGTGACCTGCCATGCCTGTATAACTCGCGACGCATAATCTACACGTTTATACATCCCCTGTACGCTGGGCTAGTTTGTACATATGATGCCAATTATCTAATTCCTAAACGCCACGCTCCCATGAGGGTCCGATTGCTTCAACCTAGTCTCCAAACCACGGGTACGACACCTGCAAGTCACGTTTCGTCGACAACCGCTTCGCCATTGTATGAGCTACCTTGTTCGAATTGCTCCAAGTCCACAATCATTAAGCTGCTATGAACACGATCCGTCACGTAGGCGCGAGTAGCTCAACTTTCCAACCCAGCATATGTACTTAATTGATTCAGTAAGAATGCCCACTTGGGACTCTTGAGACTTTGCAATGCCCCAAAGAGACTGTCTCTTGAGGGGAGAGCATTCGCTGGAATGCTGGTCGGGTTGTTTGGATCTCTCGCCTTCTCGCTTAGTTTTCTAAGGGTGGAGACACCGCAGGTAATGATGTAAAGAATATCCATGTCCTCGCGTGGTTGAGACCTAGGATTGCCGCTTATACGGGGAGTCGGTTCTGCTTGTGTGCAGAGAGTACGAATAAGACGGAAGAGATTCTGCGCGAAGCCTTCCCCGGATGACAGCCAAGCGCGCGTTACCCCAGACTCATATCCCGGCGCTAGCTGGGCAATGATGTCGGCAGCAAGTAAACCTTGCATTAACAGTGCTTTGCGCGCCTCCACAAACGATGGTAAATTTGCTGGGCGGCTCTCTTTGTTTTGGTCTGGAATGGGAGAGACGGCGAGACCGAAAGTCCGCGTGAGTAGCTCGTAAGGAGGTGAAGCGGCCGCGTCGGCCGCAAAGATAATCTTATAGTGCGTTCTGTTCGGCTCGTCGCGCGCCAGAAGTTTGGCTAATGAGTCAACAGCGTGGGGGAGATACGGGTGAAGTGAGGGCTCGAAAGGCGAGAAAACCACCCGCTCCGTCGTTAAAGAAGGCCCCGGCGATGGAGCGAAAGCAAGAAGAAATTGTATGAGGCAAAGTGCTTGTTCACGACCGGGTATCTCGACGGAGCTAGTAATATTGGATAGCAAAATTATAACATCCTTCATAAAGTCGAGCGTATTCCTTGGGGCTCGTAACAGGTTATCATGCGTACCTAAAGATCGTATCACGCCACAGAGGAACTTGACTACGATCTCGTCAGCAAGGACTGCTTGGTTAACCTCCATAAATGAAAAATTTCGTAATATAGTAGTGATTGCTAACAGACGATCGGCAGCATGTTCAAGCTCATACTCGGCGTCTCCGAATATGTGAGGTTTACGAAGGCTTATAGCTTCGAGGCGGCAGCTTCTCACGACATCTTCATATGAAGTAAGATCTATTTCGTCTGAAACCGGATCTGCCTTTTCCACGAGTAGGTCAACCTGCTCTTCTGCGCAATCTATAAGAGACTCTACCAAGTCATCGCAAGCTCTCAGGTCGATTGATAAGTTCGGTATATACTCGGCTGCGCGCGACACAGATCCGAGAACATCAAGAGCTAGCCGTACTTCTCCGTGTATGCCACACTGGAGGCTTTTTGTGAGAGCATGGAGATCAATATGGCCGAGCTCCTGGGGTGGTGGAACATCTGGCCGCCACTTTTCTAAATCGTTCCCGAGCTTTCGTATTGACTCGAGATCAAAGCCACCATAGAGGTCGGGGAGCATCTCTCGAGAACACGGTGAATATTCATCAGGATCTGATGAGAATGGTCCCGGAAAGGGCAAGTTGGCGGTGGTACCATTCGTATGTGCTCCATCTGTCTGCTGAGCTGGGGGCTGTACCGAAATACTCCCACCCTTGCCGGTAGATGCGGGAGATTGTACGGAGAAGTCGCTACTAGCCTGTCTAGCATCAATACTTCTTGACATACTATTTCTTACGTGTCCTTGGTTTGCATTAGGCTGCTGTTGACTTATTCGCGGCTGCTGAGGTGTCGAGAAACCGTTGGCGCTAGCTTGCTGCATAGCAGGTGTTATCTGCTTGATGGGTGTCTGTACGTGTGGCTGCTGCATCTGAGGGACCTGTCCGGGCTGCATGGGTTGTCCGTGCGGTAACTGGCCCATTCTCTGCGGTACACCTTGACCTGGCACACCAGGCATACCTGCTGGTCCGCCCGCCTGCTGCTTCATGTGCTGAGTCCGTTGTTGCATTGTCCAAACCTCCTCGAACTTTAACAGATTTTGTTCGTATACACCTCGTACTTGAGACGGGGCTGAGGGAATTTGCTGTGGATTAAAACCAACCGACGCAGCGACCTGCGTCCAGAGGTTACGGCCTGTTACATTCCTATAGCCACCGTATTTGGAAACGTTCTGGAAAAGTTGAAGAAGGTGTAAAGGTCGGCCTTCAATAACGGGATTTGTTTCCAAGGGAAGCTGCCTCATCGCCATAAACGTTGTGAGGTTTTTTAAGAACGCTTCAGGATTGTTAGCTCGTGGTATCTGCGCGGCTTGCTGAGGGTGCATGACGCCGGGTGGCATCTGGCCATTCTGCATCGGCATCCCTTGCTTAGGCATCATGCCTCGGCCTTGAGCCATGTTTTGAGCTTGCATCTGCGCTGCCATCGGCATGCCGCCTTGCTGAAGCTGCTGTTGCAGGCGCATTTGATATAACATCTTTTGCTGGTCCATCGCGCCGCGCCCTTGCGCTGCCTGCATCTGTTGCATCTGCTGCATTTGTTGGGTAAGCATCTGACTCGGGTGGACCTGCGACATCTGCTGAGGCATTTGGCCCATCGATGGAGGCATCATCTGTTGCGCCATGGGATTCTGGGCTGAGGGTGGCCTAGCAGGTGATGCGCTAGGCGTATAACCCGAATTGAAACCTTGCGGGAAATTTTGCGGGTTCATGAACATGCCCGGTTGAGGTGTGCCGCCATGGTCTGATGGGACCGGCGAAGCCTGAGGGACGAACTGTTGAGAAGCCGGAGAGAAAGGATGTGGTGACGCGGTATTGACGCGTTGTGGCACGCTTCCCGGACGCAGTTGATTACCAGCCATTACAGGTGATGGAGACGCGTTCGTCGAGCCATTGGGTTGCAAGTGGGAATAATGCTGCGGTTGATTAGGATTTTGCGGCTGCATCGCATTTGGCTGGAAGCCTGGGAAGGGTGATTGCTGAGGCGTGTCGGCGCGCGACGTCGGGAGCATGCCCGGGTTTTGTCGGGGAGACGCGCCAATGCTATCCTCCCTAGGTCGAGGTCGTTTCGAGGGGATAACGGGGTTGGTCTGATATGCGGGATTCGAGAAGGAGGGCGAGGCGTTGCGCATCGGGCCATTCTGCATAGCAGCGGCCATCTGTTGAGGATTAAACTGGCCAGCAGCCATGTGATTGAACTGAGCAGTATTTGCCATGAAGGCCGAGGGATCCATCATGCCTCCCGGCCCAGCACCCATTCCTCCGCCTGCTCCCATATTGTTCGGGTCGTTCATGTGTGGGAAGCCGTTGCCATTGTGGTTTTGGACGGCAGCGGCCTCGTTAATCCAGGAGCTCATGACGGATGTAATCGCGAATGGGAACCCATCTGACTACAATTTAAATAAAGTTAGCGATTATAATGGATTGTGACAAGTGCATTGAGATAGAATAATGATAAATTAAAGCTGGTAGTGTCACGGGCGACGACTGTCGCGATGGAATAGTAAAAAAAGTCGCGTCGCGAGTCGATTAAGGAATTTTGGGGGGTGAACGGCCACGGTGCGATCGGGGAAAATAAGTTGGTACGGTCGCAGGTTTTCGGTGGTTGGGGGGAGATAGGTTTGCTTGGGAAGGGCAGTACTATAGCAGAGCTAAGTCTAGTGCTGCTGGGACTTGCTGCAGTTGTTTGGTAGCGCCGTGAATTGGGGCGGGGATTGAGCATTTGCCAGCGAAGAGTTCCCTAAACATAGCACTATGCTAAGCTGTATCATAGGTATCATAGGTACCATAGGTACCATATGTACCTTAATAGTAGTGATAGGTACTTTGGCATATACATAAACAGATATATACAGTATGAGTAGACCGTATATACCGTGCTACATATACCTTACGAAAATAGAAGGGAAGTGATAGCGATAACAATAAATCTGCCCAGCAGAAATGTACGGAAACGAGGACGGGAACGGGAATGGGACATGAACGGCAAAGGTAGGGGAAACATCCACCGGCGAAAGGGCGGCGCCCACTTTCGTAATTGGCAGATCCGAGCCTGAGTACGGAGGTTGGTTCTATAATAGTGATAATACGGAATTGACAGACGGGGTCGTATGTACGGCCGTGCCAGGTGCGTCAGTCGCCCACCTTGTCACCGTTATCGCTATTATGTGTGCCAGTGACAGTGACAGCGACTGATCGTTTCAATGCAGCACTGCGCATCAACGCATCAACACCATCTGACACTTGAAGGGGTGCTGACCAAGGTTGTGACGGGGATATAAGGTTATCCTTTTTTTTTTCAGTAGTGGTGCTCATTATATTTGGACACAGTACATACGGAACACCCGAATGCCACTCGAACGAGGATCAGTGAGTTTAGGACGGACAGGATAGATACCTAGGTAGACTTGTAGACTAGAGGAGACGACGATAACGAAAATAATAAGAGAGACAAGAGGCAGATAACAAGGTTTTACCTACCTAAGCTAAAAACTAACGGGTGGTGAGTGACGACACCTCAATCACACGCTTTCTTTTTCTCGTCTCTCCGTGCGTGTTTGCTAGGCGCGAAATGATGGGAAGGGCGGTAAGTAGGTAAGGAAGAGGCACTTGTCTTTTTGGCGAGCTGGCCCGGTCCTGTTTGGGCTACGGGCTAAGAGTGCTGGCTGGATTCTTTGGCTGGAACTTTGGCTCTGGGGGGGGGGTTGAGCTGGAAGCTGTGAGCTGAGTGATGGGATTGAAGGTCTGGGTAGGTCAAGAAAATTTCTGACTGCTGGCACCACCTTCCATCCGAGAGAAGCAAGGAACAGGTAGTACTTAGCCCACCTACGCTAATCCTAGATAGGTTTAGAGGGGAAACGATGAGAAATCATGCGTCGATGCGCGATTAGAATTATTTAGGCTGTTAGGGGTGGTCAGGGAAGAGGGAGGAGAAAAAAATAAAAAATAAAAAAAGGAGGCGGCTTAGTGGTGAAAGGAAACGCAGGAGCTGTGTGGCCTGCGAGAAAGAAAGTTAAATGATTGGCTCAAAAGTCACAGCTTAACGTTCCACCCCGTTACTCCGTGAGGTCACACCATTGGTGGGATAACAAAGGACCCAATAGATAAAACGAGATGTACCTACAAGATGTACCTAAGCCTGTTAGGATAATAAAACGTTAATCCGAATATTGCCCGACAGGTTTAAGGCCGAAACAACTGTCATTCTTCAGTTGCTTTGACGAAAGTGGCTTTAGGAACACGACATATTTAACATAATGAAAAAATAATAAAAAAAAGGCTTACCTACAAATCGCGAAACCGACAACTATTCGATCTGACGAGATGTAAATGCAAGAGACGGAGAAATGAAAATGAAAAGAAGCTCTTGCTGCCCAGGACGAGGAATCGCCACCGTCTCTCCGCAGATGGATGAGGAGCGACTAATTATCAGGCATAAGACATAACCATAGGTCTAGATCATCTAGATCTAAAGTGCGCTTACTTATATCCTGTAGAAGCCTCACTCTTGCCTCCAACTCCTAGTATCCAAGGGAGGCTGTTCGTATTCTTGCTGTCGAGCACATGGAAAGTTCTCGGTACAGATCGTGTCTGTAGAGATCCCACCTCATATTTCGAATATCCGACCAGACTGCTCCCCCGTGTCATGAGTTTGTTTCAACTTCATCGTGCTCTCTGGATATCCCTTAGCATTAAGGGGTAGCAGTTCATATTGTAATAATAGGTGGCCTCGTAGGAAGTAAGTGTTAGACTCAATAGTCCCAAACTCAATGATTTCCACAGGGGTGACCGACAATTCCAGCATTAACAGATGAGGAAACGAAAGCCAGCTTGGTAAGGTTATACTTCTGTTGGATTTGACAACCGGCCGATATGGTATCCCAATCTCGAAGTTCAAATTTCCATGGCAGCTCAAAGTCTTCCTAGGGTAGGTACCTATATTGGTTGGTTTAGCATCCCGACAGTCCTAGCCAACCTAGAATGCCCCCAGCATTATCAAGCGTGCCATGGATGATCTTTGTACTCGGTGCTTCCAATGATGAAGGAATCGGATACTCAAATGTAGTTGTCGGCCTGAAATGCTGACGCTGAACGGGTACATATACATACGGCATAGTATATATATTGCATAGCACATGCATGCTGACATCCGACTCTGTGCAGATGCATGTATAAATGTAATGTACCTCGGAGTGTACATAGAACCAATAGGAATTTCCCAGTAATCCAATGCTATGGACTGCAAGGGTGAACAATAAATGTGGCGGTCCCCATGTGCCGGTCAAACGACGAAAGTACTTTTCCGGTAGGTAAACGTACGCGATAGAGCATCGGCCTGTAATTTTGCCTGCCGATCAGTAGTAGGTAGACTGAGGACTTCTTATTCAGGCCCCTCTTCATCCCTATCATTCATCTTGAAGAGCCGGCGTCTTCCAATAATTGGCTGTTGCCAATAGTTTCGGGTGCCTCGTGTTACAAGTGACAGGTAGAAATCCTATGTGTTGCCACAAGGACCTCGAAACGGAGATGCCGTATGCCGTACGGTAATGTCAATTTGACTCAGACTTATTCGTGAGGGTTGTTGGTGAGTCGAAAATTAACTCCAAGCGAATAATTTGGGAGATTGGTAGGAACCTAGACAAGGAGAAAACATCGCTGATTTATACGAATCTCCATCAATGTTCCGTAAGACCGAATTGAAGTGGTCGTCGCTGAATGTCTGATTAACTGATGAACTGATCCCTGTAACTATGGGCAATTATGGCGGAGACTATCATCCCGGTCGAAATCCCATTGTTGGTTTGTGGGCCGTTTTGCGCGACGTTGGGTGCCCATACGTACGCTGTACGCTCCAGTTCTCGATCAATTTTTCTCCGACGAGATCGAGTAGATGATAGAAGCAAGCTTCGTAAGCCTAGCTCTTCAGTTATATAGAATAGAGCTCGAGTTTACTGCATCGCTGACGCTGAGGATTTCTTCCGGGTTAAGAAACGCTCCCCTTCCGCAATACGCATGTACAGTATACTCAATCCGCCCCGATACCGTTTTAGGCAGGGTAAATCCATATAAGTGGGAAAAGAGAGCATGTCGTTCAGGACAGAACAATGACAACAGCACAACTTAGAGAAACAACACGCAGGACAAAAAGAAGATTCGGGAGAGAAGGTATGTGTGAGTAGGAAAGAAGAACGATGGGAGAATCCGGAGAAGACAGAAGATAAACGGTCACAAGGGAACGAGCAAGGGTGGCAGATGGGCCTTCTGAGTACAGTAGGGCGAGAGGGAAAACGGAGAGCCTGAGGGAAAATCGGTTACAATACCTGATTCCTCCATGTACCGTACCGCGATTATTATTATTATTATCATATTACTTACTTTTCCAACCGAGTTGTCAAACTCAGCTGAACAATAACACTTTCCAGTCTAGCCAGCTGTTTTTCATATACTGCCCTTTTTTGTTTGGCATATTTCATTGCTAGATGTCATGTTTTCGAGCTTCTCTGCTAGTGTGCCCAATTCTCCAACTAGAATACTATGTAGATGTGCTTTGTGAAAGCTTAAGAAGCGGCCAAATCCGTCAAACTTCCCCCGCCGAGTCGTCTTTAATTTTCCCCACCCAGCGCAAGATTCGCTCGTAATGCTGTTCTATTAGCCAAAGGCTTATTGAATCTTGAACCAGATCTCAGCCACATTCTGTAAGGCCATAGCGTATTAAAAGTTTGTTCCCGACCGCCTAAGTGGTGTTCGTCTTGTTGCTATTTTATATATCCAATAGCAGACTTATCATCGAGACCGAAATATCGAATCCAGAGGGTCTTACCCCCACAAAGACCCTACAAATAGATAAAGGTAAGCCACCACGATAGGCTGTTGTTATAACGGCGTGCTATCTCTCAATCGGCCATAAGAACTTAAATTCCGGAGTTTGACTTTTGGCTTGACTCGACTTGACTTCATCTTGCAATCTAATTTCACCCTGCTTGTCCAATACTAAAAAAAAATGTTGGTGGGTCACCTATCGGTATATCAGCTTGATGTAGAAATAGAGGGGTCCGAGAGGTCAGGGGTTCATAAAGTTCCCGCAGCACGCCGGCCCTAATGAAGGAGATGACAAGCACAGTCATCGATGAATAACATGTAGTCTACACAGGTGAAAACACATTACTACCTTTAATTATAGTCGTAGGTATAAGTAATACTCGATTTTCACATTGAATTATTCTAGAGTTCTATACAGCTATGAAAGTCTCGGCAGTAGGGCAAAACGCCGCAATGCAAGGGATGGACGATGCCTTTGTGCTTGTCAAGTAGGACAAGGAGGTTAATATTTGAGGTTAGCAAACACATGGTAACTAGGCCTTATTTCCTTCTACCTTTCATTAGAGCACAGGTATTATATAGGTAATTATCATCATGAAGCTAATCGTCGGTGGTTCAACCGGCTTTGTGGGGGAGTAACTTATCCGTCAAGCTCTTTTATTCTATGTCCAGCCATCACGTCTATCGTTGCCCTCGGACAGCCTAGCTCTACGAAGCTAAAGTCTATTATTTACGACAATTTCGAAAGCTACTCCAATAGCGTCAAGCGCGAGCTAGAGGATACGGATGCTTGTATCTGGTACATATGACCCATGCTTTTGTTGCCTTGCACATTTAGTATGTTGACTTAGATCAGGACCATCGCCGTGACACCGTCTAAACTTAAGACAGTCCCTTTCGAAGATGCTTGCGAGATCTTCCGCGACTATGCAGCAATAGGGATCCGGGCTCTCACGGATCTATATCACGACCAAGACCCGCCGCTCCATTTCATCTACATCAGCGGTCATTTTGTCCCGCGCAGCCCGGCAGAGGTGCCGAAAGAGCTCGCCAATAGCGGTCTAATGAACTTCGGTCTAATGCGAGTACATATGGATACGATGCTATCTTCCAACCTCCACTCCGTACTCTATGAAGCTAATCCATCGCACTCCCACAGGGTGAAGCCGAGTCACGGATTCTTGCATACGCGGAGCATTACAAGGGTTCCGTACAGTCCTATGTCGCTGAGCCCGGGCTTATTGAAGCTCCGGGTAGGGAGAGGCAGATAATCCCTGAGCTCCCAAACATCGACTTGCGCGAATTCGTAGCGGCACTACTAGATCAAGTTGTCAATGGGCTCGAGAAGGATACGTTGCTAAACAATGATATGATCCGGATTAAGCAGCGAGCTTCAGGTGAATAAAAAAAAACTCAAATACCACTTTAAATCCGCCCAATACGCTCAAGATATTATGAATGCTTGCCAGACGCACGATGCGAGCGCTCATGTGAGGGGCCAAAAGTTCAATGATGAGTAGAACTGGAATGTGATGGTAGGGTTCGACAATCACCATTGTTAGAGGGTGTAGCTTGAACGGAGTATTCGACTTCCAAAATAGTTGCCTTCGAATCTCCCAATGCGTTTACCATTAGTAAATCACAGCATTAGCCGTATTTCGCGGTGTTAATTTAAGTACCTAGATAGATAATAAGTATCTTATGAACTGTGCAAGTTGGAAGTGTATGTGTGACGAAGTAGAACTAAGCATGGAAGCAACTTCGTGGTTCTGCGAGGCACTCTAACCTAACTATGGGAGCCTGTGGCTATAAGCAAGTCCTTAATCTTAGGTATATCATCTAGAATCATGGCAGTATGTGATCATAGTAATAAAACTAACTTATTATCTAGGTACCTAAGTATCTAGGCGCTTAAAACAATGATTCTACGATCCGCGAGGAGAATAACATGTTCTTTTTTCCACGAGAAGTTTATGATCGCGAAGGTTCTCGACAAGCTTTCCTACAAGTACAATTACAAATTACCTAACAATACCAATCAGAGTCCCTAATTATCTTCTAGCTACTCAACCCGATATTCTTTTCAGTTATGCATAGGGATAGCCCCCTCCCTATTTTATTCCTCAATTATATCTAAGGCACCCTTATCCCCTGATTCTAAGGCCGGTGTCGTTTTATGTTGCGCCCTGTCAATTTGGCCTTGAAGTTTTTGGTGCTTTGACTGTTCCTTCTCCTTTGCCTCTGCGGCCATAAGCATTTCCATGATTTCACGTCCCTTTTCTCTCTCGGCGCCCCTAGAAATGTGGAGACCCCACGCCTTCAAGAACGTAGCCTCGCCCCTGTAGTTTTGATGCAGCCATAGTACTTGTTCCGCTGTAAATCTCATTATACTCTCCTGGTGTCCTGTATCCAAGCCCAACGGATTTATAGGTGTGATATCCTCACTCGTAGTCAGCTGGGGCTTCATAGTCGGCCGCTCTTTTCTCTCGGAGTTTTCCTCAGTCGACGTTCTGGTTCTAACTACAGGAGCTGAAGAGGATGATCTTTCGAATAGCGAGAGCTGTTGGTTACCCTTTACACTTGCTGGTGGGCTTTCTGTTGGTGGTCGTGTGGGTCGAGGACTCCTTTGCTTTGCCTTATCTACTTCCCTTTGTTGTTTGTTTTTGCATTCTAGTGGTCTAGCCGGCAGCGGCTTCCATTGGACGGGATTTCGAATTTCAGCTGCGGATTGGGTACGGCGGATAATCTGAGCTGCTATTTCGGCGAATTCACTATTTCCGTTTCTTCGAAGGTCTTCCGCAGACGAGGATGTGGATGGGGCTACGGAGGAGTAAGGGGAGAGGTTGGGGGAACGGTGGGTACCAACTGATTTTGATGGTGGTAGGGGAAACAAGAACTCTAGAGTGTTGCTAGAAGGCGAATTTTTCCTCGTAGTAGTTTTCATTGGGCTGGGTTGTTTCTCAGGTGAAAGCTTCAACGGATCTTGGTCTAGTTGTAGCCACTCTATCCGCCCATTACGAGTTAGCGGATTTACTACTTTTCTGTATGTCAGTTAGAAAGAAGTACCCACTAATGTCATCCGTAGATAGCGGTATAACACCATCTTTCCTAAGTAGTTGTTCGACTGATGTATGCATCTTCGCATTCGAGCTGTCGAGGCTCTGCAACTGAGACTTGGTTGAACGTATATTTGGCATTTTGCGGTTAATAGAAAGATATGACGAGAGATGCCGAGTCTTACTCAAGATAGTAAAGAAATATACTTATTGGCCCCTGGAAGAAGTGAACAGGTAGTTGAAAGGGCTCATTTTCCTTGCTACGTAGACAATATGAAGAAGAGCGCTGGGATGATTGTTTAATATTCTGATTACACTTTATCATACGATATTATGGTAGTAACTAAACCCGTATATGAAGATATATGACCTATTACTGACTAGTCAACGTAGATCAATATATATCAAACTGCTCTAATATTATTAACCATCTTACACGTAAGGCCTGTGCGGCATCTAGATGCTGCTCCTCGAGTATTGGTCAATCTCCATGGGTTTAAAAGACGTTTGAAATATGATGTACAAGGACTAGGGTGTTACCGACTGGATGGAAAGGACAAGGTGTGCCCTGTTTCCTTGAGGACCCCTTTATCCCAAGAGACGTGATATGAGGCAAAAAACCTCGTTTGAACCCTTAATATGTTTTATATTTTCAGCGGTATTTTATGTGTCGTTTTCATGTAAGCCCCGATGTATCTTTTGGATGATTTATAACTACCTACCAGGGCTTCTCACAATATCTTCGGTTCTTTAAGCAAGTATGGGATAGGGCATTACCGTGGAGCAAGTAACTGGAAGCATTTCGTAGTCTACACCTGCTTCGTAAGGGAGTTAGCAAGAGGTGGCAAGATGGGTGATCCCGATCTCCTTGAACCAGTACGTGTAACTACATTGTTTACTATGGTTCTCTCGCACATTACCGAATAGGCATTTAAGCAGTTCCTTTCATAAAGATATACACCTTAGATCGAATAAGTATAGTGACTTTCATGACTTAAATAATCATGAAGTTAAATCGGATAATCTCCGTTGCTGTATAATGGCCTTTGGTCCGAAGTTAACGATCAAGCTTAGACTTACTCGGAGTTTAGACCCGGAGTTTAGACTCGGAGGTTAGGTAGGCTCTAAAATAGGTAAAATACCGATATAAGCTCAGGCGACCCATGTCCCCTTCCAAGGAAATAGTGAGTCGTCGGACAATGCGGACAATACGGACATATGCTTAAGCAGACCCTGAAAGTACAATTCCCTTGCGTCTATTTTCATCAGCTCAAGTCCAATTCTGTAATATGGAAGTTGGTAACCGGGTACCTCCTTTTCCTCCGCTGACGAAGAAATAAAAGGGTTCATTTAGGTTGAATTTCAAAGATGAAAATACATTAAACACTGATCTTATACACGAAGATCCCGGCACTCTTCTAGCAGTATCCCGATAGTGTTCGTCTTCTAATTTGATTAATTCACTTGATTTGAATGTTCTGTCTATAGCATATGGGCTATGCTAAAACTACTTAAAATGCCAAGCTAGCGGAATCACCTAGGTCTAGGTATATTAGGTTAGGTACTTATAAGTGTCCAAGTTAACTCAACTAGATATCATATAACTACAACCGATTTTATTCAAGTTCCACAACCAACTTTTTTGATGAAACTCCCTTCTTAAAGATATCCAATGCATCCTGGATGCCGTTAAGGCCCTTCCTCGACACCACCTGTGGTGATGGGGCAACCTTGTATACCCCTTTATGTAACGCATCCCGAAAGTACCCACCGAAAGTGGCGGGGCGCGTCTCTGCAAATGGATCATCGCCCCCAGTACCAAAGGTGAACTTAGCTGTTACGCCCTCTGGGACCTCTTCAGGTACTACGGGGTTGGTAGAAACAACAAATGGCTTCTGCTTGGACTTATACGCGATTTGGCAGGCTTCAGCGACGCTTCCGGCAGCCATGTATATTCCGACGCACACACCCTTATCAAGCTCGGCGGCAACGTCATCGACGACAGTGGGGCTATTACGATCGAAGACTTCGTCGGCTCCGAGGCTTTTCACATAGTCGAAGTTGCTAGCAGAGCAAGTAGTGATTACTCGGAAACCCGCACCTTTGGCTAACTGGATACCGTTGCTGCCACAGGCTGAGCTGCCTCCCCAGACCAAGAGCGATTTATCGGTGGGAGCGGAACTTAGAGTCGGGAAGGGCAAGCCAAGATAGTCTTTGCTGAAGAGCGAGACAGAACAGGTAGTGAGGCACAGGGGAAAGACGGCAACTTGGGCGTAGGATAACGAGTCCGGAATCTTTGCAGAGACTCTCTGGTCGAGTACCACATAGTCCTGGAAGCCGTTATTTACGGTAAAGCCAAAAACGCGATCCCCGACCTTGAAATTAGCCGCGACACCAGAACCGACGGCTTCGACAGTGCCAGAAACATCTTGACCAAGAATGATAGGGTACTTGAAGAAAGGCAATGCCTTGTCCTGGATGATGGCGTCGCAAGGATTGATAGCCCAAGCGCGGACTTTAATTAAAAGCTGATGTTCCTCGAGTTTAGAGGGAATTGGGCTTTCGCGGATGACCCCTGGCACGCCGGGCTTGTCCTGCCAGAGGGAGCGGTTTGTAGCGGACATCTTCACAACTATAATCGCCTTGAAAATGTTGAGAGTCGATATTGTAGATGTAAATAGGAGTTGGAGCCAGTGGGCTTAGGAGAAGATAGAAGTTCGATACTAGGGAAGGATAACAATCTAAGGTGTAATAGATAGGAGCTTTAGGGCCTCTAAGGCTTCTGTAGTACGAAGCTGGATATAAGACTTCATAGATGATACATAGAACTCGATAACAAAGAGAGTACCTTAGTAAATAGAGAAGATACGGAGATTACGGGCGGACTTTAGTGCGTAATTACGTTATTAATGTGGCTTGCCTGCCTACATATGTAGTGTAACGGTGTGCTTCTTTAGTATTTTATATTCTTTTTTAGTTATATTAACTATCAAATATACCTATTTTCTTACGTCAGGCGAAACACTGGCTTTATTCCCATAATCCAGTCATCTTTCACGCCATTGCTGCGTTAAGGGTTTATAAGTGTACTCTGCCACCCTACCTCTTAGCTAGATTAAGTATCTGTTTATACGCCCATTGGGCGTTGACAGATTTGATCATCATCACTTCGAGTGTTATAAGTGATTCTGGTGTATTTATCCATTTTTACATAGCTCAGAATAATCTTAACCCATCAAACTTGGTGCAAGAAATAATCTCATTACTAGGTAGTCATATAGAGGAGAGACTACCTATGCTACGAGAATATGCTACCTACCTATTCAGGGCCTGGTTAGATATTTTTTTAGTTGATTAAGATACCTAATATCCTCGGATGAAAGGGGGTGGCTAATTTTGTGGCGTATACTTGTGGCGCTACCTATAGACTTCTAATAGTTCCGTTCTCTAACTACATAATCTACATGTACTTATAAGTATTCGGGAATATTTATTCTCGATAATCTTCTCTATAGGTTAGGTAGTAGTTTACTTCTATTAGGTACTACCATGGACTTTTACTTTCACTCGTAGCATCACATTGACGGGAACGGTATCAAAAGCGTAGGTCGATCCTTCATCTAAACAGTTTCCACATACCTAAGGTAAATGCGAATAGACATATTGAAATGACACGACTTTAGAAACTCTTGAAGCTTAAAGTAGTTACGTAATGCTTGTAAAGAAGCTTCGTTCTAACATAGTTGCGAGGAAAGAAGAAGGAATTACGTAAGGTAGTTGCATCAAATACCTTAGATATTTAATATAAGAGAAGGTGTTATTAAATAGAAACTACTACAGTTGTTGTAATTACTGTACATAGGTAGTTATCTCTTAAATTGTTGCAGTTGCTACCTGTTATTGCAGCTGTTGCAGTTCCTGTCGTTCCTGTAGTTGCTAGAGTAATATTAAATACCTATATACCTTTATTGCACTTTCCTTAGGCATAATCACAGCACTAATATTGTCGTACCTTCCTTACATATCTAGGTACCTATGTATGATCACATTCGCAAACATGCGCAATGGGCAATATAATTACACACCGCCCTCTACATTTTTTTCTAACATTATATAAACATGGCCACCTCCTACTAGATTTCCAAAAATCTAATACCATTGGAACACTTCATTATCACAATCACACCAAGTCTTCAATATTAAGTCTTTGGTACACTACCTAACTATACACAACTACTACTACATATGCATAGTTAACTACTACTATACCTACTTCATCACTACTATACACTAATACCTATTATATTACTTTACAACATTATACTTCTGTTGGGATTATGGTCATGTGACTAAGAGTTGTGTCCCACACACCCTCTAATCCAATTGTGGATAGATTCTCCCCACTTTCATAGATCTTCCCTTCTACATCATCAATACAGCAAAACGTCACTTTTATTACAAGGTAAAAGGTGATACACAGTCATTGAATTCAATACCTAGTCAGTCCAACAGCTTCTGCTAAAAAGTCCTATGGCGGGCATATTAGTAGCAAGACAGCAATGGCTTACCTATCTCGAAAGCTAGCTAGATGAGGCGATCTTCTCACCTAGACCCTGCAGCCTCATTGCTACAGTTAAGTCTATCCAACTCGAAAGGCATAACGAGAAAGTTATGATTGTCTCAAATTATATCATGTTTCTAGATATAATTCATATAATTTGCGCGGCCTTGGAGCACAATACTATAAGGGCTACAGAATTCAATGGGACGGTTACATCTTCGAAAGCCAGAGCGGCCAAGGCATACTGGAAAAGCTTCCTGTCAAGGAACAGTTGGAAGCAATCCGAATCAGTGGCGATTTTGAAAGATCTCATCGAGCACTTAAAAAAATTGGCTGTACTTTTGTGCACAGTTGGAGCGGGTGGCACGGGACTGAATATTACCGGAGCAAACCACCTTTTCATCAGCGAACCACTCTTGTCTCCGGCTAAGAGGAGTAGGTCAAGAGTCGGGTTTATCATATGGGCTAGGGAAAACCAGTAACGGTTTACCATTTATATGCCGAAGATTCCTGGATTAATATAGCCATCAGGTTGGCAAATGGCAAAAAAGCCGCCAAACGTAATGATTTGATGCCACCTCTAATATATGACGATAGACAGGAGTTTATCATACTAGGTGGATTGAAGACCCGCTCCAATACTGGTGCCACGCCGTCGCGACTGCCGGACCGCGACAATGGTTCGATGTCGAAAAGATCGTCGAAGTCTTGATGAAGATGAATCCGTACGGACAACCTAGCAGTGGTGCACCTTATCGCAATGTCATGAGCGAACTCAACCAAGTCTACACCATTGGCCACCACGGCAAGTGGAAACCGGAAAATTGCGATGGCATCCTCGACCACGTACCGGCGAAAGAATACTTCGAAGTTATTGGAAAGCTTGCTTTCCTAAGTTAAATTTAGTATATAGAGTTGTAGAGGGATCGGATTTTCAAGCTAGTAAAACCTTACGACTTTGCATTTACCCTATTGGCTGAAGTTTACCCGAAATGTACAAATGTAGTTTAGTCTAAAATCAGGTACGTACCTCTCTTAAAAAACCGAAGCCATCGGCTTTGGTTTTCAACGTATTTAATTGGAAAGCCTTGCCGGCAAGCTTTCCAATTAGCACAACTCGTTGTGCTACAGGGTATTTTACGTATTAACGGAGACTCAACCACCGGTTTTGGCAGATTGCCAACAGGTGTTGCCGAAGCCCTAGTAGCCTTGGGTTTAGTTTGGGTGATGCAACCACCCAACGACCAGCGCATCCCGCCGTTCTGGCAACAGATGCTGGAGCGAGAGGTAGTGATAGACTTTATCGATAGCCTACCATTATGTAAGATAATCATACATATACTATAGATAGTCAAGGAGAGATATTCTCTCCCTTTTACAACAATCAAGTTCATTACCATATAAGATACTCTCGCCTAGGCTTCCAACTGCTGGATGGTTTAAGAGGTTTAGAGTTGGTGTATAGTACATTAGCATAATATTCACAGGTGCAAAGGACATTGGTATGGTTAGGAATACACGCGGCGGAGGATAGGTTGTAATTAGCAGTCATACTCGTTACTGATAAGTTTTTGATTTCTCATTTATTGCACATCAGCGTACTCCACCTCATGAAAACTTCATCATCACCGTTACACTGAGTCTTCAATACTTAGTCTTGCACACATACCTATCATTACTATACATTATTATTACTATTCAACTGATACATACTACACTATAATATCACAACTAATCCAATACACCTTAAGGTATTAAATTACCAATGTTATAACCATGATAAAGAAGGCGCATTGTGAATATCTATAACTCGAACGCGCATCACCATAACACAACAACAAAGCATTGCTAAACAACCCATTTTCCTGCATTCGCATGGTGAGACAAGAACCCGAACACGTTGAATAGTCGTGACAATGAGAAAACTTATAACGAGCTAAATGATGTAGGCCCAATGTTTAGGATTCTAGGTAGTTACATGGATAAGGCATCTAGAGTAAAGAATACTTTCAGTACCTCATGTATAGCTCCCTGTCAGAGATACTCCCTGATGGATGTCATACGTAGAGTAAATGTTAGAAGTAGCAGCTTTGCTGCTATATAGTAGTCGTGTAGTAATGTGAAATTATTAACGCTTAACCTTCTACTCTCTTTCGAGGGCGCGTAGCGCTCCTTATATATTTATCTCATGTGGATTTATACTTAATTCATACCAGTATCACTTATACCCTAATACTCTTATAGTTAGCTTAGAATTCCTCGGAGAATAGCGAAGTTGTTCCCATGTTTCTTATTCGAACTGATGACAGTCCTTGCTGCCTTCCTCACGGTCGAGCAAGACAACAAAACAAAGACTCTTGTAAGTAATGCTGGATCTGAAAGTCATGTAAATCGTGCCACCGTCTTACGGGAGGCAAATACATGCACTTTAACCGAGCCTATACCAATTGCCAATTCTCGGGATTGCATATTATAAGAGGATGCTACTTAAGAGAGAGTTGCTAGGCACTTGTAAAAGTATTTAAACCCCCCCGAGGGAGCTGCCCCCATATTGGTACTCCTGTACAATACAATATCATTATCTCTGTGAACTGATCGAATGACTTAGTAGCTTATAGGTATTCCTTGCAGCTGCCTGAAGACAACATCTTGCTACTTCTTTTCCTAGGATTCGGATCTACTCCACAACATATTTAGAAAGTGCTTTCGATGTAAAGCAAGATGTACATGAAGCATCAGCCAATATTCGTGAAACTACCTACGAATATACGAACGCTCATCTCCGAGCTTTGCGTATACCATTCCTACCATTCTTCCGAATCCTTCTCCGCAAAATCACCCAACAACACGCCTTGCTGCTGCTGATGCAGAAGTCGCCAGGCGGCTGCGCAAAGGTCTCTTCCGGGGAAGTGTCCTGGGTTGTTACAGTCCGTGCAGTAGACTTCCGGGCTCTCGGTGCAGTTTACCTGAAAATGGTCGCCTGCGCAGCGGGAGCAAGCCTTGGCCGGTTCAAGGTTGTTGCACTCGATAAGGAGATGTCCCAGCTCGCCGCAGTTTGCGCACTGGACTGCGGGGCACGACGACTTGATGTGGCCTATCTCGTAGCATCTACTGCACGTCGCCCTCTCGACGCAATGTCTATCTTCGTGGCCCCAGCCAAGGCAGTGGTTGCAGAAGAGTATCTTCGAGACGCACTGTTTGGCCTCGAGATATTCGTATATCATACAGAGGTGCCTTGCTGGTGAATGTCTGGCTTTCTTCTTCTGACTTGCGTAACTCGATTGGTTCATTAGGATGATCTCCCCCTGGATACTGCGCGTATGCGCAGTAGCGTTCAAAAATACGTTTCCGGTATATCCTGGCTTTGTGGTTCGCGTGTAATCAATGATTACGAGGTCTGCTCCTTCGCCGTGGAAGCTGTCTACTGTGCCAACGCGAACTCGCTTGGCTATCGTCTCGGCAGTGGTGTGAAGGCGAGACTGTAGTACTTCTCGACGACGGAGAGCAAGCTCTATCTCCGTGACTTGGGCTTTATAGTAACATAGAACGGCGATGGTTCCGGGTCGTTTGCCGTCTACCGATGTAAATGCGGGATCATTCAGGAACCGTTCTAGAGTTTTGAGTACGTAATGAACATGATAGTCGTTCTTGAATGACTTGAATACACCCTGCTCGTCAGAGTTGGTAATGTCGACGATGACACGGACACTCTTGCGGAGGCCGGTCAACTCGGCGATTATGCCTTGAACGACGTTGACAGATGGTGGGAAATGATCCTGGATGCTGGACTTCATCAGATTTTCGTAAAACAATTCACTTGTCATCTCCTGCAAGCATCCGTATTGCCGGTGATTGTAGAACAGCCCGGGGAGAGCAGCACCGGCGCGCTTGATCCTGTCCAAGCACGATAGGCCGATTTGGTTGTCGAAAGCTACGAGCGTGTCCTTACGGCGGTTAACTACCGGGACTTGCTGATGAGGGTCGCCAAGTAGCATGAATAATTTCGCGGAGGGGAATGAGGAGATGGTCATGATCGTCGTCATCTCTCTCGAGCGTGTATTCTCGTCCATGATGACGAGAGTCGGATGGAATTCCTGTCTGAAAAGGATACTGCGGGCTGTCGAGGGAGTAGCGAGGACGATGTCGGCTTCCTGTAGCTTAGCCTTGTAGATACTATTGATTGGCTCGTCAACGCGTCTGTCTGAGGGATTGAACAGATTGTATTCCTCTGAGCGGTTCTGGACTTGTAGTAAAGTAGAATTAACATCCTTGGAGGCTCTTCTCTCCGATTCCTGCTCCGCAAGCTGATGGAATTCATCTAAGATCGACTTGGTGAGATATTGGTCTATGGTATCGAGCTCGTTGGGTACCTGGCTGGAAGCTGGCTGGCTCAGGGTGTCCACCGCCACTCTAATGTCCGTAGACGTTGTATAGACCCTTTCTATACGAGGAAATGCATGGGGAGGTGCTCCGTATTCCTCAAGCGAGCGCCTGAAGCTTGGTTCATAATTATCGAGAACCTGGTGCTGCTCTGCTAAGATCAAGACCCGATTGCGAGAACCAGGGGGAGTCTGCTCTGCTATGTGCATCAGGGCGTAAAACTTGACGAATGTTAACCTGCCAGACGCGGCTACTCCTGGAATTACTGCTAGTCCGCAGGGAAGACGCTTCATTTCTTCGTTAAACAGCTGCTTCTTGCATTCGTCGAAGTCGTTGTACATCGATTGTAAGTGGGCTGGCGCTGTACCGGCCAGAGCGTGTGCCATCCCCGGGAATATGGCGAAGTGATTGACTACAGAGTGAGGTTTAGGCTTTTCTAAGCTGGGTAACCATCTGTAGATATCTAGTGCTAATAGACTAGGCACCGGATTCCCGCGTCGTGTGGAAGCAGGGTGTTGAATCTCTGCGTAAGCTTCCATCTCCTGCTCTAATATCTTCGGGACGAGCTTAGGCGTAATCTTGCAAGTTAAGGTATCATCGTTCGTCAGCATCCGTTGGATATAGTCGCCATAGCTCTCTCCCTCTGGACGCTGGAGGTTAAAGCTGGCCCTCCTCCCAAATCCGCCGCACGATTCGTACTACGGCTCGAGCGGGATCTTTGCGAGGAAGACCCTAAACCTACTACCGAAGAGAGTGAAGACGGTGTCGGTTGCTCTAGCATTCCACGTTGCAAGCTTGCGTTCTAGAGTCATATCCTTGACTTGGGGCATACGAAGATAGTTCTTGTGCTTCGCAACGAATTTTCTTAGAACCGAGATGTCCACCATACGTTCAGACACCCAGAATCCTGAAAGAATTCCTTCTAGCTCGGTACGTATAGCCTTGGCCTTCTTAGCACCTATCTGTTCTGCATCTTTGATCACATTGCAATAGCTGACAAAGTCTTCGGGACCCATTGCTGACGGCTCTTCGAGATTTTCATATGCAATCCTGCCCAGTACTTCGGGTAGTTCTTTGGCTATATTGACGTCGTATAGTGGGTTCTTGGTGCGCTCTACCTGCAAAACCCGGATTTCGCATTCCGTAGCTGAACTTGGGAGGTGAGTGTTAGAGCCAGGACTTATGCGGACTGCGACGGCCACGGTTGAAGGATTGTCTAAGTCGTCGAGGCTCTCTGGGAGAACGATTATGTGGCATTGAAACTCTTGTAATATCCTTTTGTCGCTAAAGATCTGAGCACGAGTTATATGGTCGATAGTACCGTAGGCCTGAGTAATCTTGAACTGCCGGTCGTCGAAGAATCTCGAAATTATTCCTATAGTTGGAATAGGAGGTCTTACGACATTCCGGGTGCCTTCAGAAGCATCTTTTTCACCCGCCTCGAGGATATTCCGGATATTGATAAGCTCTTTCTTCGGAGAACGAGCAAACCAGCGAGCGAGCGGATCTGATACCATGCCCGAAACTAAAGAGATGGCCTTGAAGGCGCTGAGCTTGCTTGATCTATCCGCGAAGTATTTACTAGGCTCAATCATGGCAATCTCTTGTAGCCATTTCTCTTTTGCGGCACTTCGGTCTTCGCCGACCAGGAACGTAACCTCACGAGGAGTGTTTGTACTGACCGAATCAGCAAAGCCCTGGAGCAGTTTGATCTGCCCCTTTTCAGTCTCGCCCATTAGTCGAGCCTCTTCATAATACAAGAGTGCTCGAGAGCATCGCAACGACAAGCGAAGCGAGCCCGACGATGCCTGTAAAGGGGCTTCACAGAGATCTAGTGGATTAAATTTCCGGTTTAAATAGGATGTAGTAGCATCCTGCGACAATCTAGTGCATGAAACATGCGACATTGATTGTAAATAAAAATCCACCCCGGCGATCCAAGTGGTTCCCCCATGGCTATTCCCAACCTCAACATTGCGATACATATTGAGTTTAATGAGATGGTACGTATCGGGGTGAGCAATGAGCTTGAGTTTGAACTCAAATTGGTCCGTAGCAAATCTACCGAAATCGAGGATATTGTCCGAAGTGTGTCGGCTTAGGGGGGTGGTCTCAAGAATAACGAGGCAGGGAAGTAGAGTGGAAGGCATTGATTCTTCGAGGTTTGTTCTGTCATTATGCGTCTTGGATGCCATTGTTAGCAATATGTTACCTGTAAAGTCTTGGAACGAAGGGATACTTACACCACCCCGGTCATTATGACCAGTGGAGCTTAGGTGTCGAGAGGTATCCATGTTGCTTAGATGAGAGCTAAGTAGAGGACTCCCTAAATACGATTCGCCGCCTGCAAGAGAAATAGTATAAGCATCCATGAGTCCTCGAGGTATCTCTAGGGATATATGTGAGAGGATGGGATAGTGAATAGTTAGAGTGGATGTTTGAGATGATGAAGACTTACCTCAAGTTCGATTTGATCAAGTGTAGATGTGCTTGCTGCCTCAGTCTACATAGGTGTTAACGAGTGTAATTTCGTGAGGTAGATAAGTGATGCGAACTTACCTATCTCTAGATACCTAACCTAGGCACGCTTTCGAACTATCTCGTCTTCGAAGTTGGTAAAAAAGTTGAGAGTTATGTGCTGTGTGGTGAATAAGTTGGTGGGGGATCTTTGTAAATATAAACCACTGCAAGGGGATGGAAAACTTGAATAGGCCTGTGAAAATATTTTAAGATGTCCTCTTAGGTGCCTTAGGTGCCTTACTATGTATTGAAAGAATAAAAATACATAAAAGGTTCCTTCTCGATCTTGCTAGCAGCAGTTTGATCTTGTAGGTGTTGGGGAAGTTCCAGTTACTTTGTTGCTGGCGGGTACTTTCCTTTGGAATTCTGGCATCAGTGGTGCGAGTGTGGACGACTGTGAACGACTGTGAAGGAGTGCTGGATAGTTTTGTAAGCAAGACAGTTGGGCAGTTGGTTTCTGATGTTTTTGCGGCTGTGCTCTCGTTCAAGGGGCGACGTCTACTCTACCGTTCCGGACGTTTCATTATACGCATCTAGTCCTCATATCAGTCGCTAGGATAATAGCCTCTAGTTGAGCTCTCGCCTATGTCTCTAGGGCTCGTATTGGTCTTGGTGAGGTAGAATTGCAGATCGAGCTGTAGAGCCAGGTGTGCGCATAGAAGGCGTGAAAATACCTTTCATATTCCTGCAAGGAACTCTAAGGCTAGAATATGAAAGTCGGCGGTTTTACGTAGGTACCAATACCCTTCTTTCTAGACGTCTCATATGCCTAAACTCTTAACAGTACTGCCGTCTATCGAATGAAGTCCAATTATATTACAGTATGTAGACTCGTGTAGGTATATCTAGGTGCGAGCCATACTCCATATGTAATTCAACAGTCTCATGCAAGAAGGTTATTAATAATGATTATGGTAGCGTTTACGTCTATTGGTCTGTTATAGGCTACCTATGTAGATACAGCTGCGCATCTTTGGCGCTTTTAGACGTCCAGAGTACTCCCTTGAGGGAGGGGGGGGCAAAGCCAGAGTATTGCTTAACATAGGAAAAAAAAGGTTATTAAGCGTGATCGATCAGTTAGGCCCATCGACTGTGATTAGGACGTCAATACTTAGTCTACTGAAATTTCCCAATATTCTCCAAAGATCAAGAAACGCGAGATCTCACCTATCTAAAGTAATATTAGGTACACGACTACCTCCTGGCTGCAATCTCATTTAATTGTTTTGGTTAAGGTATTAGCAAATATTTATAAAATGTTGGTAGAAAAGTATGAGGCATTATCCTTCTTTAGTTTCTGCGTCAATTTATACTAGACGATCTAGCCTATCAAGTTTAACCGGTTGTTTACTTCATGAAGGTCTTATCTAGAACGGTCATATGCTAGAATTAACTAACAATATTATTCTCCACTATATTATTGTACCTTAACGTTACAAAGGGACTCGATGGCTGCAGTTATTATGATAATGCAGTCCCTGAAGGGTTGTATATCTGGTTACTCGTCATTTTGGTAGAGACTAACCACGACTATTGTTAGGGCATACGTGGGTTAGGGGTAGCTGTAAGGGTCTATCTACTATAAAAGAGGCGCGTGGCGTCTTTATAACAGTAGAAGACAAGCGTTATTAGTTCAATACTATTTGCTATCTAATCTAAGTATCTATCCCAGCACTCACTCTGTGTATGGTAACTACCAAGGGTATAAACTATCTAACAGCTATTACATCCACGATTCATCGACATTATCTTCAAGTTAAAGAGTTATACTGGCGTTTCTCGCCGTCTAGTTAATTCGATAGGAGGAACCTCTTGCCTTAGGTATAAAAATTCATTTAATTCCTCGTCTAATACGAGACCTGATTATCGCCACTTCTCTATCTATATGGTTCTCATGTAGGCTAGTACGGGTTTAATGCTAATATTTTGAGCATTTCGTTCCTAAGACTTGAAACCAGCATGGTTATTGTCCTAGCAATAATGTCTCGGCTTAATTCCTAGGCACAGGAGGATATTATAAAAAGATACGGATAGTTCAAGTCATTATGTTAAATACCCCCTTTTAACTAGTAGCCTAGCATTCATAGAGTTGTTTTTTTATTGATATTATCCTCTTCTATATATTTAATATTTCCATCCTGCCTATTAGATTGTTTGGCTGTGGATGGACTATATAGTACCGCGTGTGTGGATTGAAATAATTATATTCGCTGGTTTCGCAGGTCCCCATTCCCAAGAGGTAAATAGGCCAAGGATCATTGATCAAGGTCCGTTTTATGGTTATGTACTTAAGGTAGTTAAGAAGCAACGTTAGACTAGGATCATGGTTCATAAATTATAGCGTCTAATCCCCAGACTATTCATCTTGTAATTTAAGTTAGTCCTATATACCTTATGGTGCGAGAGGAATTAATCTGAAGTCTTTACTACAACAATTGTCGTGTTCTGATCGAGATTAAGAGAGATATATAAAAGACTAAGAATGTAAGAATATTAACACTCATTAAGATCTGTTGCTATAAATATACATCCAGCTGCGGCTGATGTATCATTCCTTTTAACCTAGAGTAAAGAGAAGATTGGTTCGGAGTAGCCGGGGATTCCCCACCTAACTGTTCCTCCTTTACCAGGCAGCAGGCTGATGCCTTGATATCTCGTCGAAGATAAAAACTAACCCACAAGAGTATAGATTCGTTGACTTTTATTCAAGCAGTTTCTCAAAATATTGAATCAATCATGGTACGAGGAGTCGGCCAACTTCTGGGTTTTTCCCGGAAGAGGATACTAGACGAAACGCCACCGCCAGCGCCCGTGCCAGTGCCAATTGATCCTGCGCGCTGCAAGATGGAGCAGAGGGTACCGCTCGCGAGCGAGATACTAGATCACCCGGACTCAATTAACTCTCAGTTACAATCCCCTCTCTTCGGAAAGCTCCCCAGAGAGTTGCGCGATTTGATTTGGCGCTTCTCTCTAACGCGATACGAAGATCTCGACCAACTCTACGATATCCAGAAGCCCTATGCTAGGCCCGGGCAAGCTGCCCCACTACGGGTAGCTGTTCAGCTGCTTCAAACGTGCCGGGCTGTATACGTCGAAGCCTTTCTTACGCCCTTCCAAGTCAACCCCATAGTGGTATTCCACGGCAACAACAACGATATTCCTCCGGGTATCCCGCTGATGCGCACGACGGAGGATCAAGTCCTATGCAGGAAGCTAAGATTCTGGCAATTTGCAAATATATCATCCGTTGAGATAACACTGCAGCAGGTAAATTTGGAAGGTGGTGAGTTTAGTCCTAAATACCTCGATATCGTCCGTTGAAGAATGTGTACTCTAATTCAGTTGCTGACGCTAATATTAGGTGGACTCGAGCGAGTGTCTCGTCTGATTGGAACGATAGGTCGGCATCATGGGCATGAGAGTAGAGGCTACGCGGTTACAGGTTACGCGTCTTTTGTGTCGCCTACTGAGCCCGACAGAAGCACTAGCGAGGCCGACTCGAAGGAAGAATATAATAACCAACTATCATCTCTACCGAACCCACTTATCGGTAGAAAAATTACTCGTTTATCTATCCGCATGTCTCGCACTGACTGGTGGGGTTGGGAGAGTAGACCCGACGAGGGTGACGTATCTCCTTCGGCGAGACTTCGTTTAGAGCCTATGATTAATGTCACAGACCTCTGGAAGAGGCCTGCCAACTACTTGGCTATGACGAAAGGGTACGAGGCACGGAAAGCAGGTAACGAGCCTGACTTCCAACTGGACGATTTTGAAAAGCAGGGGCGCTGGGGCTCTCAGATACGAGAGTATTGGCCAGACCTCACAACGCTCGAGCTTGTCTTGGAGACATTTTCATGCAAGAAGAATCAGCTGGATAATGTCGTTCAGTGTGCTAAATTGTGGACGTTTCCACTAGAGGACGGATTCCACCTTGCGTGGAATGGTAAAGAAGAACTAATCCGATGGCGCGGTGCTCAGTCTTATAAGTATGAGCACTATGACTGGTTTAGGGCCCATAACGTACCTCAAGCTACCGAAGCGCAGAGTTCAGAAGCGATTCAATGGAGGCCCTCTCAACGCAGTAGTCGGAGTGATAAAAATAGCCAGGAATTCATTATCCAGACATTGACTTTTGAACGGAAAAGAGTTGAAGGCTATACCGATGCGGACAGATCTTAAACGTCGCGTGAGAGTGGAGGAATTTAGGTCGGGTTTAGGAGCTGAGGTAAAATTTCCATCTAACAGACATATTATACTATTTATGAAGCTTTAGTGATGTTATTCGTTTACTATTATTTTATTTGGTGTTATTCTGTGTATAGTGTTATGCAGTGTTATGGTCTAAGTGTGCTCCCTATAATACCTTAGGTAATCAGCTAGGTGTCTATCTATGTAGATATAAGGTTATTTATCCAATTACCTAACCATAACTCGTACTTATTACGTTAAGTGATCCACATACTGTTATACACACTTAAATCACTTAAATGGTTGATATTGGGTACACACATATGACTGATCGTATATACATTAGGTAGCTGTACGTAGCACAATTTACATTATTCTACTCTAAGATGTTGCCTATTAAAATACGTAAGCAAGCCGGAATACCGAATTAAGTATGAAGCTATGAAGAAGCATACACCTCTTGACCGGCGAATTGCTACTATACGAATCTCGTTAGATATGACCTCATGAAGCAAACACGGCAATAATTCAAAATTCAAAAGTCTGCTCTGGCTTATTATTCCGCCGAGGGTAACCTTGTCTACCCCGCATAATTACCTAAAAGACCGGGGCATTCCCCGCACACAACCTCGAGCTTCCCCAAAACAGACACCGTCACCCGGCCGGGGAAGCAATTCTCATTCGTATACGGAGAACTAAATCAGAAGCACGCTGCATACTAGCTAAGAAAAGGGCCGATAAAAAAATAAGAGTACGAATTGATTGTTGGCAAGAGGGGAGACCTTTTGGATTGAGAGATTGGTAGGTATTCGGGTATTGTAGGTGAATGAAATAGAATTGGATCTTTGTCGTTATTAGAGTTGTTTGTTTTGGAGGTGTTTCCAACTATGTATTTACTATATCTAAAGAGTTAAAGAAAGCAGTCAATACAGCTTAGGTACCTGTTAGATGTTGTAAACAAGAAGTTGTTTTCTTCTGGTCTAGTGTGTACAAGCGGGGCTCACTCAGGGTAAACCTCGGGAATTCCTTCCAATCCCCCACAGTGTTTACGGCAGAACGGGTGGTATGTGGAGCACCTTTGCAAGGGGGTATTCAGTAGTCCCGGCACCTTGGCACCCTAAATTACAGTGCAACTTACACTTACTTGGTAGTTAACATGTACATATGATAACTTAAGAATAGGGAATAGGAGAAACATACCACTTCATTTCATAGTGTTATTCAATATACGTTAATAAGTAGTCTATAGAATAATATATATTCTACACAAAACTTTCTATACACGTCCTTCCTGTATAATAAATGCCATAAGAGACATTAATTATACATGTTAATAACTCAACTCCCCCTGAAGATCTTTCCCTGACGCTTTATATTTAAACATGTACATACCTCATGTCTCTAATTAGTCAATGCGTCATAATCCTTGGGGGCGAGAGCTGTAGGGATTTCCTAACGTGATCTTCCTTGTCTTCGACCGCCCATTAATGCTTTGTTAAAATGTACTACTACCCGTTCTTGGGAAATCTCGCCGATTTTTATGACGCCACAGGACGCGTATTTCTTAATGATCAACTGTTACATAATGTTTGCTATGTCTTTTCTTGTCTAATATACGCCAGTAGTAACTCGATTTGTCTTGTCTAGTTTAGTTTCCCAACTGGAATCGGATTCTTAGCTAACCCTCCAAGCGGAGAACCCTGCTCTTCGTGGGTTCGCCGTAACCTTGTAGCGTGGAGAACCGTGCTGACTACCTAGGAATCTCGAGAATCCAATCTCTCTCACCTTGATTAGTCGCATGCGAATTGCTGATCACTTGATCCGCTGCTTTACAGGGGTAGCAACAGATTTCAATGTTATTAATAGGGAGACCTGTGCTCGATTTTATTGTCCTTTAGTAGTCCATCCCTCTCGGACCTCACCTTGTCTTCTCATCGGATAGAACGAACTTCATACGAACGTTACTACCGTATGATAGTCGCGATGCGTTACGCTTCGTGGGTCGCCTTATTGGCGGTGACCAGGTATACAGCAGCAAATGCGGTTAGTCACCCCATCCATGCATCCTCCTGTATTTCCCTCGGGCATCCTCGCACATTCCTCTTCATATCATCCATAGTACCGAGAAGACTGTCGTGAAGTTTATCTCCATCAATTTAGCATCGAGATCTAGATTCTTTCGCGCCAGTCGTATCGTATACGAAATAGCTTAAATTCAAAATCTTATGTTCTCTGATGTCGTGATCTGATCACAGTTAAGCCAAGGCTTTTTCACCATGCAGCTCCACAGATCTTTGGCACAAATATTGCCGGTTTCGCAGTTCGTAATATCTGACAATTCGCAGGTTGAAAAGCGAGATCTCGCCTACTCCGAGCCGCACTATCCTTCGCCTTGGATGAACCCTACTGCGCAAGGATGGGAAGATGCTTATGCCAAAGCTAGAGAATTCGTCTCCCAGCTTACACTAGCAGAGAAGGTCAATCTAACAACCGGTGTCGGGTGAGTATTTGCATTCTAAATATTCACAGAGCTGTATCGGCTAACGAAATCTAGTTGGCAAGGGGAGCAATGTGTTGGCCAAGTTGGTTCTATTCCTAGACTGGGTTTCCGTAGTCTTTGTATGCAAGACTCTCCGTTGGGCATTCGTTTTGCGGACTATGTCTCAGCTTTCACGTCTGGTCAAACTGTGGCGGCTTCGTTCGACAGAGACCTCATCTATCGACGAGGCAAGGCAATGGGCGAAGAGAATAAAATTAAAGGCGTCGACGTACTTCTAGGGCCAGTAGCTGGACCTATCGGGCGAGCGCCGGTAGGTGGACGTAACTGGGAAGGATTTTCTCCCGACCCATATCTGACCGGCGTCGCAATAGCCGAGACCGTCAAGGGAATTCAAGATGCCGGCGTGATTGCTTGCGCTAAGCACTATATCGGTAACGAGCAAGGTTAGAAGGATTAGATGACCATTTTTGAAATGCAACTGCTAATACAGATGCAGAACATTTTAGACAAGTCGGCGAGTCTCAGGACCGTGGATACAACATTACCGACACTCTGTCGTCAAACATCGACGACAAGACAATGCATGAATTGTATTTATGGCCATTCGCGGACGCGATCCGAGCCGGCGTCGGTTCTATCATGTGCGCGTACACGCAAATCAATAATTCATATTCTTGTCAAAAGTAGGTGCCAAGTGGTTGGTTGCGATTATATTTCTGTGCTAACGCGCTTTTCCCGTTTTATAGCTCCAAGGCGTTAAATGGCCTCCTCAAAGGCGAATTAGGATTCCAGGGATTTGTCATGTCAGACTGGCAGGCGCAGCACTCTGGCGCGGCCAGTGCCGTAGCCGGGCTTGACATGACGATGCCCGGAGACACCCTCTTCAACTCCGGATTCAGTTTCTGGGGCACTAATCTTACTCTTGCGGTGCTAAATGGAACAGTGCCACAGTACCGAGTTGACGATATGGCGATGAGGATCATGGCGGCTTATTTCAAGGTTGGCAGAACATTAGATCAGATCCCAATCAACTTTGATTCGTGGACTCGGGATACCTTCGGGCCTATCCATTACGCTGCCAACGAGGGTCATCAGCAAATCAACTGGCACGTAGACGCCCAAGAAGATCACGGAGATCTTATCCGGGAGATAGCTGCCAAGTCAACCGTGCTGCTCAAGAATAACGGTGTTCTCCCGCTAAAGAAGCCCAAGTTTCTCGCCGTCATCGGGGAGGATGCCGGTCCTAACCCGTTAGGTCCGAACGGCTGCTCTGATCGAGGCTGTAATAAAGGAACTCTCGCAATGGGATGGGGTTCGGGAACCGCCGACTTCCCTTACCTCGTCACTCCCATCGATGCGTTGCAGGTACAAGCTCTCGAAGACCGTACTCGTATCGAAGCTGTTTTGGATAATTCCGCGTCGACGACGATTGAAACCTTGGTCAAGCAAGAAGGGGCTATCGCCCTAGTATTTGTCAATGCTGATTCCGGCGAAGGCTATATTAGTGTTGATGGTAATGATGGGGATCGTCGCAACTTAACACTTTGGGGCAACGGCGATGAGCTTATTAAAAACGTCTCATCTTGGTGTAATAATACAGTGGTTGTTATACACTCTGTTGGACCTACGCTCGTATCGGACTGGTACGATTCACCCAACGTTACTGCTATCTTATGGGCTGGTTTACCGGGTCAAGAAAGCGGCCGCTCGATTGTAGACGTACTATACGGAAAAGTCAATCCTGCTGCCCGAACGCCCTTCACGTGGGCTAAAAGTCGAGAAGACTATGGTGCTGACGTCCTATATGAGCCCAACAACGGCAACGGCGCACCGCAGCAAGACTATACCGAGGGTGTATTTATCGACTATCGGGCCTTGGATCGTGCCAAGATCGATCCTATCTTCGAGTTCGGATTTGGATTGTCGTACACGACGTTCGAGTATTCGGATATCCAAGTCGAGAAGGCCAATGTCGAGGAGTATAAACCCACAACAGGGAAAGGTGCCGAAGCCCCAATCTTCGGTAACTACTCAACAGAGCTTGAAGACTACCTCTTCCCAGAATCCTCTTTCCCTTATATATGGCAGTACATTTATCCGTACGTGAACACGACATCATCGCTCGAGGATGCATCCATGGATCCTGAATTCGGAAAGACTGCAGAACAGTTCCTGCCTCCGGGAGCGCTAGAGTCTACCGCACAAGACCTCGACCCTGCCGGACCAGGACTTACGGATCAGCCAGGTGGTAACACCGGATTATTCGATGTCTTGTATACGGTAACCGCTAAAATTACCAACACTGGCGATGTGGTGGGCGACGAGATCCCGCAGCTCTATGTTTCCCTTGGTGGAGAGGATGATCCGTCAGTAGTCCTCCGCGGCTTTGATCGGATTCAAATTGACCCAGGCTGCACCGAGGTTTTTACGGCAACCTTAACACGACGTGATGTTAGCAACTGGGATGTTGAATCTCAGAACTGGGTCATTACTAGCTCTGCCAAGACCGTGTTCGTCGGTCCCAGCAGTCGCAAGTTGCCCTTAAGCGCCCCGCTATCATAGGATATAGTGACAGATATTGAATATAATTTCTAGCCAAGCGAAGTCGACAAGGGATTAAATACCTGGGTACCTATTAATCATGTTAATAGTTAGCTAGATGCAAACATTCTTGTATATAATCTATAATATTAATTCTTGGACTATTGGTTGATCACAACCCTCGATAAATCAGTGTAATGTGTGAGGTGAGAGGTGAATAGTTGAATAATGGAAAGATACCTATGATTGATGAAGGTGCTGACAAACGTTGCAAACATTGCACTGTGAAGCCAAATTAAACATAAGGTTTTCGGCCCGCTAGCTTGGACCCACACCCGCAACTTCAATTCAATCCGTACATAGGTACCTAAGTACCAAGTACCTATGTAACTCATATAATTCCAGTCTTATACAGCTATATCTATCTTTTCTCATGCCGCCCAGCACAACAACATCGCATATATATCCGAGTGTCTTTATTGAAAGACAGTTTACCAGCCAGGGAGACCAGGGAGCCCTAGGAAGAAAGAATGGTTAGCATATATATGTCTTATATGAAAGATAGGGAGACCACTTACAGTCGTCACCAATATCTTCCTTAACACTTTGCGACTTGACACAGTCTACGGCAGCCTGGTCTGTCTGTCTCTGCAGCGGCGAGCAGCGGTCGCCGGAGCACTTTCCATCCATAGCCCTCTGGAGGGCGTCGCCTTTCCAACCGAACAGATAATCGCCGTGCAGGCCATATCCTGTGGTGTCGTTCATACTCCATACAAACGGCTGAGACCCATCTGCAGGCCACTCGGCCTTGTTGTTGAAAGCACGTGTGTCGAACATGATCTCATACATGATCTGCGGGATCTTGACCGGGTGGGTTGAAGGACAAGCACCACCGCTCTCGAACGTTCCCGAAGCAGGATACGCCACGTGGGACTTGTGGTCGGGCGAATCTAAGTTCTTGCCGTCCCAACATGATGGGAAATGCACAGATACTCGCCATCCTCCACCGCATGCGTCCTTGGGGAACGCTTGCGTGTCTGACCCTGTGCAAGGGGCGCTATAGCAAGTCAGCAAACGTCTTCATTGCGGCTCGTTCAACTTACCCCCCGAATGGATTCTGGGCCATATTAACTTCACATCGGTAGCAGAGGCCCTTCTGCATTGTGCTGGCTTGTCTGTTCATCGGATCGCCGACAAGCATTCGGAAGCCCTGACCAAAATAAGCAAAAAAATATTTTCAAGATTTTCAGAACCTACTTACCGGCGGGAATGCAGTAACTTTGGCATTAGGCTGGTAACCACGGATGTAATAGACAGTCATGCCGGCCTCGACGTTAAGTCCTAGGTTGGCAAACTGTGGTACTCGTTTATAGGTGCCGTTGCGAGCCCGGAAATATAGGTTGGCCGTCCAGTAGTTGGAAAAGTCTTCGGAATAGGTACAACTAGTACAAGTGGAGACCGTAGGCGGGTCGTGGTCGTTAGGTTTCATGGAAGCGTTAAGAGAATTTCCGCCGATGATCTGGTGCATGTGTGCCGAGGGCATATTACCCGGCTCTACCAGCGGGTCGATTCTGTCGATAGTAAGCTGGGAGCATCCGAAGCGCATAAGCTCTTGCGCAGCAGCCATGTGGACGGCTGCCGCTGCGGGCAGAAGAGATTTCAACAGCATGTTGACTCAGAATATGAAAATTTGCTTAGAGAAAGCAAAAAGATCAAAACAGCCAGCCGGTGAAAGCGAGCAGGTCTTCATGTTTATATTCTTCGCCGAGACGGCGTAATTCGTGGTTCCCCGGGTAAAGCCAAGGCGGACGGAGTGGTAGGGCTCCGTGGTTATTGGTTAGGTAGCTATGGCAATGCAACTGCCGCTCGACAAAACCTTGCCGGTTAATATAACCCTAGGGTCTGGGGGACAGGGCCGGGCAGCAAATCTGATGAGAAGCTCAAATTAGCTGTGGCGGACGCATGCCTATTCCGACATATTAAGCGGGGCAAAGGACTCGGTAGTGTTCCAATAATCGAATCAAGCCTTCGTCTAAGTAGCCCAACGTCATTGAACTCCAGCTCAGCACCGCGCGAAGACCCCTTCTAGATAGGACGGAGCAAGCTTCCTTAGCACATACGGGCGTGGATCCATCTCAGCATATGCCGAGACCCCCTTTCCAAATTTATTTATATCATCCCAGCAAAACTAGAAGCACAACCATCTGCCTGGGCATTCCCTGGGCGATGGTATCGAGAGAGGTGAATCGCGCACGTGTAGGCGCATATGAGATTTAATATACCACAAGGCCTATAAGCGATTATAAATCTACCGGATCAGGAAAATTTGCCCACTCGAATAGATAGAATATGCATTTTTGTCATTCTTCCTCCCCCCTTACCCCTATATCCCTGAAATGGCCGAGAATACTGACACCGCCTCATATAACATGACAAATTCTTGTGGCGAATAGGAGCCGCTCTAACCGCTAGAATTATTGAGATGTTGCAATCCCAGGGCTAGTCTAATATCGAGCGTATGATGAGGAAGTGCCGTGATAGGTATCGATTTTTTTTCTACTCGGCGGCGTTTCGAAATCAGTACACCTACATTCCTCACTGCAATATAACCATAATTACTTGTTGGTTTGTAAGAGTTTACAGCGCAGATAGACATCTTGAGCGCTGGTTCTGGAAATGTAATTTCGACCTGACATACTTGATAATAATTTACCTACCCAAATACCTTAGGTAGGCAAGAAAAAAAATAGATTAGGTTCTCATCCTCTACGACTACTAGCTACTATTGGTTAGTATACTAAATATAATCAACATTGTAAGCTATTTCCAAGTCTCCCAGGTATATCGCAGGAACGACTAAATGGTTATTCCCGTTTCCTAAGGATATGGTCTTTTCTTTATAGCGAACATCTGGAGCCATGTAACAGTATTTGAGCAACACCATATCCTTAGCTAATCCCAAAAATTCCAAAACCCGAGGGATGGGTATATAACATGTAATCCTACCGTAGCTGCATATGACAACTTATTTATCCCGAGGCCTAGCCCTTTCGTCAATTAGCAAGTCTTATTATGGGACGAATAAACTTCTGAATAGCCGTTCACGTTACCTAGGCAGGTTATGAATAGGTAGAGATTTTACTTGATTGCCAACGTGATAATTACCTAAGTGATATAGTTCCCATCATAACCACAACCAAAGTACAAACCTACTACACTAGTATTACGAAGAATACGCAGGTGCTATTCAAAATATTTATGAATTAATGCCACGCCTTGAGACATGAAGAGAGAAACAGAGGTTGTATAGAGTAAATACAAGTATTAAACAGCAACGAAAATATCCTACTAAGATACACGGCTTATCCTTCAAACCACTGGTGTTATGCTACTGACACATTGCATCTATGCATACTTCTCTAAACAGCACTTCTCATTCCAAATCTCACCCTGGCTGCGTTACCGGACAGGTGGTAAACTACAGCTTAAGCTCAGGATACTCCGGTAGACGCCACGCGTAATCCCCCTCCGGCTTTGGACGGTAGGTCAGAGGTTCGATCTTAGATACCGCCCAAATTGCATTTTGCAAGATCCAAATGCCGAACTTGGAAGACGGGAAGAAGGCACCCATGAGCTCCGTAGGAAGTTTCTGGATCTCATCGATCCCGGGCCGTACTACCGTGTCATACGCTTTTAAAGCGCTGGGGACGTCGTTATTGTGTCGCGCCAGTTCTCCCGCAAGGACGTAAGCGCCGATGAGACACCCCGTCGTCCCCATTCCCGTGAACGGAGTAGGGCAGTACCCTGCGTCTCCGAGTAGCGCAACTCGACCCTTGTATAGCTGCTTCATCTTGATTTGAGCCAACTCGTGCGCCCAAAAGTCTGTTGTTGTCTTCATGCCGTTTAGCAATCGATCGGCCTGCCAACCGGCGCCCTTGAAGGTCTCCGTGAAAGCTTCCTTCTGCTTCTCGACTGATTCTTTGTACGACTTTCTTAGATTATCTGAATCCGCCATGGTGAAGAGCAGGACCTGCGTCACCGGCCTGCCACTCGTCCTGGTAAATAACATTCTTCTTCTCGGCGCGCTATAAACCCTTGCAAGTGTACCCTCGTCTTCGCTACGTGGGATGCTGTAGTAGGCGGCGTGGACTCCGATAGACTTGAAGGCTTCATCGTTAGCTTCCTGGCCAAAAGCCATGCGCCTGGTGCGCGATGCTTGGCCATCTGCCGCTATCACCAGGTCGTAATTCTGCTTTTGTCCGTTAGAAAAGGTAACGTCTACCCCATTATCGGTCTGTGTGAATTCCGTAACTTCTTGACCGAATTCATATGTGAGGCCCCCCTTTCCCCCGAGCTGCTTCGCTTGTTCATTCTGCTTGATACTCGCATCGTATAGGACTTTGACCATGTCACCCCGCATGATCTCAAATTCGGATGTCAAAGTGCGACGGCGTTGGCCAGCAGGGTTGATGCCTACAAGCGCCTTCCGTCGTCCGCTCGAGTCTACGACCTCAAGACCGGTTTCGTCAACACACGCTTTTTTAATGTCATCGAAGATTCCCATCTTTTTTAGGACATCAACACCTTGGTTCTTGATATCAATTTGCTGGCCTGCCACGCGTAGCGAGGGAAATCGCTCTATAACGGTGACCTTGTGATTGGGATCCGATTTCTGTAGAAATATTGCAAGGGCCGGGCCAGCAACACCAGCACCTATAATCAAGACGTTTAAAGGCATCCCGACTGATGAATGTAGTGTTTTGTTATTGCTGGAAGTATGCTGGGAACCTTTCGTGGCGAAGAATCGAACAGTTGATCGTGGAGGGCACCGACTAAGGCGCTGACTTAATACGAAGATGTTTCTAGTTGCTTTGGCGGTTCTCAGTGTGGATAGATTTGGGAGAAGACGCTCCATACTATGTTGTGTTGATGGTTGACTGAAGTGTAGCTCGTCTTGCGGGCTGCTGGAGTTGCTAGGCTCAGATCGTAAGACGAAGATAAATTCTGTTGCTTAAGATAATGGAGCTAGTTCTAATACCAGCAAAACTCAGTACAATATGGACGAAGCCATTAATTATATATCGAATTAATAGCATATCACCGAAGATTTACTTGGTCGCCCAATGTCTATTACCTCCGCCATCGCCGCTTACGCCCGCTTAGGGCCGTCTCTCGCACCTAAGCACAGTAACACGTCTCCTGACCCGGGCTGAGCTTTTCGCTGTCTGTGTATTTTCCGGTGCGTTCTAGTATTTGTTCTAGATGGTTTGTTTTCGAGAAGGATTTGCAATGGGTTGTCGGATATAATATTGACAATGCAAGGGCTACGGACGAATTCGCACTTATCGACGAAGAAATCCGACCCATATTTTACTCCTTAATAATTAAGCGGAAAGCGAAATACCAAGTGACAGTGAAGAAACAGGTGATATAGGATTATTTACTATTTTTCTAGTTACGTTTATTAATACGTAGCTGCATTTCCTATTACGCGCCTTGAGTATATGTTGGCTTCAGCTAAGCGTTGCAAATGATCATCTTCTGCTTCAATAGATTCGTGAGCCAATACGCGCCATGAGCAACTTGAAGAGCACCCTGGCTACGAACCCAAAATGTACTCAAGAGGCTCACGTTTATTTTCCTTGTATTAAATCTCTAACCTAGTAAGCTTTATTCCAGCTTTAACTATCGTTTACATATCTGGGATAAGTTGAACCGCCTTATTATAGCCTTCTCAACTTATTTCATTACCTACTTGTCTTAGCTACCAGGTTATAACTGTTAAAAATACTTACCTCACGCATAAATAACTTCACAAAGACATATACCATATTTTTACTCAAAGCAAATATTACGTGTCAAAATGTCTCAACTTTGCAGTCATGGTATATTTAGGGCTATCTGTCCAATTGGTGGCAATTTCCAACTCTACATGCGGTTCTGGCTCAATCGTGAATCGTGTGCTTTATAAATTCACCAATTCACCCCCTTATACGCCACCACGCCCGCATCGCCATGCATAATAAAAAGGATAAAGAATTAAGGCTCACACGGAAGGAATGATGATTAGACCGGTGTGGAGATAGGATATCGGTGGAATGCTGTAAGTCTTTAGCATTCCAGTATCCACGCATGCCTGCCAGTTGATATCCCATAAATATCTCTCAAAGTCCCCCAGATGCTGTCCCAGCTCACCAGCCGAACATGTCGAGAATGCCTTGAGCCTCTGTCTTTGCCATGCACTGGATACCTAGCTGGCGGTGTTGGGTACCCTGGAAGAGCTTTCGTAGGCCCTGCGCAACCTTCCAGCCCTCATCCTCGTCAACAATAAACAAGTGTCTCCTCCCGTCTTGATCTCGGATTGTGGCGCGCAGGACATGCAGACCTCGTCGTCGCGTACTAATATTTGACGACCCAGTGTCCCATCTTCCGTGAGGTGCATGGCGACACACGTCCCCGCAAGAATGTAGTAGCTCGTTAACACAGGCTTCGGCATCCTCACCTGTCAGGGTTTTTGGATCGCCACGAATTGAGGATCGGAAACGACTCTTGGGCGTTACCTTGGGGGTGACGTTAGACTCGACAACGCAATGTGCTGGGCACCATATCTCCATCGTTTTGAGCGTCCAGGCCTTAACGTCCCAATCTCGCTGCGGCTCGTTGCGGACATCGTCGTCAATGAAGATACCGGCAGACGAGATACGAAGAATCAAACCGTCCGTGACAGGTCCCATACCACTAATGAGTTGAGAAGCTGGTGTCTTGGAGAATTGGTTGACGAAGCTATAAACAGCCTTGATAACGATTTTATCTGGGTCGTTGGTTCGATAAGGCGGATGTTCGGAAGGTGGCGGCGTTGTCCTTGCTGTTGACTGGGATGGAGCATACGATGACTCTGTGAAGGTTGTCTCACCCGACCTCCTTCGAGTATGGTTCTTAGGCTGGTCATACGGTCGAAACGAGTAAGTTTCTTCGTTAACGCCGCTCGAAGTCTTGGTTGTGCTAGGAGCTGGATTCGGTTGCTTGGTAGAGGCAGCACTAGGCTTACTAGACGTAGTACTTGGGCTCGGCCTAGGGGGACTTGATCTAGCAGGAGACGGAGACCTAACCGGCGGTTTTCCGTTCGGCCAAGGGTTTGTTTTCTCTCCGACCGACGAGTAGGCGTAGGCACCTCTCCTACTTTCGGCCTCTCTTAACCGAGCAGCATCAATATCCCTGATCCTAGCTTCTTCTGCCTCTCTTAACCTAGTAGCTTCCTCCCTCTGTCGAGCCGCCTCCAACTCCCTTTGCCTCTCAACCTCTCTTTGCCTCTCGGCTTCTCGCTGCCTTTCGGCTTCTCTTTCCCTGGCAGCCTCTTCTTCCTTTCGCTTGGCGGCCTCAGCTTCTCTCAGCTTAGCAGCAGCTTCGGCTTCTCTCTGCACGGCAGCCTCCGCTTCTTTCAGCTTTGCTCTCAACGTCGCGGCCTCTTCCTCTCTCAGCTGAGCTGCCTCTGCTATAGCCTTCAGCCTAGTTGCTTCGATTGCTTCCTTAATTCGGATTGCCTCCTTTTCCTTGACTTCCCTCTCAAGCTTTTCTCGGAGCGCCCTCTCTTGGTTCAATCGTTCATGCAATATACGCTCCCTAGCTTCCCGTATTCTGGCTTCTCTCTGCTCCTTTTCCCGTCGCTCCTTCTCCTGCTGCTCTTTTTCGCGCTGCTCCCTTTCTCGCTCTTCCTTTTCGCGGGCCTCACGTTCCTGCTTTTCCTTCGATTCTTGTTGGCGTCTGGCCTTCTCTCGAGCATCCTTCTCGCGTAGCTCCTTTAGTCGTCTGGCCAACTCCTCCTTCTTGCGCCTTTCAGCTTCCTTCGCTTTTAATTCCTCCTCCCTGGCTTTTCGTTCTTCCTCTTTTCGCCGTGTCTCTTCTCTAGCTTTTTCCCATGCGCCTTTGGGTGGATCTCTAGGGGCCTCTTTAGGGGTTTCTTTAGGAGTCTCCTTGGGTGTCTCCTTAGGAAGTTCTTTAGGAAGTTCTTTAGGAAGTTCTTTGGGGAGTTCCTTGGGAAGTTCCTTGGGAAGCTCTTTAGGGGGCTCTATAGGGATTTCTGGAGGAATCTCCTTGGGCTTTCTAGATGGCTTCTTGGGAGAAGCCTTAGAAGATTCCTTATGTTCCTTATGAACCTCCTTAGGTAATTCCTTAGGGGCCTCTTGAGGAACCTCTCTAGGAGCTTCCTTGGGCTTTGGCCTGGGTTTTGGCTTGGGAGGCTCCTGTGGGGGCTCTTTCGCAGGCTCTGGAGATGGCTCCCGGGGCGGTTCGCGGCGGGGTTCCCTAGGTGATTCAGGTCGCTGCTCTGGTTTTGGTTGTCGTTTCGGCTCACGCTTTGGTTCTCGCTTCGGCTCTCGCTTCGGTTCCCGCGGAGGTTCTCGAGGAGATTCTCGAGGTGGTTCTCGAGGTGGCTCTCGCGATGGTTCCTGCGGCGGTCGACGTCGAGGCTCTGGTGGCGGTCCTGGCGACGCATCCTTAGGTTCGTTGGCTTGCGCATGCTGTTGCCACGATTGCTTGGGCCGCTCTGTACCTGGAGTCCCAGGTTTGGGTCCGTGCCGAGGAGGCGGTGGTGGCGAAGCGTGAGGCGGAGGAGGCGGAGGCGTATCGTCATTGGGGGGTGGTCCAGCGTTGGGATTTGGGCCACTAGCATAGCCTCCAGCTCCGGGATCGTACCCCCAAGAATTTCCATTGCCTCTCCCCGACGCCGGGCCACCACCTTGTTGCGTTCTCCCCAAAGACCATGCCCCGACTCCGACTGCGATCACCAATAACACCATGCCCATATTCCCCATTCCTTGGAAGCTGCTCCACCACACATGAAAAACCGGTGCCATGGTCTGACCTAAAACGACTAGAACCAGAGCGCTAGCAAATCCCGCGGCGAAACTGTTCAGGTTCGGCTTCAGAGAAGGGAGATAGAGGAAACCGGATCCCGAGGAGTGCGGCGGTATGATGAATATATCATATTTGCCCGGGGGTAGGTTGGAATTTGCCGGCCTGGGAATGTTGCCATGCGGCGGCGGAGGCGGAGGTTGATCCATCGCGACGGTCTAGCCGCCAAGCGGTGAACCTGTCGAAAAGGCGACCAAAAGGAAGAGAGTAGACGTTAAATGCGATTGAGAAAATGGAGAAGTCGCGATTATAAAGAATACGTTGGTGAAAAATGAGGGTATCTCGAAAAGGCCATGAAGGATCGTAAAGTCGTAAAAGGTGCTGTCGCTATTACAGGTCAGATTATTGTTATTGTCATGGCGCGGATAGAGATGGGGGTGAACGAAGGAGGACAGGTATTAAAAGTGTAGGATAGAAAGTTGGGAGAGATAAAAAAAAATCTGCCAAGTTCCAAGAGTCATCTAAGACGAACAGGGAACAGATCATGACGGGAAATAACGTACCGTAGACAGAAGAGAAAAGAAGATAAAAGTCAAACAGCGCAATGCCCGAATTCCATGCGGATAGATAAAGTAACAAACAACAACAACAACAGAAAACACTTTTGTGTATGTATTTGACGGATCGTAAATCAATCGCACAAATGCAAAGATAAAGAGGCTATCCAAAGTATTTTACTACGTATGTAGGTAATGTAAGGATATCATCAAAAAGAGGAGTCGGACAAAGTGGCGGTCATGAAATTTCATGAAGTCTTTTGTGCAAGTCCTTTTTCTTTAAAATTTGGCACTAACTTCTGCCAATCTGCCAATGTTTACTTGTGAATTGTTGATGCAGAGCTGCTAATCGACCCTGTTTGACAGGTCACAACTTTGTGAAATGGTTGCATTGCGCTAAAGAAATATTAGCCAATGAGAATTAGAGGCTCACACACGAAGGTCTGAGCGCAGCGTAATTGTCTCTTTTATAGGCATAGCGCAAGTTCATATTCGGTATAACTCTATTTTTTCTCATTAAGCGTCCCCCCGCAAATGCACAACTCGACACTTCTCTCATCCTTGTCTACATTTTTTTGTGCTACCATGCAAAGCATTAAAATATTTTATTTTCTGTCGCAATTCACTTCTCATACCTAGATATTCGACTTGAATTTTTTATTGCTTTTTTTATAATAGTTTTCTAGAATCTAGAGTCAAAATATAGGTATATAATAAACTCAGGTACTTAGATATATCTTTAGCTACATAACCTCGGCTGCGCTGCTCCGCAACGGTTAACCACCCAACCTCTCGAAAACTAATCGACGTTGAAACGGCGCTCCGAAACATGGCTTCTGGATGCTGTCAATTGGCTCGCGTCGCACGATAACGGTCAACAAACGCGCCAGGTCAAATTTCAAGAGAGTCTCCACTCCCACCATCATCAATACAATACTATAACGAATCACGGGAGGATAGGTGTATAGGTGGATTGGCGGATTGGGTATCTCGCTTGCAAATGTACCCCTAAACCGACTATCACCGGGGAGCTCCCCCGCTTCCGTGTTTGCGGTTGTCCGTTACATTCAGTGAATGACATTGTTCATCACTCTCCCCGAATCAAGTGATATCACCACATTACGATCTTCAACTAAGAGCTAGGTTAAGATGTTAATTACTACAAGTTCTTAAATATCTACCTAGTTAGGTCGTCATTTACTAATGCCCAAGCCGCCCAATAACTTCCAGTAAGGTAGGTAGTTTTAGTTGTTCTATATTAATATACCAAAGGCACTTAGGCAGGACAATCCTTTGGCCGCGTACAGCTACGAGCTGGTTGCTAGGCAACACTTCAGTAATTGGCAACTTGTGCTGTTGTCGGTGCGGGGTCGCCAAGTTGGTGGGTTGCCTCTCAGAGAGCACCATGTCTACTAATTGTCATCTCATTCATTTAAAACAAGTCGTTTTCCTTTTAAGGAGTTATCTTAAGGTTATTTGCGCGACGTTATATAATCGCAATTAGAGCCTTACTGCATAACTGAAAAGTTCATGTCTTCTACTAGGCCCATGAATCTGGTATCTAATGTGTCTTCCATCACGTTTCATTCTCGGGATCTTGCATCACGGGTGGACGCCACAAACCCCAAGTTGCAGCATGCATAAAGGGACGGACCGCAATAGCCTTACCAGGTTAATTCGAGATCAAACATGTGAAACTCCAATAGTCATCTAAGCTAGGAGGTAGTTACATAAAGAAATCTCAACTTTAGTAGTAAGCAAACCAAGTTAGGGGATTTTTACCATCCCAATGAAACATCAGGCTGCTTAAACATTTAACTACCGAACAAGCATCGTCTGCTAGTAAAATATTTATATTAATAGTAAAAATATAGTTCAGTGATAGCTTCGAACCAAAAACGATTAAGATGACTAAGGACATTCTTTTGTTAGTCCTGCCATGATAAAGTGATACTCCTACCACCTATTCAAGTACCCGAGGTGTTTGATACCAGATGAATGAAATCCTAAGTATCAATACCTTAGGTACCTACTCATTCTTGATAAATTCCGGTAATATTGTGTGTTCTCTTTTAGGCGAACTAAGCCAAGTCTCCATACGAAATAGTAGTGATCTTCAAGAGCTACCTCACATCGAAGTACTACTTAGTTGAGTGTTCTATAATACTAACAGAACTATTAGATCACCAACTTTTTTCTTACAGGTCCATCTTTATAACAGTATATGAAATAAATCTTGGTCGAAATCCAGTATATATACTCGAGGGAGACGGAGCTGGAGTTTCGCCTGACATGAGAGATCCACCCCCTCCTGCCTATAGCATTACTCTGCCTGGTTAGCGCTAGCGCTAGGTAGCCGACTTTTATCAGGAGAAACCCCGTCGAATACGCCTTTTTATAACAGAGATGGAATCATCCTCAGCGCTCAGCAGTGCTCAAGGGGAAACCTGAGTCAGACCAGTTAAGTATCTAAGCATATTAGCCTAGTATTAACCCCATAGGAGCATGCTAAGTTTCACTACGACTACTTTAACACCGTATGAGATATGTTTAGAATTTCCCATCGAGAAAACTACGTATAGCTAGGTCAATACTTCATTTTATAAGCATCTCTCAAGATCCAGAGTACAAACACCACTCCGATGGACCATTGCGCAATTGGCTATGTTTAACATTAGAAATATAATCTCAACGTTACTTACAACCTTGACTCATATTGTTTAGTTAAGGTTGTTTGATACCTGAGAAGGTCGCATTTGTCACTCGCTTGATTCTTGAATACTGTATATGCTATCTAGTCCACAAGGTCTTTAGCAGTGTTTTTAAAACCTTTGAATGTCAGGATTCTAGATGAGACATCTAGAATAAAGAACATGTTTAGTATATAGACGTAGAACCTTCTAGGTAGTTAGAGTTCCTTGCGGAACAACGAAGTTGTTTCCATGCTATTTGGTTCCACCTCGTGACATTGAATCACTTTAGAAAGTATCAAACCAAAGTTATCTTGTTTGTGTTAAAGCAGTCAACTGCTGAGGTAATGCTCGGAAGCTTGATTGTGTCAGGATTTCAATAAGTATAGCCGTATGTTCCTGTACTTAACCCACAGTTCTTCGCGGAACAACAAAGTTATTTCCATGCTTCTTGCACTACTTCGTGACAATTTGGGCTCAAGGGGACCAAAGGGCGAAGACTTAAGACATGCCTATAATCAGGGTTCATATCTATTGCTAGTAAACTTCGCTGGATTGTAGAGAGGAAAGTGTCCATACGACTTTCAAGACCCATCGGCTTATAGTTTAGAATATACGTGGTATATAGCTTTGGAGCAACATCATTATCGTACTTACAACAGTGGTAGACTTTGCGGACTTATGGCTTAAAGGTTTACCATTACTAACACTTTGGTATAAAACACACCGGGTCGGTGACAGGTAATAGTATTGACTGTGACTAGCTCGTGATCTGGAATTTTTTTCCCCTAGAGCTAACGCTAGTCTGGTTATTAATATCCGGCTTTGAATGAGTTATGCTTAAATTTTTTTGACGGCCTAAGTTAGTTACCCCCTTAGTAGGAAGAATAAACCACCACCATAGTAGTCAGTACGTTACCCAAGTTTCGGTGTTTCACATCAATATACCAAGGAATAGTCTTGTAGAAGTAGCACAGAGTAGACGGGTGTATAGTGTATTAGCAGCCTGATAAGTTGTACCTTAGGTACGGTAAATAATTATGGAAGTGGGTGACTATTCGGTATGCTATATTTAATTAATTTAGAAAATATTTTACACTTGCCAAGCTAAGCTTGTTTTGTTTCTTTGTGATTATTAAGGGTTTATGTATATATTACAATAAATATTGGAAACCTTTTGTTTATTCTCATCCCCTGAATCCTGCCAACACGTGGAATAGTATTTAGGGCGTTACTTATTACTTATCTGAAATGAGAGTTAAAATATAAGACTTTTAACTTCTAATTGGACCCTTATTGTCTGTAATGGCTACAGACTAAGGATAGAATTTACTTGTCAAAAGACGTATGCTTGCCAGACTGTCTTTTTGGACTATCTATTTTTCGACACGGGGTTACACAAAGTAGGGCAGAAAAAAAAGCTCGAATACCGCAAGGGAAACTCGTTGAAACTTTTTTCTAGCTTGCTAACTGCTATGAATCACCTCTGGCCGAACTCGCTCGATGACCATCATATAAGCTTTTCTCTAGTTCAGAACCTCGGAGTGTTCGGTATATGCTCCTTGCTGGTTTGGACATTTAGTTTGCTCATACCTGTTTAGCAATTATCAAAGTTTTAGTTAGATCCTAGTAGTATACACTAAAGTAGACAACTGGAGATATTGCGGGAACCGGCGCTAGGAGTTGAACGCAATTTCGAATATCCAGTTCTAGTTTCAAACCCGACGCTAATAAGTCTCCATAATCATGTCGTATTAATCAGCCTGTTGGGGCTCTGTAATCGTATGTTGGCGGTCAAGTGCGTGAGTGTTCTTTGAATTATCTCTGTATGTAAATGGCTGGATGGTTGGTATACTTTGAACGATAGGTGGGACTACTTGAAATAGTACAGATCACCTCATACGGAATCATCCCTTTTCTAACAGAAATCCCGTGATTATCTCGACAAAGCGTAGATCGACG